GCTGCGTAACACGAGAATGAACCTCATTGGTTCTTGAAACCTGCTGCGTAACACGAGAATGAACCTCATTGGTTCTTGAAGCTCAAACGTGCTGCGTAACACGAGAATGAACCTCATTGGTTCTTGCTGAAGCTCAAACGTGCTGCGTAACACGAGAATGAACCTCATTGGTTCTTGCTGAAGCTCAAACGTGCTGCGTAACACGAGAATGAACCTCATTGGTTCTTGCTGAAGCTCAAACGTGCTGCATAACACGAGAATGAACCTTATTGGTTCTTGCTGAAGCTCATACGTGCTGTGTAAAGCGAGAATGAACCTTATTGGTTCTTGCTGAAGCTCAAACGTGCTGCATAACACGAGAATGAACCTTATTGGTTCTTGCTGAAGCTCAAACGTGCTACGTAACACGAGAATGAACCTCATTGGTTCTTGCTGAAGCTCAAACGTGCTGTGTAACACGAGAATGAACCTTATTGGTTCTTGCTGAAGCTCAAACGTGCTGTGTAACACGAGAATGAACCTCATTGGTTCTTGCTGAAGCTCAAACGTGCTGCATAACACGAGAATGAACCTTATTGGTTCTTGCTGAAGCTCAAACGTGCTGCATAACACGAGAATGAACCTCATTGGTTCTTGATGAAGCTCAAATGTGCTGCGTAACACGAGAATGAACCTCATTGGTTCTTGAAGCTCAAACGTGCTGCGTAACACGAGAATGAACCTCATTGGCTCTTGCAGAAGCTCAAACGTGCTGCGTAACACGAGAATGAACCTCATTGGTTCTTGCAGAAGCTCAAACGTGCTGCGTAACACGAGAATGAACCTCATTGGTTCTTGCAGAAGCTCAAACGTGCTGCGTAACACGAGAATGAACCTCATTGGCTCTTGCAGAAGCTCAAACGTGCTGCGTAACACGAGAATGAACCTCATTGGCTCTTGCAGAAGCTCAAACGTGCTGCGTAACACGAGAATGAACCTCATTGGTTCTTGCTGAAGCTCAAACGTACTGCGTAACACGAGAATGAACCTCATTGGTTCTTGAAGCTCAAACGTGCTGCGTAACACGAGAATGAACCTTATTGGTTCTTGAAGCTCAAACGTGCTGCGTAACACGAGAATGAACCTCATTGGTTCTTGAAGCTCAAACGTGCTGCGTAACACGAAAATTAACCTCATTGGTTCTTGAAGCTCAAACGTGCTGCGTAACACGAGAATGAACCTCATTGGTTTTTGCTGAAGCTCAAACGTGCTGCGTAACACGAGAATGAACCTCATTGGCTCTTGCAGAAGCTCAAACGTGCTGCGTAACACGAGAATGAACCTCATTGGTTCTTGAAGCTCAAACGTGCTGCGTAACACAAGAATGAACCTCATTGGTTCTTGAAGCTCAAACGTGCTGTGTAACACGAGAATGAACCTCATTGGTTCTTGCAGAAGCTCAAACGTGCTGCGTAACACGAGAATGAACCTCATTGGCTCTTGCAGAAGCTCAAACGTGCTGCGTAACACGAGAATGAACCTCATTGGTTCTTGCTGAAGCTCAAACGTACTGCGTAACACGAGAATGAACCTCATTGGTTCTTGCAGAAGCTCAAACGTGCTGCGTAACACGAGAATGAACCTCATTGGTTCTTGAAGCTCAAACGTGCTGCGTAACACGAGAATGAACCTCATTGGTTCTTGAAGCTCAAACGTGCTGCGTAACACGAAAATTAACCTCATTGGTTCTTGAAGCTCAAACGTGCTGTGTAACACGAGAATGAACCTCATTGGTTTTTGCTGAAGCTCAAACGTGCTGCGTAACACGAGAATGAACCTCATTGGCTCTTGCAGAAGCTCAAACGTGCTGCGTAACACGAGAATGAACCTCATTGGTTCTTGAAGCTCAAACGTGCTGCGTAACACGAAAATTAACCTCATTGGTTCTTGAAGCTCAAACGTGCTGTGTAACACGAGAATGAACCTCATTGGTTCTTGATGAAGCTCAAACGTGCTGCGTAACACGAGAATGAACCTCATTGGTTTTTGCAGAAGCTCAAACGTGCTGCGTAACACGAGAATGAACCTCATTGGTTCTTGAAGCTCAAACGTGCTGCGTAACACGAGAATGAACCTCATTGGTTCTTGCTGAAGCTCAAACGTGCTGCGTAACACGAGAATGAACCTCATTGGTTCTTGCTGAAGCTCAAACGTGCTGCGTAACACGAGAATGAACCTCATTGGTTCTTGAAGCTCAAATGTGCTGCGTAACACGAGAATGAACCTCATTGGTTCTTGCTGAAGCTCAAACGTGCTGCGTAACATGAGAATGAAGCTCATTGGTTCTTGCTGAAGCTCAAACGTGCTGCGTAACACGAGAATGAACCTCATTGGTTCTTGCAGAAGCTCAAACGTGCTGCGTAACACGAGAATGAACCTCATTGGTTCTTGAAGCTCAAACGTGCTGTGTAACACGAGAATGAACCTCATTGGTTCTTGCTGAAGCTCAAACGTGCTGTGTAACACGAGAATGAACCTCATTGGTTCTTGCAGAAGCTCAAACGTGCTGCGTAACACGAGAATGAACCTCATTGGTTCTTGAAGCTCAAACGTGCTGCGTAACACGAGAATGAACCTCATTGGTTCTTGAAGCTCAAACGTGCTGTGTAACACAAGAATGAACCTCATTGGTTCTTGCTGAAGCTCAAACGTGCTGTGTAACACGAGAATGAACCTCATTGGTTCTTGCAGAAGCTCAAACGTGCTGTGTAACACGAGAATGAACCTCATTGGTTCTTGAAGCTCAAACGTGCTGCGTAACACGAGAATGAACCTCATTGGTTCTTGAAGCTCAAACGTGCTGTGTAACACAAGAATGAACCTCATTGGTTCTTGCTGAAGCTCAAACGTGCTGTGTAACACAAGAATGAACCTCATTGGTTCTTGCTGAAGCTCAAACGTGCTGTGTAACACGAGAATGAACCTCATTGGTTCTTGAAGCTCAAACGTGCTGCGTAACACGAGAATGAACCTCATTCGTTCTTGAAACCTGCTGCGTAACACGAGAATGAACCTCATTGGTTCTTGAAGCTCAAACGTGCTGCGTAACACGAGAATGAACCTCATTGGTTCTTGCTGAAGCTCAAACGTGCTGCGTAACACGAGAATGAACCTCATTGGTTCTTGCTGAAGCTCAAACGTGCTGCGTAACACGAGAATGAACCTCATTGGTTCTTGAAACCTGCTGCGTAACACGAGAATGAACCTCATTGGTTCTTGAAGCTCAAACGTGCTGCGTAACACGAGAATGAACCTCATTGGTTCTTGCTGAAGCTCAAACGTGCTGCGTAACACGAGAATGAACCTCATTGGTTCTTGCTGAAGCTCAAACGTGCTGCGTAACACGAGAATGAACCTCATTGGTTCTTGCTGAAGCTCAAACGTGCTGCATAACACGAGAATGAACCTTATTGGTTCTTGCTGAAGCTCAAACGTGCTACGTAACACGAGAATGAACCTCATTGGTTCTTGCTGAAGCTCAAACGTGCTGTGTAACACGAGAATGAACCTCATTGGTTCTCACACATCAAGCGAACATGCTTGAGGTTCCGTTTACCACAACTGAAGTGTGAGTTGATAAAAGTTCATATGTGAATAACAGGCTAATTTAAACCTGCTTATCATATAAAACGATCATCTCTCTTCAGAAAATTTGGACTAAACCGCAAAGTGGTAGTTGCGTAGCTGTCAATGGAGGGACAGAAAGCTCTCAGATTTCATCAAAAAGATCTTCATTTGTGTTCCGAAGATGAACGAAAGTCTTACGGGTTTGTAATGACATGAGGGTGAGTAAATAATGACTGAATTTTAATTTTTTGGTGAACTATTTCTTTTAGATTTTAAAAGCCAAATGCTCCAATGTCACTGGAATTCGGGGGATATAATTGTTCTGCGCAATAAAAATAGGTATTAAAACAAATTGTGTCTTATGTCAAAGAGAATACTAATACTCAAGATGGCTTATTTAGAAATATATGTAACCTTTATTTCAAAGTGTATAGTTTGATTGGGGACATATGGGAATTTGCCTGTCAAGTGGTTCAAAAAGTTTATTATAATTATTATTATTATGAAATAATCATTATGAATTTGTGTCAATTTGTTTATGTGGTTGAAAAACCATGTGGCATAAAACTTGATTAACATTTCACGTAAGTAGTTTAATGGAGACATAAAATCCACCAAACTAGGAATGACCCATAAACATAAAAGTAATAACTTCACAAGTTGGTAGTTATACTTAGTATTTATGAGAAAATGGATATGTGGTAAAACAAACAAACAAACAAACTCAATTTTAATTTGTATGACTTGATAATATCTCCCTCTACCGGCAGTTTACGTCACACTTAAAATACTGCATTACCATCCGCAGCGAAGAATGTGTTTGAGTACACAGCTGTAGTATGTGATTTATCAAGCAGCCTGACAGTCAATCTGACTCATCTGAGATATCTACTACTGGGTCTCTCAGCACAGCAATCAACGCGACAACTAACCCGAACACCGTGAAAACGTTCACTGATATATTCGCATACTTCGTTTGAAGTCAGCTTCGTTATTAACAAAGCGTTCGCGTGCTTGTAGTGCAGATGTGCGACGACGACACTCAATAAAACTGCCAAAACTACCAAATGACAACAGTTGGCTACTGAGGTACTGAAAGATTGTGCTTAATTATTAAATTAGGTAGGCTTATGTCAATAAGACGATTTCATTTCACAAATAAGTATAGTCTATTTCATTCTGATATTTTTTTCCTCGAGTGGCCAACTTTTCTGAGCAGAATCTGAGACATTATTAAGGAAGCTTGATAAAAATTCGCAATTACATTTTTTTCTTCTAATTTTTAACTCATTTACGCTAATAGCCTATTAAAACTGAAATCCCACCCCATTCTTCCGTCGTTCCCGTATCTCAGATTTAGAAGTGGGGGCTCCATTCTTGAGGACTTTCGTCAGGGAGTAAAGTTTGGGAACAGCCCCCTATTTAGTGTCAGGTTGTGCTGAGACACCTCCCATTCTCACAGAGGTTTCCCTCAGAGCTGGAGGAGCGAGAGGAGAGGATCTCATTCTGGACTTCACTTTCCTACCCCTGACACTGACGGACTTCACAGGTCTTTATCAGGTCTATTTCCTTACTTCAATCAGTCATCTCTTTACATTCGCATGGGATTTGTAATTTAGCCTACGTCTTCAGTGAATGAAATAAACGTGAAACAAATATTACTCGTATTTAATGTAAATATTCAAATATTTAATGTCTGAAAATTCCTAGTGAATTGTGATTTGTTTTGGATGTGACACGTTTAGTGGATTTATTCACAATTCATAAAAGTATTGCATGTTTCTTTAGCACTGCTGCGTCTTCTTTGTGGAATGTGAGCAAATAGGCTACTAAAGGAAAACTGTTTTTTTTTATGTATAATTGTTTAGCAGAAATCATTCTGAGATTATTAATTTACGTTGGGCATGTATAGGCTGTTAATGTAAATGCACTTGTGTAAATCTCCACGTGGTGGCGCTCATGATCCGCAATGCAAATCTCAGGATCATTGAGAAGTAATTCTGCACTGTAATTCTGTCTAAATGTCATTTACATGTTCATTGTTTAAATGAGTGTTTAGTGCAGAATAAAAATACTAAGCACACTGAGAATGAATTAAAATAATGTACTGTGCAATACAGAAATAAGGTTGATTTCTTTTCTTTCTTCTTCTCTTTGTAGATTAATGAATGAGCTGCTGACTGTGTGTGTATAAACATGAAGATCAGGCTGTCTCTGGCTGCCGCTGCTCTCTTTACTCTATTACTGAACTCAGTAGAGGCTCAAGGTATGGTCCATGCGCTCTATCTCTCTCTCTCTCTCTCTTTTTACAGTGAAATATGTGTGTGGACACAAGTATAAACACCATTTACTTTTTGAATATCTTATATTAAGCTGTATTAATACTTAGACCATAGGCTACTTAAGTTATAGAATTGACTTCTACATAGTTATGTACAATACAATAGTATAGCCTATAGTCATAGATTTATAGAAAGATAGATATAGTTTAAAAGCTAAATCTGTTTAAAATGTTACTCTTCATGTTAAGTGTGATTTCAGTGCTCCTAAAGACACACACACACACACACACACACACACACACACACACACACACACACACACACACACACACACACACACACACACACACACACACACACACACACACACACACACACACACACACACACCTTTATTTATATGTAAAACGTTTAGGATGAAAAATAGTCCTGTAATCTGCCATTTGTTGCGAGGCGTTCCTCTACGGTCTGGTCTTCACCTCCTCTATGAGTCAGTTATTGTCCAATGAATTATCACAATAATTACATGAAGAGCTGCAATGAAAACATTACTACCAAAGCATCATTATTAAACAGCAGAAAAAGGTTAAACTGCAGACATTTTATTGATTTTTAGGCTACTATATTTTTAGGCAGTATAAGTTAGGCTACTATAGGCTATTTTTAAAAGCTCAAAAGATTTCTTATGGCAGAATTCAGTCTAATAGACCGGTTTTGTTTTCTTACTCGGACTCAATTATCTTAAGTCAACCTCAAATGTGCAGTAATCATAAGTTAAAAGATATGCCAAAAAATCTCTTGGTTTTGAACTTTTTCACTGCACACTGTGTAGAAGGATCAGGGTTGCCAGATCCAGAGAAAATCCAGCCAGAAAAGCGACTCGGAAGGAATGAAAACGAGCCCTTTTTTCCCTCCAGCGTCCAATCACAGTTGACAGCGGCGGGGTTCCCATAAAGGGCCTTAAAATAAACATTTTAATAATATTTATTTTATGCTTTCTTTTCTTTTAAAATGTATAGCTAGACTACTTTATATGTACCAGGGCAATTATTTAACCTGTATTTTATACCTATATATATTACATTTTTATTTTTTACTTTATCATTTTTAAGCGCTTTGCATGATAGATTATTTCAAATGTGAGACATAAATCTGAATAACAGTGTCACAACATGTGATACGGTGACATAGCAATCCATCAATTTCTGTCTAGAAGCTAAACTCATTTTGTCCTTTCGCTCGCCCAATTCTTTATACAATTCCTCTAATGTTAAATTCAAATCCTCTCTGATATTTTCTGACTTTGGCATTTTCAAAACAGCCCAACTGTGCAGGACTGGCATCACTGAGCTGGAAATACATGTACGATCGATGTACTTCAAATATAAACATACATATTACTTTAGTTATGCTTTACTAAATCAGCCACAGTAGTAAAATGGATGTGTTTTCTCCCACATGATTTGAAGTTGTTTCAGTTTAAGTGGGATATGTAATTAAAGTCACCACACAGCATCAGTTCAGCCCAGCGACGGCTGTCTCGGGATAACCTGAGGATGGAGTCTGATTCAGCTGGAAAATCAAATGGAAACTTCTTCTTTTTTTTTTCGTTGCTGTAACAGAATGGAAAGATGTAACATGAGAGGGCTGAACTAGTCCTCAGACAGCACAAAGACAAAGAGCCTTTTTTAGGTTTCCTGCAGCCGCTCACGAAAACGCTGAGTTGCAATCCATACGGAAAGTTAATACGCAGTAATGTTTAATGTCAGCACATGTTGCGGAATTACTTTGGCATCTGTTCGGCTTCTCCGGGAGACTCCAACCTGGCAACGGCACAAGCCCGAGAGAAATGCCTGACTGGCTGGAGGTTACTGACGCGGGGCAGACTTTCTCTCATGAGAGAAACACTCTCCCGACGGGCCTCCTCAACCTGAAGTTTCCCGAAACTCAACACGAGCAGACGTTTGTGTCCCTTTCGTTATTAAACTGTCAACGGTCTCAACAAAGCTGTCCGACTGCATTATTTCCCAGTCCACTGAGCTGGTGTTTAAGCTGGCGTCTGAAGCACATGGTAGGTGGTGTTTGAGGCACGGTTTGCGCGGCACGTCCCGTAAGATGCCTCGGCTTGACCAATCAGTGAAGACTCGTGGGTTCGGAGAAGGGCAGAGGCCTGTTCGGACACAGACCGTTTGAGTTTGATGCGTCAGGTTGGTGAGCCTTCTTTCTCCAGCAGGTCGTGTTCTTTGTCGTTTTCCTGGTGTGTTTCCTCCATTGTTTATTTTAAAATGATATTCTGCTTGCTCTGGCCTCCATCCACGCACACGTGTCTTTCCACCCTTCTTTTTCTTCGTGCATGTGACATTTTGCCACGTCCTCATCATTATCCAGCTGGCCGATAGGTAGAATTAAGAACAGAAGTGCATGGGAAAAAGATGATCTAGGTTTCTACAGGAACGATCTGGTCTTATAGATGATAATAAATCTATAGCAGACTCTGTGGATCTTCATCACCTTGTTGATGAAGAGTGGTAATAAATGCACTAGTTTGATAATCTTAAAAATAAAGGTTCCAATTAGAAACAAATGTAATTCTCTACACGAAAAAAAAAAATTGTCTTGTTTTTTTCTCTACAAATATCTAAACATTCTTAAATCAAGATTAAAATTGACTTGAGAAGCAAAATGACTAAATAGGCTATATTAAGTCTAGCTTTCTGAAAAATGTATTAAAATTAAGTGAGTTTTTATACTACGGGGCTGTTGAATGCTTGAATCTGATTGGTTTACGAACGTTCTAAGGTGTACTTAGAAAACGCACACAGGTCTTGACCGCACCGCACTACAGTTCCACATCACTTTGCCAAATGATTTCAGAAATTTCAGAGTACAGCAGCAAAGGAACCAAAACCCACAACGACGCTGATCAAGAAAATAAATATAGTAAACAATAGAATAAAAACGACAAATCATTTCCATGTTTTTTGCCACAAAATTACATTTTATTATGTACAGAAAGCTCATACTCTCTTTTTCTCCAGCTCTCTCCCCCACTCAAACACACACACACACACATAGGGTACGGACACACACTCGCACAGAAAAGTGTTGTCAGTGCTGCTCTGACAAATTTGTAAGTAAAATAGTTTAACAACTCAAAAGCTACATGAATTTCTCATTAGCGAGGTAATAACGGCGCTGTTCTTGGAGCAGATAAACTTACAGTTTCGCTATTAGTAGAGACGCTTCTGCCGAACACTGTTGAGAGATGCACAGACTCAGGTAATTCACACACACTCTCTGTAACTCAATAACTGCATTAATAACGGCATTATTCTGCTATCAGTGGCTGATGTCTCCATCACAAGCTCTAAAATTAAGTTTTGGAAGTAACAATGGAGGCGTGGGATGAGACGCGTAAGAAATTAGTCCTACACACAAGAGTGTTTTAAGGATAAAAACCTGACAAACGTCTTGAAATACATCATCTGAACAATGTTTTGAGGTCTGGGAACCATAGTACAAGTGGAATAATTGACTCCCGGCACCCGAGTCGTGCATTATTTTTCTAATAATTCAATGGCATGTTGTCAATAATTTCTTACTTATGCTTAAAACAAGAAAAAATGCCAACGGTGTGAAAAAAATAATCATGTTTTTCAGGAAATGTTTTCTTGTTTTAAGCATAAACTCACTTAACTTTGATAAAAAATTTCAGAAAACAAGACATAATATCTTGTCATTTTGCTTCTCAAGAAAATTCATGTTGATTTAAGAATGTTTAGATATTTATACAGAAAAGCAAGACAAAACACTAAGTCAGAAAACACATTTGTCTTAAAAAGCATGTTCTGGTGCTCTAAAAACAAAACATTGATCCGAAGAAACTAATCAATAAGAACTTTCTCCCAAAAAAGTTTCAATCAACCTTTATTTTTAAGTGTGCTGAACACTATTGTAATATTGCACTCTGCCGGTAAAATATACTAACTCCTTTCCGTGAAATGAAGCATGTTTAATATCCTCTATTGGTTACATTTTGGATGAGATCCGCTGTTTTTCCTCTGCATTCTTTGCATTCAAGGCATTATCCCGACAGCAGAGATTTACATCAGCATTCATGCATGCGGTTGTAACATGGATGTTGAGTGCGTACTGTAAGTGGACATCTCATCATCGCAGAGATGAGATCCACCACGGTTTGATGTAGATCGCATGTCAATAATGTCTATGACAGAATATCATTTTGAAATACATTTGTAGCCTCTCTATGTGTTGTCCTTTGTGTACATGGAAACAGTGTAATAAGCAACTTTCTCATGTACATGTGCATGACACTTCGACAATCAGACGAATGTGGATATATTTCCTCCTCATATATGCGTGATTGTACGTTTTCCTTCAAACCTCTCAATTAGGAGTGTTGTCTTGTCACGTACACCTTCTGTATGAAAAGGAACTACACACAAGTCTGTCACGACAAGTTGTGTATTCTTTTTATGAGATTTGCAATGGATGTGTGGCTTTAGTAAAACTCGTTAGCCTTGTTGGAATATATGTATATATACAAAGCGTATATATGTATATTTTTGTGTCTTACTTTTGACAGAGCCATCTGGACTTCTTTGACATCTCGAAAACTCGATTCCATTGTATAATCAATATCTTGGGAATGGATATGATTTATTTTTGTCACCAGAGTTCTGTTGAACGGGCATGCCTTGTATTGACTGCATTCAGCATGTATTGGATGGTTGTCTGCACATGGATTGGCGTGGATGACGTTTTGTTTTGTAATAGGTCTTGAAATGTGTTTAGTTCTTCTCTGCTTGAGCTGCAGACCGTGAGATTCCAGGTTATGCAACTCAAGAAAAGGCCATTTGATCCGAAATGGCTTCCGTCACCCTCTTATGTTGTGTTTTGTCATCTCTTTACTCTTGGTTGTGTTTGTCTTGCCCAACAATAAACAAGTCAACTTCAGTCCTGAAGTGTTTGTCGTTGGGGTTGTTAAAAAAAATCATCTTCAAAATTCAGATATCGCAGTTTCTCGTGATCTTGACTCTTTTATCCTCTTGTTTGCAGTGGAGCCTCCTTCCGACTTGAAATTTAAAATCCTAAATGAAAACACAGTGCAAATGTCATGGAGGAGGCCTGCGTCTCAGATACAGGGCTACAGAATACAAGTCATATCAGATACAGGTGCGTGATGTCAGCAGCGTCACATGTTACAGTCTTTTGACCAGCTTTGACTGACTTATCTTCTGACTTGATATCTCATTACCTGTTCCAGATGATTCTAAAGATTTGACTCTTCCTGCCTCGGCCACAAACACATCAATCACGGATCTAACTCCAGATGTAGACTATTCGGTGTCAATCAATTCATTTGATGGTGCGGAAGAAAGCATCCCTATTCTTGGACAGTTAACAAGTAAGTGCACACCCAACACCCTTTCTCTTATTAGTTGTGTTTGTTAAGGTAAGCAACTATTAATATTTCACATATTCATGGTAAGAGATTCGTTCATGTATTGAACTTTGGCATGAAACTCGTAACCCTCACCTTTACGGACATTGTAGGTTAATAACATAGTGTCTATGATAAAGAACTTTTAAAGATGTAGCTTAGGGTATATTTGAAATGGTTTTAATCATTTTCAAGAAAAGTTTCAATTTATTTACTTAAGAAAGGCCATGTGACGTGTTTCCATCAAGTAAAAATTAATAACATGTTTTCCTTACATCTTGAATACACGTGAGAGTATTGTCACGAGAGAAATGTATTTTTCAAAGTAAATTTTTTTTTCAAGTGTAATCAATTAAGTATGGAGTCATATGGAAGTTTGTTTCTGCCACAGAATAAAGCAATTTAAAAGATAATTTCGACTTTTTATCTCACAATTCTGACTTTTTTAATTCTGACTTTTTTCTCGTAATTTGACTTTTTTTATCACAATTGTGAGTTTATATCTTGCAATTCTAACTTATTTTTTCAGCATTGTGAGATGCAGTAAACTTGCGAGTTAAAAAGTCCAATTCTGAGGAAAAAAATATTATTATTTTTTTCTCCAGAATTGTGAGTTTAATTCTCACAATTCTGAATTTATAACTTGAAATTTGACTTATATCGTACAATTCTAAGAAAAAAATTCAGAATTGTGAGATAAAATGTCGCAATTACCTTTTCTATTTTTTATCCAGTGGTGGAAACAATGTTCCATAGAGCCCTTCACGTGACATAATTATATATCATATCACATATGTATCATATATATACCTATCATGGCCACAAAATGTATTTTGAATTAATTATTACTGAAGACCCAGACAACAAATGAGCATCAAGTCATTGACCTTTGTTGAGGACAGTTTTGATATTGCTACAAGCGAAGAATATCTCATAAACTGTCATTGAAGGAGATACCTGAATCATTTAGAGACCAAAATATAATTTTGAGATTTAGGAGTGGAGCCATAATGCAACTACCCACAATACTCTAGGAATCGCATAGCAATACACTTAAAACATTCAGAATACTGTAGTAAATGTATAGCAATACCCATTCAACCACCCACAAAACACTAGCATTGTGATGGTTTGGAGGTTTTGCATGGGCAAATCATTTTCTTCAGGAAGAAAGAGATCTACTGAGCTAAATTACAGAACAAAGTATTGTTGATAATTAGTTGTGATAAATCCATTTGCCAAAATGAATCACAAGCTTTCAAGACACAGACCTAACTTCTTCTCCTATTACAGTTCAATCCAGCAACACAAGTGGAACAAGGAAGCCACAGTCAGAGGCTGTCAGTGAGTATATTCAATCAAACCATTTCTTCATCACTCCTTGTCACCTATGAAATGGAACTCCATATGCAATGTATTAGATCACATTTTTCCTTTAGACTTTTTTTCTTCTGACCCTTTGTGAACTTGTTACAGCTCGCAAAGAAAGATTGCTCAAGGCTGTGGTTGGCAATGTAAAAATTGCCTTTAATTAAAAGCATTTAAATAGAATCAGAGCTTATGAAACGTTTTGCTTTGTGCTGTTAGAAGTGGCTGTTATAACACAGAGGAGGGTTGAGGTTCCTTCTAGCCTCATTCATTTACTCTCACACACTCAGACATCATGTTTTAAACTAGGGGAAAGGATTACGGTCCTGACCCAATTCCACTCCTTTTCTTGTGAGGCCAAATCATGAGTACAGGAGCCAAAAAAATCCCACTGAAATGCCAGAGAACCAGTTCTCAAGATGTACATTTCACATTAAAGTTAGAAATGTCTAAATAAACAGAAATAATTTTATTGAAAGTATTCATTGCATTGCAAAAGCAATTTTTTTTTACTGTGGAAATGCTGGAGGTCACTCCCAGAGTCATTAATAAGTGTAAGTGTAGCTGCAAAATAAACATGCGTAAAACAGACAGCTTTTTTAAACAACAACAACATTTATTGCTCATTAATGTGTCAAAACTAATAAGCGAAATGATGAAGATTGTAGCTGATAGTTTGTTCTCATATTATTATTTGGCTTTCTCTCATGGCTTTCCCTTCGTTCCCTCGTCATGCAGAGTGTTCAGTAAGTGCTATCACAGATCTGGTTTTCCTGGTGGATGGCTCTTGGAGTGTGGGAAGAGAAAACTTTAAATTTATCCGGAGTTTCATTGGGGCCATGGCGGGAGCCTTCGACATTGGAGAGGATAAGACCCGAGTGGCTGTGGTACAGTACAGCTCAGATACCAGGACAGAGTTCAACATGAACACGCATTACAGACGGCCTGATGTCCTACGAGCCATTAAAAATCTGCCCTACAAGGGTGGTAATACCATGACAGGTGTGTAAAAGATTTACCATACCATGATTTTGCCGATTAGGACTTGTTTCTGGATGAACATCCTTGTTGGTCCTGGAACAAACATAGTCAACGTTATTCAACTAATCAGATTTGGGGTATGTTTAGAGTGTGAATAACATTCTCATCAACTTTAACTTTAATTTTATAGCATATTTAAAATGAAAGTTGACCAAAGTGCTCACAGTATATATTACCAACAGGGCTTGACATTTACACCCGCCAACCCGCCAAATGCGGGTGGATTTCAGCAGTGGCATGTAACTTGGATTTCGGCGTGGGATTGCGGTTATTGTGCATAATTTGACAAATTTCTGCAGATTTTGTGCTCACATCCAAAGTACAAGCACATAAAGCCGCCTTTCGGTACTAAATTGAGGTCGTATTGCGCTTAAACAGTCAAATACACACAAAATAATGTCAATTAATGTCACAGTCAGTTATGTTTTAAGTAAATGTAAACAGTTGAGAAAGAAAACACGTGTAACAGTATGATGGATCAGGTCTTAAAGTGACAGCAGCCTAATATACCTGCTGCCAAATTATGAGACAATATTAAAAATATCTACATCGCACTTTAAACCACTAGCTACAGTGGCTAATGAGCAAAAAAGTTAATGCCAAGCCCTGATTACCAACATCATGAAACAAACAATTTAGGTCTATATACAGTAATTGTGATAACACATGTAGGTAATGTAGGTACACGTCCTAGGTCCTATTTGGCAAAATTATGCTCACAATGTCATTTATGGTCTGAATTTCAAACATAAAGACTTTTTTTTACCAACCCGATTAGAAGTATTGTAGCACTAGCTGTTTGTAGTCATTATCCAACATGTATAAATTTGTATCTTGATGTCTTACACGCTCAACCAGGTGATGCTATGGACTATCTGGAGAAAAACACTTTTATTGAGGCGGCTGGAGCCAGGAAAGGCTTCCCAAAAGTGGCCATGATCATCACGGATGGAAAGTCGCAAGACCCAGTTGGGGAGTATGCCGAACGGCTGAGGAACATTGGAGTAGAGATCTTTGTCCTGGGTATGTGTCTATACATCTGTTGAATATGCATCTGTCATATGGAACACTCTTTCAAGCCACAATTCATGTCTTTAGGTATCAAAGGGGCAGATGAGGATGAGTTGAAGGAGATGGCTTCCACTCCCCACAGCAAGCATGTCTACAATGTTCCAAACTTCGACATGATCAATCAAGTGCAGAAGGAGCTCATCACTGAGGTCTGTTCTGGTGTGGAGGAGCAGCTAAATTCCCTTGTAAGCGGAGAGGAAGGTACAACCCAACACATGCATTCATGCTCAAGCTATAAACTCGTCGAGAATTGACCAGTTAATGGAAGATCTATAAATCATCTCCCCATGTTTTTGCAGTTGTTGAACCAGCTTCGAACCTCAGAGTAACTGATGTCTCCTCTAAATCCATGAGAATTACGTGGGATTTATCTCCTGGTGTCATCACAGGCTATAAGCTGCAGGTCTTCCCTGTAATTGTTGGTGCCAAGAAGCAGGAGATCTATACAGGGCCCACATTCACCTTGGCCAATGTCAGAGACCTGTCCCCTGAGACAGAGTATGATATTAGTCTGTTTGCCCTCAAAGGTCTGACCCCTAGTAAGCCACAAGTTGTCACAGAGAAAACTCAGCCTGTGAAAGTGTCTACAGGTAAGATGCTAACTCCTAATTTGTCATTTAGTAGATGCTTTTATCAAACAGTCCCCCCCCCCCGGGTATCCATTCTGAGTTTAAAAGAATAATTCCTGCCAGATTGAAAATTTGAAAATGTTGTTATCATTTACCATTTATTTAGTCTCAAAGTTATGAAGGGCTGTCAAGCTCTAAAAATGACAAAGAAGCACCATAAACAAGTAGTTAATTTGACTCCTCTAGACGGGGGCTAGATTGGGGCAAAAATCTGGGCAAAAGTTGTATAGTCTCACGGATCCACCCTTATCTGTATACTGGTCCTTGCTGATATCTGTTTACCTTCCAAATGCTCGTTCCAAAATTTGTAATATTTTGTGTTTTGTGCCCTACAGAGTGTTCCCTAGAGGTTGATGTCCAAGCTGACATTGTCCTCCTGGTGGATGGCTCGTACAGTATAGGACTGGCTAACTTTGCTAAAGTCAGAGCCTTCCTCGAAGTGCTCGTCAATTCTTTTGACATCGGACCCAACAAAGTGCAAATCAGCTTGGTTCAGTACAGTAGGGATCCTCAGACTGAGTTTGCCTTGAACAAGCACCATGACATTGCAGCTGTGGTCAAGGCGGTCCGCACCTTCCCCTACCGTGGAGGCTCCACCAACACTGGCAAGGCCATGACCTACGTGAGGGAAAAGATCTTCATTTCAGGCCGTGGTGCTCGTGATAACGTGCCGCGAGTCATGGTGCTCATCACGGACGGCAAGTCCTCGGATTCTTTCAAAGACCCTGCCAACAAACTAAAGGATACAGACGTTGAGATTTTTGCTGTGGGAGTCAAGGACGCCGTGCGCTCCGAGCTGGAGGCTATTGCCAATGCTCCTGCTGATAACCATGTGTTTGAGGTAGAAGACTTTGATGCTTTTGAGCGAATCTCCAAGGAACTGACCACATCCATCTGCCTAAGAATTGAGCAGGAGCTCCATAACATCAAGAAAAGAAGTATGTGACAACCTTCGGTTAAGCTATTTATTGTTTTCATTCTGAAATTTATGTTCATACTTATCTGTGTGAGCCAGATGGGTGGCTTACCATGATTTCCCCAAGTAAGACTTGTCTTGATGGTCCTGGAATAACATTCTTATCATCCAATAACATTTTAGGAATGAGGAAAGTGTTAAGGTTAGGGCTAGGGTTAGGGGCTTGAACAACATTCTTGTCAACCTAATCTTTTCTCTCCGATAGGCAGTTTACTCTAAGTAGTTTTATGGTTAGTTTAGAATAGGGTTCAGACTGTGTTTGTTTGATGGGAATGTTGTTCCAGGACCAACAAAAGATGGGGATCTAGGAACACACCCTACTTGGCAAAATCACAGTTATCAATATTATTTCATAACACAAATAGTTATGGAAATACTAAACTCTGGAAACATCTGTTCAGGGCTGCTTAGACATAATAAACATCATGAACAATAAATAATCAACATCATCATTAATGTTGTCATACACCACACTTTTTTTTTTTAGTTTTATTATTTGTTATTTCATGTATATTTAGAATTTATAACTGCAATGCATTTAAAAGTCCTCCCAGAGAAAAACAGCAAGCAAGACCAAACTCAAAGCATTGAAAGTGAGAGGATAATCTTTCAAGATAATATACCCTGTAAAAAACGTTGCATTTAACATATAGTGATGTGTTTCACCACACAGGTTTGCTTCCACCAAAGTCGCTAAGCTTTTCTGAGGTGACCTCAAGGAGCTTCAGGACCTCATGGATTTCAGAGGGAGAGGATGTCCTGTCTTTTATGGTGCGATTCAGGCCAGCGGCTGACATAACTGGAGACTACATCTCTTTGGTGGTTTCTCATGATACCGCCAGTACAGTTTTGCCCAATCTCACGCCCTTGACCACCTATGAAGTTAATGTCATTGCCCAGTATGATAAAGGAGACAGCTTTCCTTTGACAGGCGAGGAGACGACTTTAGAAGGTATTTGCTCATAGTCAAAGTTGTTTATCTCTGACATTGCATTTGCATTTGACTGATAACACTCACTACTCTCGTAATTCAGAGATTGGCCCTGTCCGTAACCTCATGGTGAGCGAGGAGGCTGTGGAAAGCTTCCGAGTGTCGTGGAAAGCTGCTCCAGGATCAGTGCTGAGGTACAGACTGTCCTATGAGCCTGTGAGTGGAGGAGATAAACTGGAAGCAGAAACCGATGGGAGTCAGGTCACCACTGTGCTTCAAAAACTGCTCCCCGTCACCACCTACCGTGTAACAGTGTATCCTGAGTATGCAAGTGGAATGGGTCCCTCACTGGACACTGAGGGCACCACCAAAGAAGGTCAGCACTGTTGGAGGATTTGTTGCTTTCACTCCTGATTCTTTTCTCTTGAAATTTCAAACATTTAATCTATTAATTATTATTCTTTCTCAGTTCGGGGCTCTCCGCGTGACTTGAGGGTCTTCAACGAGACTGTGTCCAGCATGAAGGTTTCATGGCGGGCTGCTCCAGGCAATGTGCTTCAATATAATGTGGCCTACAAACCTGATGGTGGGGAAAGGAAAGAAATATTTGTTAAAGGAGACACAACAACTGCTTTGCTGAAGAATCTTCTCCCAGACACAGAGTATGAGCTGTTTGTTAGTGCCCGCTATACCTCTGGCCTCGGAGCTCCACTAATGGGAACTGGCACCACCCTTGAAGGTAAGAGACCTCAGTATTACAAATGAAGCTTGTGCTTTCTACATTGCAATTAATTTGTCTGCTGTACACTCTATGATACAAAACTAAAAACCAATGGGTTATGGGTGGTTGAAGACCCTGATGGCGGTCTGCACCAATGGTTGACCAACATTGCTTTTTCAATAACACATGCAGACTCCTTGAAGGCAGGTTGGCTTTGGCTACTATGAGAATGCCAATCTACTATATTTACATTTACATTTATTCATTTAGCAGACGCTTTTATCCAAAGCGACATACAAATGAGAACAATAGAAGCAGTTAAACTAACAATAGGACAACAATATGCAAGTGCTATGACCCTTCCCAGTTTTTATTTTTATTTTATTTTAAAGATAATAGATATAGAATAGACGATAAAGTGTTAGTATTAATGGATCAAGTGTTGCCGAAAAAATGCGTCTTCAGCCATTTCTTGAAAATGGCCACGGACTCAGCGGCACTTTTAGAAGATTTTGTCAAATGCTGACAATCTCAAGATATGATAGTTCCCAAATATCGGCAGATATAGAACTTTATAGCAAAGCTGTTAAAGCTATACATTTTGATGGTTTATTTTAGACACTGCTTTCTGCTACCTAATCGTTTCTATATCACACTCTTAACAGAGGCCAGATGTACTTAAAAGACATTCAAGTGTTGTCTGTCAGTTTGAAGTGCAATTCATAATTTTGGGAACCAACTGGGTGACCTTTTAGATTGTGTCATCTAATGACAGATCTCACTGTGTGGATTCCCCCACGCTGTGGCTTTATACATTTGGTGTGTGGGCAGCAGATGAATTAGCTGAGCTTGTAAAAATGTCCTCACTCATGCTTGGCATTGCATGAATAGTGAATGGAAAGAAAACCTCAAGAGATATTAGTTTGGAGAAATCTTTTCTAGTGTCTAACCCTGGTCTAGCAATCAGAATTTGGGGTTTTAAACTTAAATCATACAGTGTATTGTTGCATCCCACTTTTCCAAAGTTACCATACTATTTTGATGTTGTGCAGCCAGAAGGATTTTTAGTGATTGCTAGTTATTTTTTAACGAACGACGGTGTTCTGTTACAGTCCGGCTTACATTAGTGGTCTTAAACCACTAAGACCCAATTGCTTCCACATAAAAGCACATGTTTGTGTTTTTTGTCTTCGCAAAAAGTAAAGTCCATGTCTCTCTCAATATTCTCTTGATAAAAAGCATGTCAGAGTTACAGGACTATTAACTTGTGGGCTTGTTTGATTTGAGTCACCGAGTCAAACTATTTCATCCAAAGTTTGTAACCTAAACGTATCTGTCATAAATGCCCAGTACTTGCTGCATGTCATTTTTCGGATGGATTACAAGCAGTGTTATGTTAAAAAATGCTGATTATAAATATCTAACTGGAACGGCTAATGACTGTCCATTGAACATTATTCAAAATCACAAACTTCAGAGGCTTGTCATTATGTATGCTGACTCAAGCTGCCTTTCAACACAGAGGCGAAGGAAACATGTGACTAATTTCTGGCCGATGACAAGGCGTTTCCAAACTGAGCTTCGTTATACTCCATATCCTGGAGGATAACACAGTGTTCTTTGTTTTAGTTGCCCTCAGCCTCCAGAAAATGGCCTAGCCCAGTCAGGGCAATTAGGAAGTGACCTTAAATAAGGGCTTTAGTGACCGATCAGTTCATTCTGAGGGTGTGAGAAACACATTGCATCTCATATTCAGCCTACTGAACTGAACTGTTAAAAATGTCATTATAATTGCTGAATTGCATATATTCTGAATGCAAAAAAAATGTAAACTTGTTTTTCTAAATCAGCCAGTTTGCTTCAGGGGTCTTAGAGCGTCTATGTGTTTTAACATCTGGTGAATGTGGTTGCAGTCAGCATGAGTTTTGTCTCATGATAGTTTTTGTGGAAACTGGGCTTGGGCTGTGAGATCTTTGCCAGCGCCAGATTATGTCTCTGAGCCAAGAGCGCTTGCCCTGTTTTACTGAAAATGAGATGAATTCTGCGAGAATAGAGAGGACAGACCTCATTTACTCATCAAGCACTGTGTCTATATGGATCCCAAGGAGATTTTGCAAAGCTTAATCAGTATGCTATTGGAAATTAACTTCTGTAATGTCCAAGTCTAAGTAATGCTAGATTGTTTTCGTCAGCTTTGTATGGCAGTTGTTCAAAAGCACGTTCAAGATGTTCAATACCAATGTGTTCTCAGCTTGGGACCACCCCATCTTTTCATTACCTTTTAAAGATTGATTTCTCAGATGTGTCAGACTTTATTCCACTCAGTCAATGGCAGAGTAAGCTTTTTCTGAATGTTGACACGGGTGAGAAGATCCAGAAATTAGATCCAGGGCCTAAATTGTTCATGATGTAGTTATTAGTCTGTTTAGTTAAAGTTGGCAACCATGACCAGGGGCTCAAGGTTTGACTGGTTAGATTTTGACTGGTTGATACTGCTACTACATTCTGTGGGCAAAAAGCATGTTTCTGAAGTAGCCATGTAAGCAACATTTCAATCATGATGAATGATAAATACTCTCGGAATAGTTGTAGCCACGGCCGCATTAACAATAGGGCTAGGCGGGGCTAAAGCCCCGGGGCCCGAGCAAGGAGGGGGCCCGTGATTTGCTGTGGAGTAGATACTAGCCATCTGATTGCCAAAGCCTTACCACGCAACGCCCCCCACAAATTCGCCCTGTTGTTTAGTGGCGCTTGGCCGTATATTCCATGCATTGTCATGGAATCATTATCATTAAATAGTGACCGTTCGCAAAGACCCGCCTTTTTTAGTTACTGTGTGACAAGCCAGGCGTCTCTCACGAGTCACGCACATCATGTTCTCACCATAGCTCACGCAGTGAAAAATACATCGCGGGGCAAAGACTAACGTTACACCGAGTGACTACGAGAGAGAGTTCAGAGCAGCTTACTGTTGATATGAAACAAAGTCTCAACTTTCAAATATTTTCATTTAAGTAATTTAAACAATACCGTTTTCAAGTTCAAGTCCACCGATGTTGATCTACTGACAGCATTGTTGTCGGACAAAATTGCATATTCGGCGTTATGATTGGCCAGTTCGCCTGTCAATCAAACCCCCAGCAGGGCATGGTGAATTGAAACGTCACGTTTTAATTTGATATAACAAATACATTTATTTAATATTTAACTTGTGAACGATCTACCTGCTGCTGCACGTAGGCCTATAGATGGCTGCCTGCGCCTTATTAGAATATACGCATCAACCAATCAATCGCCTCCACTCTTCACTTCATTAGACTATTCTTAAAACACATGCGTCATCATCGACCCCACAAATTTTCGGTAAGTTTGATTATTAACTTGATGGATGTATGATGCTTTTTGTGTTTGATCAAACTATATTTTCGCCTAAAGGGCTGGCGATAATATATCCGGTAGAAATATGTAGCCTACATTTTCCTGCGCCATCATGAGACAAGTTTATAATTTATACGCGTTTTTAAGCATTGTGGTTTGGATACAAATTATTTTAAACTGCCCAGGCACAGTAAGCAGCGGGAGAGAATTAATTTTGGTTTTGAGACCATGGTGAACTTGAGACGGTTTTGCACAGCGCACTTGAGTTCCGACCCTGAGGTCTTAAAGTGACAGAAGCTGCTAATAAAGCTGCTGTCGCCATTTGTGTCAATAATGTTAATCAAACATCAGAAATAAGTAATGTACTGCCCTTGACTGAATCACTTTTGTAAAATTAATAAGAATGAATGTTGAATTTATAGTGAAAACTATGTATTGTTTATTTGATTACTTTATACAATATAATATTATTCAGTGCTTTAAGTTTTTCAAGTAGGTCGATTTCTTTTGTGCCTTTGTTCTATTGTTATTTGTGACTCTTGTCATCAGTAAGCTTGAGATTCTTTTCTTAAGCTACTATTATTTTTTGTGATATTGAAATTGGTCACAAGAATTCTGAAATTTTAGTGGCATAAAATTTTGATATGATAAAAAATCGTATTAAAAGTAATATAACTTAACTGTGAAGTATATCATAGATGAATAAAATGACTCGTATAATGAGCTCATGTAGTTGGTGACCTAAAGTGGTGGTGGGGGGGCCCTGCAGTAACTCATAGCCCCGGGGCCCAGTGAGCTCTTAATGCGGCCCTGGTTGTAGCATGTTAACGGTTTTGACAATGTACTTGGTCTTGGCGGACTAGATATAATGGACTTGATACTACGGTTGGGTATCTTTTGAATTTTAATGATTCCGATTCTGCTTATCGATTCCGGTTCTTATCGATTCCTAATTTTGATTCCAATAAGGTAAAAAAAATAAAAAATGAATAATTAAATATTAAAATATTAAAGAATAGCAGAGTTAACATCAATATCGAGAAATTATATCGTTGGTATCACTTTCGGAACGTTTTTTTTCAGCTGTTAAACAATAAAACACTGACGGCCAATCAGAATCCATTCTAATTAAAGGGCTCACACATTTAAAATGGCGGACAACATTGCAGAGAAGTTAATCGCCACTGTTTGACAAGTCAAGCCCCTTTTCAAGAAAATGGATATGGAAAACAATCGTTCATACCCTCTGAATAAACGTTGAGAAGTATTACCTCGTTTCAACAACATTGTCTTGCTTCCTTTGAAGTTACGGTGAAAAAGACTAGTTGTTGTTTTTATTCCACTTTATTGACTCTGTCAGCTAAATTCACTGTTAGATTATTAGATCAATTACACTGGCTTCACTGAAAACATTGCATGCTGAGGAGTGAGGACACCTGCTGGTTAAAGCTGTGTAAATCCAACAAGAACAGCAAAAACATGTTCAATGACGTTGTACAAACTTCGAAACCGCAGCGCGCGAGCTTAGATTAAACAGACCGTTATTATTCGTTGGTGTGGACGCAAATATATTTATCGTTATAGTTATTTTTACAGTTATCGTTCTTCATTTCAATCGCGTGAATGGCCCTTAAGTCTAATTGCAAAACATTTCATTGTAGCTGAATACCATGAACAAAAATCAACAGGCTAAACTCTTACACAAGGAACGTTTTTGTACTTGAAATATACTTAAATAAAAGATACATTACAAATATAGTTAGAAAAGTTATTCAGTCAAGAACAGCGAGTGAATTTTCTCTGCATCTTTTGTTGTTTGATTAACATTACTATAGAAAAGGTAGCAGGGATATTAGACTGCTGTCACTTTAAGAGCTTTACTTACATGTGTGTTTTCTTTGTCAACTCTTTACGTTCACTTAAAACATGACCTACTGTGTTTACGAGGATATTTTGACATTTTTGTGTGTATTTGTCCGTTCAAGTGCAAAAAGATGCGGAAGAAAACTCAGTTCAGTATCATTCACTATACAGCATGAGAGGCGGCTTTCTGTGCGCGCGCTTTGAATGTAGCACAGAAAACAACACTTGTGTCTTCTTGCTCAGGAATGGTTTAAAATCACATTGAAATCACTTTTCGTGTGTGCGTGTTTTGGATGTGTGTGCAGCACACTTTTCTTGCACTTAAATGGTTTGAAGGCATATTAATTGGACACAAAGAAATTCACTGTATCTGCATCTAATTCCTGACCTTAAGTATCCGATTCCAGAATTCCCAACCCTACTTGATACTCCCAATAAAGACAAAGACACTGGTGTGAGCTTGTAAGATATGATGCTGGGGCAGATCTAGACAGGTGAGGTGGAGACTTTTAGAAGAACCAACTTACAGCGAACTCTGAACCAGACTATTTAAATGTTGAGCAAGCAATCTCATTGGCTGATGAATCATCAGAGGCCAATTGAGAGAGCTTGTGCCGTGTAGTAAATGATGTGGTTGCTGGCAGAATGCATGTAAATGACTGTCTATATGGTTTGAATGAAGATTTTGAATGAACATGTCTTTAATATGCATAAGGTGGTCAGTCAAAGTCATAGCCTTGTAGGCAAGTGGGAACGTTCTAGTCACGGCTTGAGGTCCTTTCCTGACCTTGTTTCCCAATGCCTGTCTACCCTTGCACTTTCCAATCGAAATGAAGGCAAAAGGCCAAAAAATGACTTAATATGCATAAGGCGGTCAGACCTATTGTCAAGAGAATGTGTTGGGCTGAAGGACATAGCAGTAGAGAATTTGTCTTGCTTCCAGAGACTCCAAACTTTTCCAAAGGGAAATAATTTAGGATGACAGCCACATTAGTGCTAGAACTCCTGTTCCCAGTTAACATCAACATTTTGCTTGGATGGAGCACTAAAACAAGGATCAAAGACGGAAAAATAGCATATGAGGAGGTCCAAAAGTAGTCTGGTTTTAATCTGGCCTCAACACATAACAATTTCAGGACTTCATTAATGAACTCATGCACAGTATTTCGTTGTTGCGTCTCTGTTAAGTGGCTGCATTTTCACTCGATGCAAAAACAAATGAATATTCATGAGTTTTCAGAGTAGACATGCACTGCCGTGCCTGGAATCGGCAGTTCGTCTGCATTTTAATTATCAAAAGCAGCCTGCAGAAAACATTAACATATGATCTGCTCTCCTCTGCGCTCTGTCAGTAAAATCAGACCTCTATGCTGGCCGTAGAACAACGTTAGATCCAGGCAACCTGGCATGGAGTCCGGACTTCTCTGTCTGGTTCAGCTTGAATTAGTTATTGGGGCACGCATCACTGTTGGCTTAGTGATTTGAACAAACCCTTAACCCTGACTATTAAACTTTAGTCTTTAACTTTAGAGTTTGTGCTACGAACATGAATGGTAGCTCATAATGTGAGGCTTGTTTGGGGAGAGGTGTGCTGCTACTTTACGAAAATATTGGACTTTTTCACCTGGTGGGTAAGAACTGAGCCACTCAACACCTTAGCAATGTGTCTCTTGTCAACTCTTGCACAAACAAGTAGCACTCCAACCCACCACTCACTTATTAAAGGTGGGGTATGTGATTTGGAAAACGACCGGCAGTTGGAAAATCCTCCAAAGCCGGCTCTGACTCCACCCATTCGAAGAACATGGACGTGTAATCATGCACGAGCGAAAACTCAGATGCGCGAGAGATTGTAATGACGATTTACTACTAATCATGGAACCGGCTTTCCTGACGAGATGCGCATGCCTCACAAACTTTGAGTATGCGCACGACGGGGGTCACGCGCGCTGGGGGGAGGGGGGTGTGGTACAACCGTTTGATTGAGGCACTTACTGTCCTATGATTCTGGTGGTCTTGGAAATGATTGGCTGGAGTTTTTCGAGTCCTGCCCGTTCCACAGATGATTAAATTGCTTAATTTTCATTTCAGTGCTTCTAACTCAGTGGCTGTAAGTGGGTTAGGAATAGGATTTCAAGTTATTTTGAAAAAATGTACAAAAAAGAGAATCACATACCCCACCTTTAATTGGAAAATGTCATGTAAAATGTAGCTTATTTTCTTATTGTCCCTCCCAACAAAATGTTTACCCTTTTTTGAAACGCCAACTGTCTAAAACATTCCAAAGTAAAAAAAAAAAGACAAAAAAACCTGTACAGATGTTTTTGAGGAATTAGACATTGGAGCACTCTCCGGAAAGACATTGGGACAATTATTTTCCTAAGCACTTATCCTGTCATTTGCAATCCCTATCCTCCCAGGTCTATGTGATATCTAGTCCATGTTTGAGCTATGACGCAGATCTCTCGCTTAATTGCACTTTAACTTGGGCTGTTGGTTTAGACTGACAAATGGTCCGTTTGGCGTGTTTTAGACCAGCAGAGCTCAACGGGTGACTATGAGGTCTGGAGAACATGAGGATGAGGCGTTACTGGGGAAGTTTCACACTGCGGTTTATTCTAATTATCTATCCTGTGAAACTCCCACATTTTCATATAATTTCTGGTCCCTCTCCTCTCTTCTGCTTCGGCCCACTCAACAAACAACTGAGAGAAGGAGAGAGAGTGAGAAGATAGGTAGGTGGTATGGCGCAGATCAAAAAGAGAGCTACATCTGCAGTTTTAGCAGTCTGTGTTTAATGGATCGGGTTTCGTGTTCAATGGAAAGTAGATGTGGTGACAGATGTGTGGCAGCAGGGAAGATATTATTTTTGCAGAGTTGTTTTCCATGGTATGCATTTCTGACAGAGCAAATCAAAGCAATTGTGAGCTACCGGCATCTTAGACAGACTATTGGAGAATTAGATAAATGCTTATTTAAAGGAATAGTGCACTCAATAATTAAAATTCTGTTATTTTTTCAAATGTATGACTTTCTGGAGTCAAATTACTGAAGGAGAAGTTTAGCAGAATGTCCAAGCTGGTGTTTTCCCTCAGCGAAAGTAGAGAGTGATCAGGGCTGTCAACCTCCACACACAAAAAAAATGTAATCCAAAATGATTGATATTAATATTATGACAAGCTTTATAGAATAAAAAACCCAGCTTAAACACACCTACAGAATTTAGCTTGTTTTGTGACTTGGTCTAATCACTCTCTAAGGCTGGTGTTTACTGATTCATGTTAGGTTTGCCATCATGACTAGGTATCAGAAACCTCTTCAAAACCATTAAAACACACATGCCTAAACAGCTTGGCCAGGCTGGGCGACCAGTTAACCAAAGTAGCCTGGTTAAACCCGCCAACAGTATTTTGCTGGTCTTTGCTGGTCCGTTCAGTCTCTATACTTGGCCAAACTGGTGTTAACTGGATTAGGTGATTGGCAAGTTGGTCTCTTAGGGTGTACTCACACTAGCCAGTTTGAACCGTGCCCGAGTGCGTTTGACCACCAAAGCGCGGTTCGTTTGACTAGTGTGAGTGCTCCGAACCGTGCCCGGGCGCGGCTCGATTAGCCGGCCCTGGCCTGCTTGGAAGAGGTGGGCCAGAGCACGGTTCAGTTGGACTCGGGCGCGGTTCGCATGCAGTGTGAGCGCTAACCGTGCTGGAGCACGGAACAGGACGCGTGACGTCATGGTTTTGCGACGCTCCAAAACCAACACAGTCCGTTATCAAAGCTGCAAAGTCCTTGCTGCACTTCAGCTGGTACCTTGCAAACCTCCTCATACGAGCAGCACGATTACGTGAAAATTTTCGCGCCACTAAGGCGACGCATCTGTTTAACAACAGGCTGTGAGAGGGCTGTGGACCACCGTGGACCAAACGACACAAAATTATCCACAAAGAAAACAGAGCGATGGACTCCATTGTGTTCAGAGAGCGCCGCTCTTCTTGTTTATCCCGAAACCGTCGCACGCACCATAATGACGTAAGCGTGCTCCGGCACGAATGCTGAAACCCTATGTGAGTGCAGGCCAGAGGGGGAGTGGGGAGGGGGGACAATCGTACTCAATCGGTTCATGGCAACCGTGCCTAGTGTGAGTACACCCTTAGACCATCTAGGTGTCAGAAACCCCTCTAAAAGCACCAAAGCACAACTGCCTAACCAGCTTGGCCCAGGTGATTGACCAGTTAACCAATGTAGCCTGGTTTAAGGTGTTTCTTTTTAGCAGGAAAGTGATTGCTGTTTCCCTGTAACCAGACCTTGTGAGATTTTGCGTGTAATATGATCCATTTTTTGTCTTTTTCTCAATCATCCAGAACTTGGTTCACCTTCAAATCTGGTTACTTCAGATGTCACCGAGAGCAGTTTTGTAGCATCCTGGACTGCCGCCCCTGGCAACGTCCGTCTTTATCGGGTCACCTGGAAATCCCTGTTTTCGGAGGAAGCTGGGGAGAAAACCGTCCCCGGGGACATGATCACCACTGTTCTGGATGGTCTTACACCGGAGACCCGCTACAAGGTTTCTGTCTATGCTGCCTACAGCCGTAAGGAGGGGCAGCCACTGCATGGAGAGGAGACCACAGATGGTAAGTCCATTCCCGCCTGCATAATGACTTCAGCACATGACCGGCTGCTCTCTGTGAGTCTGGGGTGGGCCTCTCGTCCTGAGGTAACCTACCCCAGAGAGGGAAAAAACTTGATATACTGTATATAATGTCAGAATATTCCACTGACATGCACATAAACCTCAATGAAGTATATCAGCCCTTCCAATTTGAAGTGGAACGCCAGCAGTAAACGAAGGGGTCTACAGTCTGCACACAGATTAAAATTAAACTCAGCTACTAGCAAATAAAATATATGAGTGATGCTTGATAATGTGCGTTAGTCAGATGAGTTTAGTCGTTTGCCTCAGAAACTTACTAGGCTTATATATATACTCTATGTTCTGATCCAATCTGACTTCTAACCTGTAATACTGCCTGAATCATAATCCCACACTGTTCTTTCGTTGGCAAGAGGAGAACTGGCCCCCCCGACTAAGCCTGGGTTCTCCCAAGGCTTATTTCTCCATTCTGTAACCTGATGGAGTTTTGGTTCCTTGCCACTGTTTCCTTGGTCTTTTGGCTTGCTTAGTTTGGGACATTTAGTATTCAACAATATTATTGATCTGCCTGCATTGACACCAACTGAACTGAGCTGGACGATGACATTGCGGTTTTCTCCAGAGCAGCTGTATATATAAATGAACTAAATTAATAATTTTTTTTTTTTTTTTTTACAACAAAAATTAACCATCACTGAACTTACTTAAGCTAGACTATGACGCTATTTTTTGCTGCATTATTTTCCTGTTATCACTGTAAAGCTGCTTTGAAACAAAATGCATTGTTAAAAGCGCTATATAAATAAAGGTGACTTGACTTGGCCAGAAGGATAACGAAACCCACAGACATACACCCAAGACATATCTAGAGACCAGAATATCATACAGATTTGTGGATGGGCCAATAAGCAACCATCTGGAAACCACTGAGAAGACCCTATTAATGACCAAGCAACCACTTAAGGTGAAGCCACATTTACTGTTGTTCGCCAAAATCCTGCTGGTGAAATCCAGTCAGTTTCAATTGGAATCCTTACGTGAGGGTGAACATTTTTTTTTCTCTTGCTTGTGTTCAAGATGGTCATGAATTCTCTGCGCTGAGAAACAGAAAGCTGCTTGCTTTGAAAGTAACTTCTGTGTGAGTGGTGTTTCATGCATTGCTAGACTTTTGACAATGCACAACAGACCTTTTTTTGCCCATGAAATGTTACCATGCCATTAGAACACCCAAGCAATCATATAGAAACGTACAACTTGAGCACCTTAGCAGCACCCTGGCACCCATCCTCAACACCCTAGAAAGTTTATTTTATTCTCATCGTTCATGTTTAGGCGAGTTTAATTGCTCATTTATCAGCAACATAATGGCATGGTCTCTGAAGTATGCTGGAGGCAAAAGCTCTAATACAGAAATGTCTCTGTGTTCATTCTGATATGGGAAAAGTGACTATTATTCCCTTTCACAAGCTCAACACCAAGTCTGGGCAGAGCGTCATTGCCATAGGTTTGCGTCATTGGCACTGTTTCCTCTAAAATACCTCCGCACATATGGTGTAGTGTACGGAGGTGTAGGAGTGTGTGTAGTGGCTGATTTAATGATTTACACATGCTCTCTATTATCAAAAGATGCGGGATTTCAACACACTCTACAGCACTTATTGCATCTTCTTACTTAGCAATCAATGGAGCAATAGTTTAGAGCTGGTTAAGCATGCTGTACATTTGTAATTGGATTATCTTGCTGTTTGTTTATTGTCTGTCATCTTAAAAGTCCAGCAGTTGAGCCGTCTTCTGGCTCAGGCTTCTGCATTTCATTTCTGCCATCACTCTATTCCTTACCTCCTTTAGGACCTACATTAAGACACAGTGTCTTTTTGGAACAGGGATTCCTTGAAAACTTGGAAGTGTTGTTTTCCATCCATAAAACTCCCAATTTGAAAGTGTTCCATGGGCCGATTAAAGCGGACAATTCATTCCTTTCCCTCCTGCGTAAAAACACTCCGGTCATGGCATAAAAAGAGAACATTGCAGACAGTCCTAGAGCGTCTGCGTTATGCATGACGTACAACCATTTCGGCATGTCTGGTTTCACACAGTTTGGAGATCCGTGGCCTGTGTTAGATCAGGATTATCTTGGCAGACAAACTTTCATTATTCAGATGGTTTGGTTTTTCGGACCCCAAGGAATTGTAGTCGAATCAGGCCAACATTTAATAAACATTCTCTTTCATTTATCTCCTTAACAGTGTCGGCCGCTGCCAGAGTTCTTACGGTGTCAGAAGAAACCGAGAGATCCTTGCGGGTGTCATGGAAACCAGCACCCGGCAATGTTGTCAATTATAGGGTGACGTATAAACCTCAGGGTGATACACGTCAGTTGGCTTCCAAAGCACCAGGAGGCACCGACACTTTAGTCTTGAGGCGCCTGCAACCCCAGACCACTTACGATATCACTGTGGTTCCCGTCTACAAGTTTGGTGATGGAAGACAAAGACAAGGAGAAGGAACCACATGTAAGTTAACAGAAGATATTTGATAACTTGTTTAGGTTAAAGGTCCAAAGGTATTTGACCATTGTTGTCTAATTCGAAACTGTTTATTATCTCTGTAGTGTCTCCATATAAAGCTCCCAGAAACCTGCAAACTTCAGAGCCCACTAAAACCAGTTTCAGGGTGACCTGGGATCATGCTCCTGGGGATGTGAAGGGCTACAAGGTCACCTTCCATCCCACTGGGGAGGATGTGGACCTGGGAGAGTTGCTTGTAGGCCCCTATGACAACACAGTGGTTCTGGAGGAGCTAAGGTATGAGACGCCAGAGAAGACACATAAAACACTTAACAGACATCTGAAGATATGCCCTATCAAACACCTTAAAGCCAACGTGAAATCAAATGTACACTACATGGTCTTATTCATAGTTTTCAGTCATGTGAATTGTCAATTGGCCAATTGCATAACCTGCTTAGTCTTACGAGTTAGTTATATTTTTTTCTCTGAGACTGGACATAACTTTAAGTTGGTTACATAAAAAGTTTGATTGGTCAGAAAAGTAAGACTGATTAGCCCTTGGCTAACTGCCAGATGATCAGACTAATTAAGTTTAATTATGACACTAATAGTGCACCACTGGCAACTGTGGTAACACTTTATTTCAATGGTCCACTTTAGACACTCTACTAACTATAAGTAACTTTGCAACTACATGTCAACTAACTCTCATTAGAGCATTAGTAGACTGTTGGATTAGGGTTGGTAGAATAAGTCAACATTAGTTGCAAAGTTTCTTATAGTCAGTAGAATGTCTGTTGGGGAGCATCAACATAAAGAGTTGGCTGATATTAAGCAGACCGTCTACTAATACTCAGATGAGAGTTTGTTGACATGTAGTTGCAAGGTTACTTATAGTTAGTAGACTGTCTAAAGTGGACCATAGAAATAAACTGGAAATGAACCGGAAATAAACCGTAAACCGTAGAAATGTTACCGGTACTGTTATCACTGAATTGAATCAACATTGAACTTACTTGAGCTGAAAAATGACACTATTTTTTTCCGTAGAGGTGCTTTTCAGCTGAATTTAATTAGTTGTGTTTATATTCTGGGCTCATCTGCTTGCCTGTATAAAGTATTCATCATCAATTAGGTTTATACTGAATTCGGTCTTTTAAAATCCCTATAAATGTCTTAGTACATTAGTATTTAGTACATGCCTGGCAACAGAGGAAAGCCTTGTTGTGCACTCATATAAGCGTGTGACTTCAAGTGAAACTGTGCTTGATCATCGATTAGCCTTTTTTAGGTTGATAAAAGAGATTGTTGACTGATTTGTGTCGCTCTCATCTCAGGGCCGGCACCAAGTATACAGTGAGTGTGTTTGGTATGTTTGATGGAGGAGAGAGTATGCCATTGGCTGGAGAGGAGAAGACCACCCTCTCTGACGCCCCTGCACCTCCAACCATTCAAACTCCAGGTAAGATTAATGAAAAAAACCCTGGTACTTTCTTTAACCCTCTCAAACTAACCAATCAGATCTCATGTTACCGCAGAGCACTGAGGTCTTTACGTACAAAGTAACTTGTGTTCCAAAACAATTAGCATACACCATTCATTTTGATATATGGAACAAATCTGTTGGTCTGCTATGCATTTAGGCTCCATATATAACAAAGCGTAACATTTTAAAGTTCTCTGTCAGTTCGCAAATCGGAAAAATAGGCTGCAGTCTAATGCTTTGAGTAATGGCAAATACCTTTCAGCACAGCTAATTGTGTTGTGAAAGAGCAGACAGGGTGACTGCGCCACATGGTAGCCATGTCTCTGCCTTTGCATGGAAGGACTCTTGAATTTCAAGAGCTAGAAAGACTATCTGCTTACAATTACCAATGCTTTACAACTTGGTTAGGAAAAAAGTGACTTACAGAATGAAAGCTTTGCACATGGTCTGCTGACCCTGGCCTGGAATGTCCATTCTAATTGGAAACAGATCCGATGGTGAGGGTCGGCCGACCGACACCAGCGGGAGAGGGAAAGGGAAATATTCCCAGGCAAGAGCTGAGGTGTAATGCACAGCTTGTCATTTGCATGCTACAGACACTAACAAACAAAAAAAAAAGTTGCATTTTACAAGTTGAATTGGTAACACTTTACATTAAGGTCCCATTTGTTAAAGTCCCCATGAATTCAAAATTGACCATACTTACTTTGTTTGCCTAAATTGATCGTTTTGTGGTGAACAATTCATCAATGCCAGCCAATCCACACAAAAACATTTTTTGGCTTCGTAATCTTTAATCAAAATCTGAAATTTCCCCTCCCCTCTGCATTGGAGGACCTTCCCTGATGACGTAGGTTTGGGTGTCTGCTTAACATCCGTAACCACGCCCCTCCAACTGACAGTAGACAGGCTGAATGAAAACACCTACTTTTCTAGATCCAATCAGGTGCTAGTTGGAAAAAAAGCCACGCCCACTATTTTTCCTCATTTAGTATTCCGTTTCTCTCGGAAATACTTCACAACACTGGAGAAAAGTCGTTTGCAACTTCCGGTTCACGGGGACTTTAACATTAGTTAGCTACATTATGAACTAACAATAATAAATACGAGCAAATGATTTATTATTATTCTTAGTTAATGTCAATTTCAACATTTACTAATGCATTATTAAAATCAAAAGTTGTATCTCAGCTAAAATGAACTAACAATGAACAGCTGTAACTAACGTCAACAAATATTAATACATACTGTAAAAAAATGTATTGCTCATTTTTAGTTAATGCAATAACTAGCGCTAACTAATGGGACCTTCATATAAAATATCATAAATTTTAGAATTTCTTAGTATTTAGTCTGAGCTTTTGCTAATGACAGCAGCACTTAAGCCTTTGTTTGGTCAAAACATGATTTTCATGTTATCCATGGTCAAGTCATGTCAACATCACAAATTTGCTTATTTGATTAGTGAACTAGTGGAGAATCTTAAATATTTCTTATTCGTTTTATGTCACAATGTTTCTCTGTTCTAGATTGTTTTAAATCCCAACACTTTTAGGTTATTTCCAGTGTTAAATTAGATTTTATATGGCAGATTTTCACTATTGTCTGTGCCATTTTGGCCACTGTGCGTAAAGGAGCAAAATTGAGCGTTTCATTGAACGGAATACACATGATTTCAATAGGAAATTGCAGATCTGATATTTAACTATTTAAAATATGCTTTATCCATTTTCAATAAAAGTTTAGTTATACTTTATTTCGATAGTCCACTTTAAACATGCTACTAACTATAAGTAAATTTGCGACTACAAACTAATTCTCATTAGATTATTAGTAGACTCAGACTGTGAGGTTGGGGTTAGTAGATATATATATATTCCCCACTTTCTTTGAATCGCATCATATAACACGGCATGTACGTTATGCTGTCATTCAAGATTATGAAAGCACAACATACTGTATGTATGCTCTATTGACATGCTTAATAAAGCCCATGCTTGTCTGTCTATACTGCGCTAGATCCTTTTAGCTATTAATACTCTTATATCCATACATTTTCTTCTTCTTCTTCCATTACAGAGAGTACTTTTTCCAGTGGAATTACTAGTTTCCCTTTAATGCAGAAAAGGTTTTTGATTGGTCTTATTGATTGTAAAAATAAGCTTGTGAAAGGTAAAGTGTTCAATTTTTCCACAGTTAAAATACTTTCTTAGCATGCAGAGATGGCTACAACGGGATTGTGTGCGTGCAATGCATTGACCAAGCATTTGCATCGGTGTTTGCTTTACTTGCTTAAAGTATGTTCCTGGCCTTAGTGTTTAGGGTGCAAGGAGTCGTAATTTAAAAGTGAGGATTCCACATTACAATTGAGAATGAACACCTGTTTGGGCAATAAATCTCGTTTAAAGCCTCAGATAATTCGTTTTATTGCTACTAAGAAATTCCCACACAGTGTCTAGATAAAACATTTCATAATATCCACAGCATTTTAAGATATTAGCTGGCTGTATCGATTTTGTGTTATCTATCCATATTTTTTGTTGCTTGAGGAAATGATCTATAAATCAGACAATTATGCAACATGTTCTCTTTGAGCAGGGCCAGACGGGCGGCGCTTTCCCCTCTTTTCCCTTCATTCAGGTATCCGGAGAGACATCGCGATGGGACACAGACCAAGACGTCTCTTACGGACAAAGAGTTTATAGTTTAAAATGTTATTTAACACAATATATGTAAAATGTATCATCTTTTCAAAATGCCAAATAAACGGTTTTGTCATGCTTTGCATGACTGTGTGAATATTTTGTGTCCTAAGCTTCGATCTGCGTCCTTTATCACAAATCACAATCCATTTTTATCTTTGCGACTGCTTAAAACTAGTTTAAACGAATTATTTTTATTAATTTTATGATAATTAACTGACTGACTGAATTGTTCTCTGGTCGTACAGATGTAACGTGCAAAACCACTGCCCAGGCCGATATCGTCCTGCTTGTTGATGGATCTTGGAGCATCGGTCGTCTAAACTTCAAGACCATAAGGGCTTTCATTGGTCGCATGGTGGGTGTTTTTGACATCGGAGCGGATCGTGTCCAGATTGGTAAGAGAAAATTACCCTGAATCCTATATTTGCGAGAAGGTCCACAGCTAAGCGACACCCATAGGAAAGAAAAGTCATGAAATAGATCTCTTTAGTATTGCAATCTATGAGAAAATATGTCTTCTAGACATATGTTTCTCCTAAAAATGACACTTGTAATCTCACATCTGTGCTTTATAGAGTTTCAGAAGAACAATGTCTCAAACTGATACCAAGTTTTGCAATCAAAATCAAATCTCAGTCTAACCTCAAACATTTCTCATGAATTTTTCCAAGATTAAAAGACCTGAGCTGCTATGCACGTGCATTTTATAGCGCATACTCTTTAAACATTTTTGGAGAAACACGTAAGAAGATGCTACCGTCATCTGTGTATAAATATGAACGCTGTGTTGTCCGTTTATAGGTCTGGCACAGTACAGTGGAGACCCGAAGACAATGTGGCATCTAAATGCTCACGGAACCAGACAGGAACTGCTGGATGCCGTGGCCAATCTACCCTACAAAGGAGGAAACACTCTGACTGGTAAATCATATTGTATTCTGATCTAAACGTCAGACCCAGCATCATTCATTGGAAAGGTGTGTGTGTGGAAAGTTGTCATGTTGTCATCAGTTCTCTAGATTGTCTTTGAATGGCGTAGCGTAAACACTGTAAAGCCTGACATAATAAATAATAGTCATAGTCATACAAATATATTTTTTAAACAGTTTATTGAACTTTTAGACAGAAAAAAAAATGCATGTGTTTTTTGTTGATCATCATATTTGATATATCTTTTATGGCTCATATAGTCTGATATAGTGAGAATATGGAGAAGGAAAAAACACCTCAGTTTTATTCAGAGGCTCAAACTGAGCAAAAATATGCAATTTGGTGCAGATGATGATATTTATATGGACCAAAAATTAAGATGCTTGCAGTGCAAATCAATGAGATCTTTATAACAGTATAGCAGACATAAAACTTACATAAAAGGCATATAAATATCAGTCGTCACTCAATATCTGCCAATAATGTCTTAGTAAGATGAACATTAAATGCTTAGTTTATGAACAAATTTCTGTCGTTTTTGTTACAATGCAGTGCGATAGGATTATGCTTGAGAGATGAACAAATAACCCTTCCTCAAAAGCCTGATGATCATATTTGATACTCACATTTGAAAAAAATTTTTTCTAAAACTTAACTTTGAGTTGCTATTGTTAAGTAAGTAGACATTTTACTAGCAATATAAAAGTTAGTCTTATGTTTACTTTATAAAAATCAATGCAGATTTCACAGTTGAAAGACGAGAATCACGAGCTGAAGGAGGCGATTTGTACAATTATACTAAAATACCTTTTATTTGCTGAAAAAGTGATTTTTCATCATTTAAATTCATCACCTTAAAAATGTGCGTATCAAGTATGATACAGTAGGCTTTATATTGGTCTTCACTAGACTTAGAACCATTTTGTGTATTAATTAGACTAATATTACCAATATTGCCTTATTCCACAGGCCTTGCTTTAAACTACATCCTTCAGAACAATTTCAAACCTAACGTTGGGATGCGTCCAAACTCCCGGAAGATCGGTGTTCTGGTTACTGATGGCAAGTCACAGGATGACATCTTGGTCAACTCCCAGAACCTCCGGGACCAGGGGATTGAACTATATGCCATTGGTAAGAACAAGTTTCCCCTTATGGTCAGGAAGACTTCACGGTCTGAAGTGAAAGACACTGGATAATGAGTTAAAAATCTGTTCACTCGGCGGCAAAGCCTCTGGGCTGCTCTTTCTGGCATCCAAGACCAAGTCCTGAAATCTCAAAAACTGCTTACCGAACTCACTTTTAAATAACACATTTCAAATTAGCAACAAAATCTGATATGAATTGTCCCTTAAATTATGTTTCTAATGCTCAAATAGCATTAAAAAAGCTTATTTTTCAGGCTGGACCAACAAATGCGATATCAACGAACCAATATCTGAATATCTGACTTTAACATGTTCTGTGATCTCCAGGTGTAAAGAACGCAGATGAGAACGAGCTGAGGGCCATCGCTTCTGATCCCGATGACATCCACATGTACAACGTTGCTGACTTCTCCTTCCTTCTGGACATCGTGGACGACCTGACGAACAACCTGTGTAACAGTGTCAAGGGTCCAGGTATGACTGAGGCCAAACAATAGGCCTGAGAGACTGTGTGTTGCACTATTACACCGCTGGGATGCAGTATTTCTGAGGGAAAAGCGATGGCCAAAAGTGGATTCGGACACGCCTTAAGTGCACTCGCTTTAGACCAAGCGCTTTGATCTTTAAAATAGGGCCCACCGTCTTGAGTGACAAGTGTTGTTTGTTTTTTAAATGGTGGCAATGGCAACATGAAAAAAGACATTAAGAAATGAATTATAATTATCATCATTATCAGTTTCCTGATAGGTAATGTTCTTCATTAGGCTGTTTTATAGAATAGAGCGCAACAGCCGGGTTCCAAAAGTAAAACATCTCGTACATCAATTTTTATAATACTTTTAACACAGACTTACCATGAGTTATGACATTATCATAAATCGCTGCAAAAACTCACTCATAAAGCAATCGAGTCGTTCCACTGCACTCAAGCAACCTATACATTTGTATATATCTCAATATTTCATCAAACATAAAAAATAAACATTTTATGTGTATAATCAACAAGTAAAACAATAAGTCAATATGTTTGTATTGTATCATTTAAAAAAAAAAAAATTGCAATGCCTCATGGGATTGTAGTTCTTTCCCTTTTAAAAAAGACGTTACACAGTCGATTTTTCAGATTTTCCTAACAGCTTTGCCTTTTTTCCCTCATTTTCAAATATTGTACTTTTTTGCTTCTATCAAATTTAAAATTTTATAATATCATTATTGCTCTGAGCTGGGTGATTTGGTTCATCGCAACAGTTCCTACAGGGAAACCATTTTATGTCTCATTTTTTACTTTGCTACACTGGAAGAAGCAAAAAAAAAAAAGAAGAGATTACAGGAACTATAACACTTAATACACTTATAACACATAATTCGCTAACAGTGCTCTAAATGTGTCAGAAGATAATACTAATCATTTGAAAGTTCAGAGTATTAACAGTAGCTGGTCTTTATTTCAGTGTTTTACAGTCAGGGCCATTTCTCGACTGGGCTTCTTCTAGCCTCTGTGTTCTTGTTTTGTTTTTTTTGAGCCTGGAATATCTGTCTGCGCCTGGATCAAGTATCAGAGTGTCAAAGTTTCACCACGAAGAGGTCAAGCCTTCAGGGGCTCGGTTTTGTAAAAAGAGGGAGAGAAAAGGAAAAGCGTATTTAGACCTAGCCGTTGATAGCACTCCATCAACTCGTCAACATAATGGCACTGCAATTTAGCCACAATTCACATACGCAGCTTAGCATTGGCATATGAAGATGGATTTTTTTTAAATGTTATGAGAAAGAGGGTGATCAGAAATACAAATATTTACTGTATATTGAATATATATACAGTAGTCAACATTTGCAGTGGATCAAAACCTTTCATCAAAGTTATACATGAATTTTGAACAATACCCGTTCTTGTCTTAGGACAACTTTGATGAACTTTTTTGATCCACTTCAAATGTTGACTACTGTATATATATATTAAAATTAACGGTGGCGTAATAATGATTGCCACAACCAGAAAACACAATACAGCATCCAATCATCCATTCACATGTGGAAATAGATCAATAAAAACAGTCAATAATTTGAGTATTCATATCATTATTCTAATCAAATGCATCACAGTATGAAATTGATCTCTAAAATAACTCTAAAATTCGAAATACGTAGGAAGATCATGAAAACCTTGATTTTGTTTCACAGAATTATGGGTCAGATTCAGAAACTGCCCTGATGACAGTACACATGTAATTCTAGAGTGTGTGTGGGGGGGTCAAAGGCTAAACCCTAATTACCATCATGACCCGTCACAGGAGGAGGCCCGGAGCCACCCACCGATCTGACGACCTCTGAAGTGACCCATTACTCGTTCCGTGCCTCCTGGGTCGGCCCTGATGGACCTGTGGAGAAGTACAGAATAGAGTATGCGAGCCCATCAGGAGGAGAACCACAACAGGTATGAGCACCTCATATCCAGGTCAAGATGACTATTCCTCATGCATTAGAACCGAAGTATTAAAAAATCAGTGTGCAACTCATCGAACATCATTTCAGTGATGAGAAAGTTACTTTTAAACGTAATGCGTTACAATATTTATTACTCCCGAAAAAGTAACTAATTGCTAGTTACTTTTTTAAGTAAAGTAATGTGTTACGTTACTTTTGCGTTACTTTTTCTCACCTGGCTGAGGCTCACTCTATTCCGGGGCTTTTTTTTTAACGCAGTTATGCATTATATATAACATACGCCTTAATTTTTTCTAAAAATGCATTCTTTTTTTTTTAATCAACACTTGAATGTGGGTAAGTTTCCTAAAAAAGCAACATTTTGAACAAAAAGCTGAGAAAATCAGAATGCTGATCAAAACAAAGATGGAGTAGATCGAGTTCATCAACACCCTCAAAGCTTCACAGTCCTACACCTCGTCCTGGGTTGACATTTCATCCAGTAACATTAGGCAGTTTTATATGCTTTTGAATGTTTGATTATCGCGTTAGCTTACATGCGCGTAAGCAATCCTCTCTATCGCTTGTTTCTGCTTCTTCTTCGCTTGTTTTTGGATCCGGAGATACTGTACTATTTCAGAAGATGCGTAATAGCGCCCTCTACCGGATAACAGTGAAAACATAGTTTTTTGGGAAAACACGTCGATGGCGGGGCAGTGTTAATGTTTACATTTCTAAAGTAATGCATTACTTTACCCGTTACATCAAAAAAGTAATCTGATTACATAATGCACGTTACTTGTAATGCATTACCACAAACAATGCACATAAATGATGCAGAATGAAAGAGCAAAGAAGGAAACATTTGGAAACAATTCAGAATGGCTAACTTGTATTTGACCTAGAAATGATTAATTTGTTTTCATGGCAAACACAGTCATGTCCTATTCTTGTGTGTTCTCACCTTTATTCTGTTCCTCTGTTGCAGTTGTTTGTCGACGGGACGGTGACGACTGCGGTCTTGGAGAGTCTTACCCCAATGACGGAGTACATGGTGAAGGTTTACTCAGTGGTGGGAGAGGAGAGCAGTGACCCCCTCAAAGGCACAGAGACCACATGTAAGTGTGCATTTATCCACAATTCACTCTTCACCAGAACAGCCAGAGCCAATTCCTCAACAATATGTGTCAGCACACCAAAACACACAGCAAAACATAATCTCAAACAGAATGAATTCCACAATGGACAAATGTAATTGCTGGTTTGGAAGTACATATTAATGAGGTTGTGGCTCTGCTCTTCTATATACCATGGTAATATCATTTTTAGACGTAATACCCTTTTTTTTTTGGAACATATAATGTGGTAAATTTACCTTGGAGTACCATGGAAATCCCATGGTATTTATATACAGTAATCATTCACATGTATTGTGTCACACAAAACTTGGGTGATTCTCACAAAAACATATCTAACGTTTTTTTTTTTAAGAAATGAATATTTGTATTCAGTTAAGGATGCATTAATTTGATAAAAATGACAGTAAAGGCGTTTACATTGTAACAAAAATCTACTTTTTAAAAAGTCACCTTATTATAAACTTTCTATTCATCAAATTATCCTGAAAAAATATGTATCATGGTTTCCACAAAATATGAAGCAGCACGACTCTTTTGAACATTGATGATAATAATGTTTCTTGAGCAGCAAATCATCATATTAGAGTGATTTCTGAAGGATCATGTGACGCCGAAGACTGAAAATTCAGCTTTAATCAGGAATAAATGACATTTTACAATATATTCCCATTGAAAACAGTTGTATTAATATTTCACAATATTCCTGTTTTACTGTGTTTTTACTGTGTGATCAAATAAGTGCATCCTTGCTGAGCATAATAGATTTACTGTATGTTACTGTAATGCAACATATTGATATTTTAGTATCATCTTTACTGGTTAAAAATGACCAGGATTTGCGGATGTTTAGCCAGACACTGAGAAGGTGCAACTAAAATGCTACGCAATGTACATTGCTAATAAACGTGCTATTATTGCTGTACTCTTTTTGCCACATTTAACCCTAATGCCATCATATTCCTTTCACAGCGCTCTGAATGTGACCGTGTTTCATACGGCATGATGCTGCTTTGCACCGCAAAGTGTCACTATGTGATTTCATGTACATACATGTTGTCTTTACACTGAAAAAAGTATTTTCCTACTCAGTATTTTGACTTGTTTTCCAGTAAAAATATCAAAATGTTTTTAAATCAAGATCACATTTACTTGAGAAGCAAAATGACATGAGATATTAAGTCTTGTTTTCTGAAAAACGTATCAAAATTAACCAAGTTTATGCTTAAAACAAGAAAAAATGGCTGCCAGTGGGGTAAGAAAAATAATCATGTTTTCTCTTTGAATTAAGTTGATTATTCTTACTCCATTGGCAGATAATTGTTCTTGTTTTAAACAGAAACTTTATTTTGATCTTAAGTCATTTTGAAAGAATGTTTAGATTTAGTTTAGGAAAACGACAAAAATACCATAGTAAGAAAATAGATTTTGCAGTGAATATGTCGACATTTGCATATCTGTCTGTTTGTCAGTCTGTCAATCATTCCCATCACGCGTGTATCCCATGATCATTCTCAACCATCGTCTATCATTCCATTCCACCTGGTCACGCATCCATCAATCCACCTGGAATGCTTCCATGTTCCCATTCGAGCTTCAGTTCGCTTAGAAGGATAGTCAGGGATCGAAATGAATAAGAGAAAGAGAGAAAAGTCATGTTCCCCTCTGTAGTGCCTCTCAGTGCTGTGAGGAAAATGAACATCTACAAGGTGCGCTCCACCACCATGAATGTGAGATGGGACGCGGCCAAAGGGGCCACAGGCTACATGCTTCTCTACAATGCACTAAACGCCACTGAACCCTCTGAAGAGCAGGAGGTACGGTGACGACACACAGTTTAACCACTGCCCAAAATGCTTGCCCAATATCACACCGTCCACACTGCAAAAAAAAAACTTGCATTTTTCTTACTTAGTTGACTTAAAATGACTTAAGGCCCTTGCACACTGAGTCCGAAGTTTTCGTATGCGTTTTTTCATATTCGTGATTCGGTGGCTCTGAATTGTCAAAACACCATTCAAACTGCTCGCTACGGATGCGAAATACGCAGAAAATCTAACCCGATCAGATTTTTTTATGACGGACGAAAGTTTCGAAGGCAGTGTGCAAGCGTGATTGACATAACGTGAGGTCGTATTCATTTTTTAACGTGTGAAAATTTCGGACGCGAATTTCGGACTCAGTGGGCAAGGGCCTTTAAAGGGATCTTTCAATAAAACGAGGCATTTTTTGACTAGAGACTGAGACCTGACTAGAGAAAACAAAGAAAAAATGCTGTTGTCTACCCTTTTGACAAATATCAGTAGGTAGGGAAACTTCAACACCCATAATGCACTGGGCATGTTGCCGTCCAAGGCCACCCCTAATGTCATAAGGTAAGGTAAAATGTTTTGGTTATTAAGGCCCTGAAGTTCCCCTGTTAGGTGGCTAGAACGATAGAGAGAAGCACCAGTTGTATGGGTTTCTTTTATGAGTATGTGATGGCTTCCCTTGTTGTCATATATAAGATAAAGCGAGGTGTGCCACCGCTCATTCTAGTTGTAAAACTATGTTTATAGCTTAGGCTTCCTCTCATGGTGAGAGCATTTGAGGCCGCCGCTCATTCATATGAAATATGTTATCAGTGGAGAGATAAGTGGCAGAACATCATTCTAGAAAGAAGAATGGGAATGTTTATGCCACCGCTTGTTTTTTCTACACATCTGTGTTAGCCCTCAGGCTATTAGCCACCTTAGGGTAGAGTAGTTGGTCTCTCTCAAAAAAAGATTTTTTGTTTTGGAGTATAAACTGACGCTGGAGCTTCAGATAGATCTTATGTCCGGCCCACAGGACCGTCTGACATTTTTTGGTCCTGAATACATCGCTCCCTTGAGCTCTGTTTGGGTTTTCAGTAGGCTGAGCGGTTCTGCAGCCCCTCGTATTAAAAAAATGATAATTTTCTCGTAAGGCTGAGGCTCCTCTGAGCCCTCAGGTAGATCTATGCTTACAGGCTGGCCCTCACCAGGTTCCGCCTCTGTAGCTATCCTAGGCTACGCTAGGGATAGTGTAGGCGTTCTGCTAAAGCATTTCTGACTTTGGCCCTTCACTTTGTGTATGTAGGTTTTTAGCATCCCTATATGACAGCCTCCTCCCATGGGAGCTGTTAGGCCAAGGCCCGCCCCCTTCTCTGCATTCTGGGGCGAGAAGAGTAATGCAGTTTGGTGCAGAGGCATGATTTATAAAGACCCTGGGTTAGGCCTCAATAAGGCCTCCCCGGTACAATGGTCTTTCTTGAGCAGGGTTAGGCCGTCTTTCGCCTCACAAAGAGACTGGGTTTTGTCTGCCCGACACCGCCGTGCAGAACTAGCATATGGATTTGGGCTGCCAGAATAGGCTCCACTCACCTCGCTGAGCTACTGCTCGAGGGTCGGGTTTTAGGTGGGTGGCTTACAAGCAAGCCCCACTCCCCTAGGCTGGCCGCAGATAAAATTCTGTCACCTCTAGAGCCGCTGGCGGGCCCACACCCTGTTAAATCTCAGGGTGAGGTGGTAGTATTCCCCTGTGATACAGGGTAGGTCTGAGTACTTCACTTTCAGTTCTGTATTATCCTACCGCGCATCATTATGGCTCGGGTCGAGCGGAAGGTTCTAACCTTCACTTCTTTTTGGTTTTCGAAGTACGCTCCTGTGAAGCCAGAGCATTGCCATGAGCTGACGCCAATGCGTACAGATGGTTGGCCCCTGACTCTGGGGCCTCCGTTGAGGCAGAGTGGTGTATGTTGTACTCGCCTTGCTTAAAGGGTGCTGCGTTTTTGCTGAGTACACTGCCATGGGCAATGTGATTAGGTACCAGGATGCTGTAGACGCTGTGTAAACAGCTTATCTGCCAACGAAGGCTGCGCCATTAGGTAGTAGGCCTCAGCAGGCCTCCTTGACTGGGCAGCCCCCAAGAGGGCGCGGTAGGCCAGCTTACCTCAGGTGGTTGGGTCTTAGTAGTTCGGGCAGTAGACTCACTGATGGGTAGTAGGCCTTAAACAGGCCTCCTCAGAAGGGAGTCAGTTCAGCTGGCCTTAGCAGGCGGCGAGCTTGTGCCCTAGCATGACTAACCTGCCTCAGTCCCTTCAGACGAAAAGGTGATTATCATGTTTGCAAGGCACCCTTATATACTTCCCGGTCATGCAATAATGATTCATGGGCTGTTGCCGGTCAATATGATTGCCATGATTTGATAGTAATTTCAGACACCTGTCATGCCTGAGGCGGTCCCCCTTAGCGTCAATCGACACAGTGTCTCGTTCCCTGTTCTCAGGGAACAGAGGTTACAGTCGTAACCTAGACATTTTCAAAAATTAACTTCAAAATTCGCGTTTTCACTATAGTTGTAGAATAAAACATCAAAGTATAGTCAAGCTTTATTTTACATATCAATAGTAAAACCCCATTAAACCCCCCTCTGTGAATTAGTCTTCCGGGTTCTGACGTCATACCAGCACCACTCTATTCCACCTTGCTTTAGTAGGAAATACTTCTTAGCAAACTTTTTGTTATAAAAGTATCGGCTTGTATTGTTCCAGGGTGCAAGAATTCAAAGAGTAAACATTTAGCGGGAGTGAGTTAGTTTGGGTTTCCAGTGAAGGATCCAGCGTGTTGTAGGCAGCGGCTGAAGGCTGCAAAGAATCGTAAATACGGAGAGAACGCCTAGATGGAAAATATGAAAAACCTCCATGTTTCAAACTCACAGTGACAGTGTTTTATGCCAAAATGAAAAGAACCATTTTCACGAAAGCCCTGGAGAAGTCCAAAGACTTTTGCTGACAAATAAACATGAATTTCTGGGCCCAGGTAACTGAGAATGAATAAACATTGTTCATTTACATATAATACCGACATTATAACAATAAAAAACAGGTTGAAAATTGGCGAAGTAACACTGAAAAATGTATGAAAATTATGTAAGGTAATGCACAAGAAAAAATATCTGCCACATGGGTTCAAAGGGAAAACAAGATATTTCTTACCCTATTGGCAGATACTTTTGCTTCTTTTAAACAAACTCAATTAACACTCAAGTCAAAAATCTTGTTTTAGGAATGTTTAGATATTTGTACTGACAAATAAGTCAAAAATACAGAGTAAGAAAGTGCAGTGCATTCTTCAATATGAAGATAAGTGAACAAATATATACAAATATTTAGTGCAAAAAGTGCAATTATTTTGTACTTACTGGAAGGGACCAAATGTTCTAATGGAACCCCAGTGATCTTATGCAGCTCAAATCTGTCAACAACTATGACATACTGTAGCAGAAAGAGGAAATGGAAAGCATTTTTGGAGATATTGTAGATACCACAGGTGGTAGGTCTACATTTAATGGGTTCAGAAATGTCCTTTATATTGCAGCTTTTGGAAAATAACAGCTCATTAGCGCTCTGGGGCTTTTTAGCACAGTTTCTCTTTCAAGTATTTCACATAGTCGGAAGATCCAGAGGTCTCGACGTCAGTTCTGGCTAGAATCTGATGTCCACAGGGTTTGTCTCAGAGCGCAGATGTTTCAAAATTGCTCCTCCATTTTTTTCAGTAGAAAGAAAGAATATGCTGAGAGATTTTGGCTGCTAGTTTAGACAATTATAATATCTTCACTGAAAGAAAAAAAAAATCAGTATTTTTCCAGTACAAAAATCTAAACATCTTTGAATCAAGATGCATTTACTTGAGAAGCAAAATGACATTAGATATTAAGTCTTGTTTTCTAAAAAACTGGGGGAAAAAATCAGTTTTACAAGACAAAAATCTACCAATGGGGTAAGAATTTTTTTTATGTATATTTTTGTTTACAGAAGATTAAATTTTTTTTTTTTGAAAACAAGACCTAATATCTTAAGTCATTTTATCTTAATTTAAAAATATTTAGCTATTCGTATTAAAACAAGACAAAAAGACTAAGTAAGAACATAATTTTTTTTGCAGTGCTGGGATACAGAAATAAATAGAGGGTATAATAAGAATTTGCTTGTTAGGTGCAAAATACTTTCTCTGTGGTTTTTGTGTGCGAAAATATATAGTTCAAGACTCTGTACCATTATAGAAAGCTATATAAAGGATTCAAAAGTTTTTGTGCTTAAACTGCCCTGCTGAAAAGACCAGCATATGTTGTGTTTTGGATAATGACCTCCAGCAGTTCTGCACCCGTCGTCTTAAATAGCTTAAAGTCAAGATCAAATAAAAAATGAACCCTTTTTACTTTCTTGGCCATGATCCATCATGGTTTTCTAAAGAAAGAAAAGTGCTGTTCTCGGTAACTTTGTAACTCTTTGTTAAAAAACCTCACTGGCTTTTCCATTTCAGTTAACATCCCAGTGTTATTTTAGCATCATTAATATACTACTATAGTTTGTGTTAATATTTTGAATGAGATTTTCTTTTCATATTTTCTATTTTTCTTTTAATTTTAAAGTTTTAGTAATTTTGTTGTGTTTGTGTAATATTTTTTAAATGTCTATATAGTTTTTATTTATAGTTTTAATTTATTTAGTGCTTAAACTAAACTTAAACTAAACAAAAAAGATTTTTTAGTTTTAAAAAAAATATATTTATATATTTGATTTTATTTCAGTTAATGTTGATTTGATTTCAAGTAATTTAATATTAAAGTAATAGTTTTTTTTAATGGTTTAGTAACTGACCATGCACCTTAAACAAGCTTGGAAATTCAAGCTGGTCTTTTCAGCACGGTCATAAGCGATTCTTCCATCATGTTCCTGTGAACAAGTCCACCATCCCTTTGATTTGTGATGTGGTTGACCTTCACAGATGCGTGTGAAAGGAACAGTTACTGATGTCCAGCTGAAGAAACTTCGTCCCAACACGGCCTACAGCGTTTCCCTCTTCGCCCTGTACGGCGATTACGCCAGTGACCCTCTCACTGATCAGGGGGTGACCCGTAGGTGGCGCTAGGGCTTTCTTCCTCTCAGCAGGGATGTTTGGCAGACTTTCACATTCTCATCATTTGTTTGTCTGTTTTTTTTGTTGTTGAATCTCTCCCATCTTCATATAGTGCCTCTTCCTCTATCCGGTGAGTTGAGGATTACAGATGTTACCCACAGCACAATGCAACTGGACTGGGATGCTTCGCCCGGCGCCGTTCGTAAATACATCATCACTTACAAGCCAGATGAGGGAGAGGCGAAGGAGGTAAGGCCAAACCCATACCTGCAAACTCACGAAATTGGCTGGTCTGACATTGAAATAAGCCATTCACAAGATTTGTGATTAAATGCAGGGCTTGACTTTAATACTATTGTTGTATTTTTAATGTATACATTTTTCAATTGTAGTCTTTTAAAAGGCATCTGAAATAATAAACTAAGGCTGCATTTACACTGCAGGTCTTGATGCCCAAATCCGATTTTCTGACTATATCCGATTTTTTTGACGACCCGCTTACATCATCTTTTAAAAGTGACCCATATCAGATTTTTGCATTTACACTACTCACTGCTGAAACTACCAAATGTAGACTCTCTGACCCGGGAAAGGAAGTAAAACAGCACGAAATACAATGGATGCAGATGCGAATAAAATTATCCAGTGTTTTGCTTTCCACAATATTTTTTAAAGTCATTAAGCTTTTTATCTTACGGTGGCACTGTAGCCACGAGCGCTTAAAACCGTGCCTCCCCATATCTCGTGAAATGTCTTCAAACACGGATTTATTTCTGTAACAACCCTGCATTTTTGCCTCAAACACTCAAAAGACATGAAACCTCCGCATTGCTCCACTGTGTGTATCCTTCGTCCTCCATCGCGCCTATAATAAGTCATGTGATCTCAGTTGTGGTGTCCACCTGAGTTGACGTCACTTTTTTAATGACGTACGACTCGCATTTACTGGGGAATATCCGATTTGTCTGCTTACATGGCACACGCAAATGCACGTATCCGATTCATATCCGATTTATTACCACATGAATCCTGAATCCGATCTGAGAAAATCGGATATCGGATTTGGGTCACTTGAACCATAAATGGGGCCTAAGTGCAATGTAGTGTTGTCATTTCTTTTTAATTTTTTCGATGCATATCGATCCTGAAATATCTGAAACACTTCCCTCATTAACTGGTTTCATTTGCACCGGATGAATATTGTTGGTGTTGCAGGGCTTGACTTTTTTTTGCACGTACTGTATTGCTCATAATTTTACTCAGTCCTGCAGATTTTGTTCTCACACTCAGTGCGGCACATAAAGCCGCCTCTCAGCACTACATTGAGTTATTTTTTGCTGCTTATTGCACTTAAACAGTCAAATACTCACAAAATAATGTCAAAATACCAGCCTTGGCAAATATTCATGTAAAAACTATCAGATATGTTTTAAGTGATCATAAACAGTTGAGAAAGAAAACGCACGTGTAACAGTATAATGGATTTGTGCGTCAGGTCTTAAAGTGACAGCAGCCTAATAAACCTGCTGACATATTATGAGATCATATTAAAAATATCTTTATGGCAGTTTTTCCCAATGGTATTGATGTCAAAGTTCTGACTGTTAAAAATGCTGAGTGGCTAGTAACTTTGGAAAACCACTAGCGACAGTGGCTGGTGAGCAAAAAAGTGAAATGTCAAGTCCTGTATGAATGGAGCTGACTGTCTTAAAAATGGTTTTGATGGCATTTTCTTTCATATGATGCCTAATAAAGTAGTTCTCTGACGAGCCGCATGCGGGTTGGAGGGCCTGCTGTCCACGCTTTGAGTAGCGCCACACTTGGGATTAATTGTGTGGACAGTTTATCAGCTGTTAAACAACAATCTTGTTTTCAAATGTGCGAAGCCTTCCTTGGTCACTGTGGAAGCCTTCCTGTGGAAAGATTCCTGTCTGTTTACACAATGCATCCAGGCAGACGACCAAGAAACTCATGTTGATGGATTTGGGACCTTTTAACATATCAGCAACTACGTTACACAACTCAGTGAAGACGGCAGCTGCCGAAAGAGTACAGCTGCTCTCCAGGGCTTCAGTTTCGCCGATCATCTACCAAAGATTCCTAGAACAGACAGCCAACAAAAAAAAGAAAAGATGGGGTTTGGAGTGGCATGCAGCAGTCCAGTGCTTCGGGATGTGTATTTTATGGGTGGGATTTTTTCCCTCTATGATCATTTTTTTAACTCTCAGTGGCAGTTTTGGCGTCAGCGCTGCTCCACATCCTGAGGCATTAATCATGACTCAGTGCTGCTCATAATTCTTCGTTCTGGGATTAAAAGATGAAACAAACATGCGCACAGGTGGATGAAAGCCTGAGAAGCCCGACAGATGGCGGCAGCTCCTGTTACCTGACAGATGATGAGAATGATATGCTATTGGATCAAAGATCAGGTCTACTTCTGCAGGAACTTTTTTTTTTTTAGATTTATTTTTGCCGTTTTTGCCTTTTATTATGATAGGGCAGTTGGTTGACAGGAAAGGAAGTTGAAGAGAAAGAGGGGGACGGGATCGGGAAAGGTCCACGAGCCGGGACTTGAACTCGGGACGTCCGAAGCGCAACTACGCTATAAGTCGGTGCGCCGCCCACGAGGCTCTCTGCAGGAACTTTAAGAGCTTTCATTACTATTGAGACTCCATTGTTCCTCTCGACGTCAACCCTTCTCTGGCAAGAAATGCATCAGATGCGCATTGACTGACCAGGAGATCTGGCTGGCTGAGGAGATCTATAACACCTGAGAGCTGTCCATTAGCTTTCTGACAAAAACTGATGTCACATCAAAGGCAGCAGACATTGAAAAATATAAAGCCATTTGTTGATTTTTAAGAGCTCTCATGGTAAAACATAAACTCTCTATCCATCCAATCCGCTTGTCCTATGCAGGGCTTAAAATCAACTTTTTTGCTCCCCAGCCACTGTCGCTAGTGGTTTTCCAAAGTTACTAGCCACTCCGCATTTTCACTGGCCCCAATTTTGACGTCGATTCCTGTGAGTTAAACTGCTATATAATATTTTTAATATTATCTCATAATTTGTCAGCAGGTATATTAGGCTGCTGTAACTTTAAGACGTGATCCACAGATCAAACATACTGTTACACATGTGTTTTTTTTTTCTCAACTGTTTGTGTTCTTTTAAAACATATGACTGTTTACATGAATACTTGCCAAGACCGGCATTTTGACATTATTTTGTGTGTATTTGACTGTTTAAGTGCAATAAGCAGTGAAAAAGAACTCAATTTTTACTGAGAGGCGGCTTTATACGTGCAATATGGGTATGAGCACAAAATCTGCGGGAATGAGTAAAATAATGCACAATATGCGCAATCCCACGGCAAAATTCAAGCCCTGTAACACCAACAATATTCATCCGGAGCAAATGAAAGGAGTGAGTGAGGAGAGACGGGTTTGTGTGTCACTCTCTGTGGAGAGATGAGAGAGAGAGAAAGAGCAGCTGGTATCGTGTATCTATTCTTTGGAAAATGAGTATTGGAAGCGTTTCAGATATTTCAGGATCGATATGTATCGAAAAATGTATATTTTTGACAACACTACATTGCACTTAGTTTATAATTTCAGATGCCCTTTTAAAAGACTACAACTGAAAAATGTATATATTATATATAAAATTCAACCCTCAACCCGCCAAAGTGGCTTACACACCACTGCTGAAATACACACTCATTAGGCTGGTTGGCGGGTGTTAATGTCAAGCCCTGGTCCTATGTATGGACGCAGGGATGCTGGAATTATCTTCTCTATATAGAAATATTGGTAACACTTTACTTGAAGGGGTGTACATAAGACTGACATGACACCTTCATAACCATGACATGACATATGTCATGAATATGAAGTAGGGTTTATGCATGTTTATGACAACTGTCATTAAGTGTCTTTCGCTCAATAATGACATTTTGAATGCAAATATGACATTGTTTAAGATGTCTTTGTTATGACACCTTGACATAAACCATAACATCATAACCTGTCAGGGTCTTTGTCATGACAACTTGACATTAAATTAAGTTAAACTGTCATGTGGTTGGTTTTGACATTGGCTGTCATAAGGCCATTATAACTGTGTCATGAATATTTTTCGTGACCTCAACTACAGTGGTACAAATTGAATTTGTCAATTAAACAGTTATAATGGCTTCATGACAGCCAATGTCAAAACCAACCACCTGACAGTTATGTCATGTTTATGACAGGTTGTGTTGTCTTAGTAATGTCAAGTTGTCATGACAAAGACACTGACAGGTTATGATGTATTGGTTTATGTCAAGGTGTCATAACAAAGACATCTCAAACAATGTCATATTTGCATTATAAATGTCATAATTGAGCGAATGACACTTAATGATAGTTGTCACAAACATGCATAAAACTTCCTTCATATTCATAACATGTGTCATGTCATGATTATGAAGGTGTCATGTTAGTCTTATGCACACCCCTTCAAGTAAAGTGTTACCGAAATATTTTCTCTTTATACAGTATGTTGCTTGTCAATAAATAAAGATGTTGTAATTACATCTCCTTCCGGCCAGTACTGGGTACCTGTGTGTGTAGTCACACTAGACACTTGTTAGCAACCGACTTTTTCAAGAAAAAATCACAAGAGGTTTTTACCTATGTATTTTATATCGTGAAATATCTTGAGCTTGTGTTCACCACAGACCTTATCTTAATCTAATGGTTTGTGTTACTGACTATGCTTTACGTCATGACATTAGAAACCTCCTGGGGGATTGTGTGGCCATAACTGCACTTCTCATGTTTCAATTTAGCTTGAAGTTGACGGGGATGTTACGTCTAGAGGACTGGATAATCTCATTTCCCAAACAGAATATGATGTGGCTGTGACTCCGATTTATGATTCTGGGACCGGAAACCCAATGCTTAACACAGCCATTACAGGTAACAGCGTGATCAGTGAATAATCTCTGTTATCTGGCATAATACTTGTTTTTTAAATGTTCCATATTTTTGATTGTAACCCAAAACTCAACTTCTCTTCCTGTTGGTTTTAGATGTTGTTCCTGCTCCGAAGAACTTGAGGTTCTCTCAAGTGACCCAGACCAGTTTCAGGGCTCACTGGGAGCACGGCGCTCCTGATGTGGCGCTCTACCGCATCGGCTGGACCAAGAGCGGAGAGGGCAACTTTCAATATGTAAGATATCAGAGACTCAACTTGAGTTCTGATTCATCAAAGTAATCTCCTTGCCATAAATACATAAATATTACATGCAATCATAAGTGTGAAGTATTTCATTTGTAAACTACTTCAGTTAACAAAAACTAAGAATAATCAATACTTTTACAGCATTTGTTAGTCTTATTTCATGTTAATTTAAACATTTACTAATGCATTATTAAAATCAAATGTCGTTAACATTACTTTTTTAGCATTAGTTAATGCACTGTGAACTAACATGAACAAGCAATGTTTTTTATTAGCTAATATTAACAAAGATGAATAAATACTGTAACAAATGTATTACTCATTGTTAGTTCATGTTAGATTAAGTAATGTTAACTAATGAACCTTATTGTAAAGTGTTACCCGTTATTTGTACTTTTACTTTTACACTTTTTACTCCATTACAATTACATGTAGGCTTAAAACTACTATGTAGATATGTCATATGATTTAAATCTTTTCTCAGTTTAAAAAAAATTAAAATAGTATTTTTCTTTATTGTCAAATAAATGAAGACAGGATGTTTATTTTGGGGTGAAATAGTCTTTTCAGACATAGACTCAGTCATGAACTACTGTAATGTGTGTGTTTTTTTTTATAATATAATAACCATTGCTGTAGATGAAACACGGTTCATGATTGGTCTTGATTATTCGTCTAAAAATCACTATATTCAAATTTCATGCCACTGTAAAATCATCTACTGCTACTCTAAGCTGAAAATATTCAGGTAAAAGATTTTAGGATATTGGCTTTAGTTTAACATCTGTCGTGTTGTAGAGTTTTACATAGAACATTAAGGGGGAAAAAGTGATTTTTGACAGGTTTCTCTACAAAGTTGTGAAAATTTTTGAGTAATTTTCTGTTTTTTTATACTTGAAAACATGTCTATATAGTATTTATGTCTTTACTTTATAGAATAATATGTCTATATTAGTATTTTAGTTTTAGTTACTTTATTTTATTATCAACTTAAACTGAAAAAAAAAATATAGAAATCATCAGGAACATCCAACTCACTCTCTTTAGAAAAGTTAAAAAGCCTTTATTTCTATGGCTTGGTCATAATCAACACTATTAAAACACTCCGACGCGTTTTGGCATACAAGCCTTCGTCTGGGAGTCAAAAAAAAAATATTTTTATAATAAAAATATTTTTTGTAGTTTATTTTATTACAAGCAACTGATATATTTTGTTTTTAGATTTAGTTTTAGTTAACTATAAAACCCCTGGGTACTTTTAAGTGAGTAAAATTCTTGACATAATATCTATCTTTACATGTACAATTTCTCAGTACTTTTTACACCGCTTCATGCAATAGTGATTGTTAGTATCTAGCAACAGTAACTAGCATAAGTATTGTTTGTATCTCAGTACTGGTAAATGGTAATTTAATGTTTAGCAGGTGTACAGTACTGAATGCGTCTAATACCACACTCTTCCTCAGGATATCCTGAGCAATGAGGACACCACTTCCGTTCTGGAGAACCTGGAGCCGGACACTCTCTATGACGTTTCTGTTACTGCCATTTACCCCGATGAGTCTGAGAGCGAAGATCTTTTTGGCAGGCAACGCACATGTAAGAAACCACAAAATCCATATAATAAACATGATTTTTTTCATATACTGTACTTCACTCACCACATGTGAATTTGACAAACTCTGACTCTTTCTTTCCGTACTCAGTGTCCAAACTCGTTACACCCGGTGAGTCTGGTTATTTTCAAGATATGACATTTGACATTAATTATGTTTTAGAATGCAAAACTGAAATATCAGTATTTCTTCTTATAGCTCCTAGTGGACCTCCTCAAAACCTCCAGGTGTTCAACGCAACCACCACCTCCCTCACCGCCAAGTGGGATCACGCTCCTGGACGAGTCCAAAACTACAAGATCACCTACGTGCCGGTTGCAGGAAGAAAATCACTATCTGTAAGGAACATTTCAACATTTTTGAGTTGATATTATCTGGCTGACTGAATTACAGGTGATGTGTATCATTTCCACCAAACGAAATTGCAAACATGTTTCCTAGGGATTTTGAATTCTTACGAATGGGATTTGAGAGATTTTCACAAAATGTTTTGGACCCTAAAAAACAGCTTTGAACCAAAAATTGTGCACATAACCTTTCATTTACTCATCCAATACACAAATCACAGAATGAATCTGCTAGTCTCATTTTGAGCATGCATGTACTACATAGTGTGAGATTAAGATGTAAAACGTTTTCCAATGGAGATAGATTAGTTATTCCATATAGACTTTTTAATTTAGTCAATTAATGAGGTTATAAAAACTGCATGTACACTACTGTTCAAAGGTTTGGGGTCGGTACGGTTAAAAAAAGAAAGAAAAAAAAACTTTTTCAAAAATGACGCAATAAATTTGACAGAGCAATAGTAAAGACATTTATAAATGTACAAATGATTTCTATGTCAAAGTAAATGCTGCTCTTTCGAACTTTCTGTTCATCTAAGAAATCCTTAGAAAATATTTAATTTTCACAAAAATATTAAGCAGCATTACTGATTTTGACATTGACAATAATAAGAAATGTTTCTTGAGCAGAAAATCAGCATATTAGACTGATTTCTGAAGTATCATGTGACACCGAAGACTGGAGTAATGATGCTGAATATTCAGCTTTGATCACAGGAATAAATTACATTTTACAATATATTCACATAGAAAACAGCTGTTCCCTTTCGAAAGGGAACTCGCCCTGCGTCGATATGACGCTATTTGGGAACGCCTCAGCTGTTTTAAATTGTAATAATATTTCAAAAATATGACTGTTTTTTACTGTGAACATTAGAGTGAACGTAAGAAATTTCATCCAAAAAATCTTACCGGCCTCCCAGCCTGGCACTTTGCCCAAAACCACTGTCAAACCAGCAAACCAGGCCAGGTCTGGAGACCGGCAGTTTTAAGATGTTTTTGTCTTCAGGATCAGCTATCATCTTATTATTTTCCAAGTTTTCATGGTATCTGAGTAGGTGCAGATGTGTTGTTTTTCTGTCCTAAAATCATTGCAGTGATTTTTTTTAAGCCTCTGTTTTCTTCATCAAGAAGGCAGATTTACACTGGCAGCAGTCACGGAAATAACAGCATAAAACTGTACGCTGTTTTGCTTTGCTGAAAAACAATCCTATCTGCAATCATATTTGTGATGTGCTGTTCCTGACATTAATGCGGTTGTTATTAGCTTATTTAATGGAATATTCTGGGCTAAAAACAAAATGTCTATCAGTGACATGCTGTTGATTACCAAAGAAAACGTCTCAGGTTACGTCTGTAACCCTAGTTCCCTGAGAAGGGAACGAGACGATGCGTCGACAACGCTTTGGGAACGCCCCTGCGTGATTGCGTCTGAAGCACGTATGTCAACTAGTCCAATGGCGAGAGTGAATTTCATGGGCGGATGATGTCACGAGTTGTTCCCTTTCAACGACCCTTTGGGAATGACAATACCCAAACGCCAGACTTACAAAAGCCTGTATGGGAAACTGTGGCACTAAGTCATAAGCACCTGACACCCTGGAGCAGCGTCCAGGTCCAGGCTATAAAACCTCACAAATGTGACCGGGAAAGACCAGCCCGCCGCATCACACACCGGGAAACCCCCTGAGAGTAAGGCTTTGGAGGCCGCCATACTCTTAGTGGAATGAGCCCTGACCACCGAGGGTGATGGTTGGCCAGAGGAATTATAAGCAAGAGAAATAGCCTCAACTATCCACTTGCTGATTGTCTACTTAGATGCTGGAAGAGCTTTCTTAGGTGATACAAAGCAGACAAACAGCTGATCTGATTTTCTCCACTACAAAGAGAATCTTCTTCCCCCTTATTTTCACTCTCAGTGCTCGGCACATCTAATTCCTCAAAATGCCAGTCTTGGCAAGTGTTCACATAAACACAGTCAGTTATGTTTTAAGTGAATGTCAGTGTTTCCCCTACCATTGTTTTGGGGGGGCGGCCCGCCCCCCCAAAACGACCCCCCGCCCCCCCTAAAATGCTGACGAAATCCAGTCATAAAAAAGGAATTTAGTGTATAACGCGGAATTTCACGGAATTTGTAAATTTGAGGAAAAAATAGAAAGCAGTTCAGTACACTTGAAATCAAATCGCGATGTAGACTAGTGTGTGTGAATATTAAAACACAAAGACTATTTAAATACGAATCCTGCATGTTCTGTGTGAATGAATGGTGCCGCCGACGCACAGTTTCATTTACCACACACACACACACACACTGAAGCACGTGTGACGCTTGCGCTGTTTTTTGGCCTATATGAAGACACAAATGCATGAACTTCCTCTTCAGGCTCTAGATCCACTCTGAAAGTCACTTCGTGATCATTTCACCGCTTCATTTGAGAAAAACTATCATCATGACATAAACACACAGAAACTCAAAAGGTCTTCACGGCAACCCGTCAAAATAAAAGTTCGGTTTAACTTGACATAAATATATTACTGTTGTACATTAGAATTTAGATATGTCCCAATGTAATAATACACTAACACTAATCCAAATAAATTATCATCAAAACTGAAATTTTTAAGGAATAATCGATTTTTTAATTTTAACAGTAAAGCTCATTGTGCAGCAAGTTATTTGACAAAAAGTTTATTTAATTTCATATGATTAAAATTGATGATAAATGATACAATTTGTGTTTTATGTCTTCATTTTACATTTTATTACCAGAAAAAAACACAACACAGAATTAGTGTGAGAAATTAGTTTTTTTTTTCATATATTTAAAAAAATGTATTGTTTAATGATTCATAATACATGATTTCAATTAATTAGACATGCTTTTTGATTGCAAAAAAAAATTACACCACGTATCCGTAACACGCCCGCTCCGCAACACTAGCAGTCCCCCCCCCCCCCCCCCCCCCCCCCCCCCCCTGAAAAAAATCCTAGGGGAAACACTGAATGTAATCAGTTGAGAAAGAAAACGTGTAACAAAATGAAATTGGATCCATGCGTCACATCTTAAAGTGACATCAGCCTAGTATACCTGCTGCCAAATTATGAAATAATATATAAAATATCTATATAGCAGTTTTTCCCAATGGTATCGATGTCAAAATTGTGTTCAGTGAAAATGCTGAGTGGCTAGTAACTTTGGAAAACCACTAGCGACAGTGGCTGGACTGCAAAAACGCTAATCTCAAGCCCTGATAAACAACAGTGTTTCATTTGTTTACATTATTTAACATGAACTAACAATGACATATAATTCTAAAGCATTTATTAATCTTTTAATTTTAACTTCTACGTATACATTATTAAAATCATAAGTTGTATCTGTTAATATTATTTAATGGACCTGAGCTGACATGAACAGCTGTATTTTTATCACTGACATTAACAAAGATTAATAAATACCGTAACAAATGAACTTCTCATTGTTAGTTGATTTCAGTTTATGCATTTACACAATTCCTCTCTCTGTCACAGACACAAATTGGAGGAAAGAAAAACACAGTTATCCTGCAGAAACTGACTCCAGATACTCCCTACTCCATCACTGTTGGCGCAGTCTACGCGAATGGAGATGTCAAGGACATTTCTGGCCAAGGAAAGACATGTACGTGACCAAACACGTGACTTCACCGCATTCACAGGACCTGTTGGTTACCCATCTACATTAATGCATTTTCAAATAGTATGTAAATGACATAAATTAGGTCATTGTTGACATGCTGAAAAGAGTTTTCTGTGTGTTCCCATAGTACCGCTGGGCAGTGTGAGAAACCTTCAGGTCACGGACCCCACGGTCAGCTCTCTGAATGTACGCTGGGAGCCGGCTGAGGGGATCGTACGGCAATACAGGATTTACTACCAGCCCGTCACAGGGGGCGCAGAAGACATGGTACGTCCCAGGGCACCTCTTAACTATTATATCATGTTCCAGGTCAGTTTGACCCGCAACACTGTCAGAAATAGTGGTGAAGCTAAGGTGTTTTTCTTGAAATTGTGTGACTGTTTCTCATTTAGGGTCATGAACATGCCTGGTGTTGTGGAATGTGCGTACGAAAATTGTAATATGATTGTAATGTTAGCGGGTCAATTTGACCCATAACTTTAATGGCTTAAGGCAGGTGCACAGACCCAAAATAAAAATAAAATAAAATAAAAAATGTACCTTTGAAGGGTATTTACATTTAGGCAATTGGCAAATGCTTTATTTGTAAATTTTTAGCAGTTCATGCATGTGAATTTTGCTGAAATCAAACCCATGATCTTGTCGTTGTTAGCTATACTGTTTATGCTTCAAGAAAGTACAATAAATTAAATAATTTAAATAATAAATGTAAATACATTATACAATAATGGTACAGTAATAACGTTCACGTTTTGTGAAAAAAAAGTTCTTATTTTTGTAATGTATGAGTAGTATTAATGTTAAAGGTTTACTTTCCTGATTTTTTTTCATAGTGTGATTTTTGGCGAATTGTATTGAATCTAATTAGGAACAGAACATAATGATTGTACCCAGAAATGTAACATTATCAGGGGTTAGGCGTAGGTCTCAGCAGCTTTTGCTTCAGGACTCAGATTTAAAGTCCACCTGTAGTCAATAATTTTATCCCTTAAAACTTATTTTTATCATCACCAAAATTACATTATTGAAACGTTTTTTCCTTGAAAATATTTTTCTTCACGTCTCAAAATAGCTTGAATGTAACTCTACACCCTTGCCTCATTTAGTATATCCGGTTCTATGAATATGCAAATTAGCCCCGCCTCCACTCACTCACTCAGCTCAGAGATCACACGTTGATCTGATCACAAGGTAGTTTGTGACGTCAGAAACACCAGCGTTTTTGAGACTGTCTTTGGTTCACTGCAATTTTAAGGAGAAAATACTCAGCAATGCTGTCGACTTATGAATTTACACATTGTTTGTCTTAAAGCATATTAAAAACACCACATAGACATACGTATAAACAACATTTAAAGCTTTATTTTCACCACAGTGGGACTTCAATTGCAATATGCAAAAAAATCCCATAGTCTGCCATTGAAGGCCAGAATATCACAGAGAATTATGGTTGTGCTCTTTTGACTTGGACAATAACCAGCCACCAAGCAACAGCCAGGCAACCACTTAGACAAGTGCATAGAAATGTACTAAATATACTTTAGCAAGCTCGTAGCAACATTTTGCCAACCATTCAAACATCCAGCGACTTTTGCAGAGACCAGGCAAAAATATAAAAACCTGTTACTGTTTGTTCTCTTAGGCTCAAGTTCCTGGAAGCACCACCAGTACAGTTCTGAAGAACCTGCAGTCTGATACCAAGTACACCGTAACAGTAGTGCCAGTATACGCTCCTGGAGAGGGCAAGCGCATGTCGGAGAATGGAAAAACCTGTGAGTTCATGCTGCATCTTCTTATTTTAGCACGATTGGAAAGCAAAGAATTCCCATACTGATCCATCATATACTCCCCAATCACAGAAAACCATTTGCCAAAGATTTCAATCCAGAAAGTGCAAAGTTTTCTGGCTTTACCATTAAAGTTTTGCACCTATAAATAGAATCTCTGAGACTTGCCCAAAGATTGTGTCAGCTTTATTGGATTGATCACCAAGGGAGGAATGCCGATGTGCTGGCAACCCTTTAAATGTGACTCCAGGCTGGGCTTAATGAGCCTTCTTTATGGGGTGTAATGACTGGAGATGCTGGAGCGAGGGCAACAAAGCAATCTATTTCACCAAATGTAAAACCCAGGGAGGTGCAAGGACATGAAAGCACCCTTATTTACTGCTGTCAGCTCAATGCTCCTCATTTTGGAGTCAAGCCAACAGGTTTTTGTTGGCGTCACTGTTTTTCCACCAGTGGTGGTTTGCTTCCCATCATCTGCGTTGCTTTCTTTTCCACTTTTCTTTGTGTGGCTGTGCCACGTTAATGCAAGTGTTGGTTTTGTTTAAAAACTAGTATCAGGGTTTTTGCTGTTGGAAATCTAAAGCCCGTTCCATAGGCTTTGTGTTTCCATGTTGTCATGATTCCTAATCAAAGCTGTGCACATTTACTGTTTAGGCAAGACACCCCAGGTGAATAGGGTAAAACGTTTCAACTTACAGTAGATATCACCATATTTCCCTGGTTGATTGATTACATTAAGAATGTTATGAAAATGTACTAAAGATGTTATGTTTAAATATGCAAATGAGGCATTATCTATGAAAGCTTGTTCCTGCCACGTAATACAAAAAAAAAGTAATTGCGACTTTTTATCTAACAATTCTGACTTTTTTCTCACAATTGTAAGTTATAAAGTCAGAATTACGAGGTATAAACTCGCAAGTTATAGAGTGCAATTCTGAGAAAAAAAGTCAGATCATAAAAGTTTATATCTTACAATTCTGACTTTATTTCTCAGAATTGCGAGTGTAAATCCCGCAATTCGGACTTTATAACTCGATATTGCAAGTTTATATCTCACAGTTATGAGAAATTAAGTTGCTATTCTGAAAAAAAAAAAAAAAGAGTCAGAATTGCAAGATAAAAAGTCGCAATTACTTATTTTATTGTTTATTCAGTGGCGGACACAAGCTTCCATAATTATCTATTGAACGCTCGATAAAGCCAGCTCAAAATATCAGTATCAATATATTGGGTCTAATTAAATACTAAGTAATCTTATTACTGTAATTTAATTACTTTTCCCTTGAAAAAGCAAAGTAAGGGATTACTCTTAATTACAGTTACTTCTGATGTAATTGCATTAAATACTGTATAGATATTAGGTAAACATGAATGTTTTTCATGTAACCTTCTCTCTTTAAATACTTTGGTCAGTTCAAGTATAATTTATGTTTATTTAAAAGAATCAAAAGTGCAGTTTTGTGTCTGTCCTTGTATTGTTCAACTGGTTGAGCTTGATATGGGGTTTAGAAAGTAATTAGTAATAAGGGTAACACTTTATTTCAATCCATTCTAGTTGAGTTTGCAACTACATGTCAACTAACTGTCATTAGAGGATTAGTTTGCTTAATATTTGCTAACACTTTGTTTTGTTGGTCCCCCAACTACTGACTATAAGTAACTTGGCAACTAGAAGTCAACTTATTCTACTGGGGCCTTACACCTAACCATAACCTATCAGTCTACTGACAGTCTACTTTAGTCTACTAATACTCTAATGAGAGTTAGTTGACATGTAGTTGAAAGGTTACATATAGTTAGTAAAATGTCTAAAGTGGACTATTGAAATAAACCATAATGGGTAATCCAATACTTTTTAGAGAGAGTAATTAGTACAGTAATCCAATTACACTGTTGAAAATGTAATTAGTAGTAACTTTTTTCGAGTAACTTGCCCCGACACTGCTGGAGACTAACCCGAATGCTGTGTGTATCAACCACATTGAGTTGGCTGAACTTCACATGCCATTTATCCAAACATGAGACGGGTCTCTCTTGACCCTTTTGAAATGTTTAATTTGATTCTGTAGTGGTTGACATTGAAACTTCCGCTGCTACTATTGTGTCTAGACCTGGACGTAGCAAATCCTTATTTTCAGGGTCTTGTAAATAGTTGTAAATGTCTTTACCTCTTTAACCACTCACTCCTTTTACTGTCTTTTCGTTTTATGATACTGCTCCCGCTCATGTCTGAAACAGTGGTGCGGACCCCTGCCAAGAACATCCAGGTTTACAACCCCACCACAAACACCCTGAACGTGCGCTGGGAGCCGGCGTCCGGAGAAGTGCTGCAGTATCGGGTCGCCTACTCCCCCCGCTCTGGAAGCCGGCCCTCTAAATCTGTAAGTCCTTGTCGTTAGGCTCGCGTGAGAGAACGCGCAGGAAATACCGCCGTGACACTTTGGAGTGCAACGGTCTGTTTTCAATCGGTCCCTCTGCAAAGATGTTTGTGTTTTTAATGTCGTGTAACCTCATTCTCACATGGACTTCATTGCCTGAGAGGGATTTTCGCAAAGCTCCGAAAATCCATAAATGGCTTTTATTGTTGTCAGACCTTTGCGTACAGAAAGCAGCTGTGGGAAATCTGTATCAGCCCAAACCGCTTTTATTTCAGCACTGAGGAAAACAGAGTTCGAACGTTCTGTCTTGTGTCTTAACAGGACTAGCTTCTTTATCGGCAGCTACAAAGACCTTGTGGAAAAAATTATTATGGACGTTTTCCGTTACTATGGCTAGTTTTCCAAATCAGTTGCATTGAGTCAGAAATTCTCCGCGCTTTCATTTCAACCTCCAATATGCAATGAATTCTTTCAATTTTTCCACTGGAACACTGAAAAAACCCAAAGCACAGAAGTACAATCAATCGTCAACTGGTCTCAATTTTCAGAATAAAGGAGAGTGTTGTCAGGAGTGAAAAAAGGGAGTTCCCATGTCATTAATTGGGAATTCAGTGACCCCCATGACCTGGCATTGTGAAGAGTGGTGAAAGGAGGTGATTGCCTGCCACTGTCAGCACGTTATTCACTCGTATCACTACAGCTGATAGACCATTAACACATCAAAGGAATGTTTCCAGAAAGTGATCGCTAATGATTGGCTTGGGAATCAGTGGTGACACACACATCAATAGAGGTCATCTCTAGAAAAACAGCCAAGCTCCTTTCTCAGGGTGTAATATATCAGAGATTTTAAAGCCAGCAATTCTGCTGTTTAATCGTAAGGGACTGTACAGTTTTTCTCAATCGCTTTGGCTCAAAAAAAAAAAAAAAAAGTTCAGATCTCTGAATAATTAGTTTCTTGTTCACATCAGATTTGAATTTCTTATTGGTTTAAGCAAATTGCATGTGTTTTGGCACATGTGTGCAGAAGAGTAAGTACAATTGTCTACAATTTGCACAATGACTAAATGTAAATGCACGTGGCTTGTTGATCAAAACTGATGAGTTGATTCTCAGTGAAACTCTTCACAACTTCTAAACATTCTTTCATCGTGTGAGCCATCACATGCTAAATGATCCATTCAGTGATCAAAATTTGTCAGACATGTTATATTCCATAAATATTCATGACATGGAATGTTTGTAATGTTTGCTAAATTGGCCAATGGCCTGCCGTTGTAATGAATAGGAATCACAATCTTATCAAACAACCCATATAGTATATATATATATATATATATGGAGTTTGCTGACAGCACAATCACCACCATTTTTGAACATGGAGGAACATCACAACTCTGAACAGCAGCAGCCACTGTACATCTGTACTGTATATACTGTCTTTACAGTACATTTATTTTTGTTAAAATGTGTAAACTGAAAATTCTTTTCATGAAAGAGCAATAGGAAGATAAGTATGTGTTAGAGAAATACATAATAGAGTGTGTAAAAATAAACAAGCAATTTGAGAATATTCAGTTTAGATGTAACACATTTCTGCAAAAATAAATGTACTGTATAAACACAAATTTTTACATCAATTCATAAATATTTACCTACCTACTAAAATTCTCAGTGTGATACACAGACAAAACTGACATTCTTGTACAGTATAGAAAGCAGTAGAAAAAACATTCTAATATTTCCATAGTGAAAACACATCTAAAAATTTTGACCAGTGCGGCTCACACGATGACAAAAACACTTTTTATTTTGGTGCCATTGGCCAATTTACTGACAGGATAACTAGGTTTTGATGCATGAATTAAATGTTTTGGGTGAGTTATGACATTTTGCAGACATGCCATAGAGTTGTGATCTTCCAGCAAACATGTGACAATTGAGTTTACAGTTTAGAGAATGTTAAGACTGTTTTTGAAAAATGTGCCAAAGCGAGTGAGAAAAACTGTAATATAATGTTGACATTTTTGGGGGACGGCATTTTGAATAACCTTTTTTTTTGGCATTCTAACATTTTCCTGACAATTAAGTACCCCCCAAGTAGTAACCATATTGCAAAAAATATATCTAAACTGACAGACAGACAAACCATTGATTGATAGATTGATCAATAGATAGATCAACTTTAGGTAGGCTAGATAAAAGAGATAGACCATTGGTTAAACTTGGAGCAAATGTTGTTCTGATGATCCTAAAATAAGTTTTATTTAGTTCAAAATATCATTTTTACCCATTTGATTTTCCTTTTGATTTGCTGGTGAAATGTGACGTGCATATGTCCTTTGTGAGATTCACTCATTAATCAATGCAAAAGTTTTTGAAGTCTCAGATGTCACTAGTAAACAAAGACAGCCTCTGTGTCCCTGGTGGTAAACTATTCCTTTTTGTTATTGTCTGTCAGGTCCTTGTTCCAGGGAACACCGTCACTGCCCTGCTGGAGCAGCTGGATTCAGACACACCGTACTCTGTGAGCGTGGTGGCCCTGTATGCTGACGGAGAGGGCTCCTCTGTGTCTGATAATGGGAAAACACGTGAGTCGGAGCGCAGGAAGCCCTTTGCTAGGTGTTCATGGCTCATTCTCAGGACACAGTGCCATTTGTGAAGTGAAATGTCAGGATTTTAATGTATTTATTATTTATACGTCAGTTGCAAGGGTAGCTGCTAAAATTTCAGGACATCTAATTTCCCAACAAAATGTCAAATGTTTAATTCTCGAGCTATTTCCCACAATCCCAACTCAATATATAATTTCAACTCCATCACATGGCTTTACTAAGCAATGCCATTGCACCACCCTACACTTGTGCCAAAACATTTCTGCACAAAAAATGATCACAATGACTTTTCCCAGAACTACTGAGCTCTCTGAGCCATAAGTAAGTTCAGTATGGTTGTCATTTATATCAGTAGTAAGTCACAGGGGCACAAATAGCACACAAATGGCCTAATTTCTTGGGAATGATTCTTTTGTTTTCTAATGCATTATTTTGACCGTTCAATTTTGATTCTTTTGACTGTTCTTCTGATCGCAGTGGCCCGGAGCGGCCCCAGGAACCTGCGTGTGTATGACCCGACCACCAGCACGCTGTCCGTGAGCTGGGAGCACGCAGAAGGACCTGTGCTTCAGTACCGCATCGGCTACGCACCCACCACTGGAGATCCCATTGAGGAATTTGTACGTGGGGTTGAAGTTTATAGCAGTGAATAATGAAGGACATAATCATGCGAAATGTCATGCAGCTGTATGTTTACATTAGATATTTATAATCATGATTTTATTTGACTGACTTTAGGTGACCTTGTCCTGCTGTTTTTCTCATAGACAAGCGTGCCTGGCAACAGAAACTCTGTCATCTTGCAAAACCTGCAGCCAGACACTCCTTACAACATCAACGTAGAGGCCATTTATCCAGAAGGCCCCGGAGGAAGTCTCTCTGGAGATGGAAAAACATGTGAGGATGGTTACACTATCTTATGTTACTGCTTTATAGACAGACAGACAGACAGACAGACAGACAGACAGACAGGCAGAAAATAGATAAGCAAGACAGATGATCGATTGACTGACTGACAGACGGATGGACGGACGGACAGATAGACCGATATAGACAGATGATAGATAGGTAGATAGATAGATAGACAGACAGACAGATATATAGACAGACAGACAGACAGATAGATAGATAGATAGATAGATAGATAGATAGATAGATAGATAGATAGATAGATAGATAGATAGATAGATAGATAGATAGATAGATAGATAGATAGATAGATAGATAGATTGAAAGACAAACAGACAGACAGACAGACAGACAGACAGATATATACACTCACCGCCCACTTTATTAGGTACACCTGTCCAACTGCTCGTTAACACTTAATTTCTAAGCAGCCAATCACATGGCGGCAACTCAGTGCATTTAGGCATGTAGACATGGTCAAGACAATCTCCTGCAGTTCAAACCGAGCATCAGTATGGGGAAGAAAGTTGATTTGAGTGACTTTGAACGTGGCATGATTGTTGGTGCCAGAAGGGCTGGTCTGAGTATTTCAGAAACTGCTAATCTACTGGGATTTTCACGCACAACCATCTCTAGGGTTTACAGAGAATGGTCCGAAAAAGAAAAAACATCCAGTGAGCGGCAGTTCTGTGGGCGGAAATGCCTTGTTGATGCCAGAGGTCAGAGGAGAATGGCCAGACTGGTTCGAGCTGATAGAAGGGCAACAGTGACTGAAATAACCACTCGTTACAACCGAGGTATGCAGCAAAGCATTTGTGAAGCCACAACACGCACAACCTTAAGGCGGATGGGCTACAACAGCAGAAGACTCTACCGGGTACCACTCATCTCCACTACAAATAGGAAAAAGAGGCTACAATTTGCAAGAGCTCACCAAAATTGAACAGTTGAAGACTGGAAAAATGTTGCCTGGTCTGATGAGTCTCGATTTCTGTTGAGACATTCAGATGTTAGAGTCAGAATTTGGCGTAAACAGAATGAGAACATGGAACCATCATGCCTTGTTACCACTGTGTAGGCTGGTGGTGGTGGTGTAATGGTGTGGGGGATGTTTTCCTGGCAGACTTTAGGCCCCTTAGTGCCAATTGGGCATCGTTTAAATGCCACGGCCTACCTGAGCATTGTTTCTGACCATGTCCATCCCTTTATGGCCACCATGTACCCATCCTCTGATGGCTACTTCCACCATGTCACAAAGCTCTAATCATTTCAAATTGGTTTCTTGAACATGACAATGAGTTCACTGTACTAAAATGGCCTCCACAGTCACCAGATCTCAACCCAATAGAGCATCTTTGGGATGTGGTGGAACGGGAGATTCGCATCATGGATGTGCAGCCGACAAATCTGCGGCAACTGTGTGATGCCATCATGTCAATATGGACCAAACTCCCTGAGGAATGCTTCCAGCACCTTGTTGAATCTATGCCACGAAGAATTGAGGCAGTTCTGAAGGCAAAAGGGGGTCCAACCCGTTACTAGCATGGGGTACCTAATAAAGTGGGCGGTGAGTGTATATTATATATATATATATATATATATATATATATATATATATATATATATATTGATACACAGACAGATAGATAGATAGATAGATAGATAGATAGATAGATAGATAGATAGATAGATAGATAGATAGATAGATAGATAGATAGATTGAAAGACAAACAGACAGACAGACAGACAGACAGATATATATATTATATATATATATATATATATATATATTGATACACAGACACAGACAGACAGACAGATAGATAGATAGATAGATAGATAGATAGATAGATAGATAGATTGAAAGACAAACAGACAGACAGACAGAGAGACAGATATATATATTATATATATATATATATATATATATTGATACACAGACACAGACAGACAGATAGATAGATAGATAGATAGATAGATAGATAGATAGATAGATAGATAGATAGATAGATAGATAGATAGATAGATAGATAGATAGAGACAGGCAGGCAGACTGACAGACAGACAGACAGACAGACAGACAGATAGATAGATAGATAGAGACAGACAGACAGACAGACAGACAGACAGATAGATAGATAGATAGATAGATAGATAGATAGATAGATAGATAGATAGATAGAGACAGACAGACAGACAGACAGACAGACAGATAGATAGATAGATAGATAGATAGATAGATAGATAGATAGATAGAGGCAGACAGATAGATAGATAGATAGATAGATAGATAGATAGATAGATAGATAGATAGATAGATAGATAGATAGATTGAAAGACAAACAGACAGACAGACAGACAGACAGATATATATATATATATATATATATATATATATATATATATATTGATACACAGACACAGACAGGCAGACAGATAAAACGCTAGACAAACCGATCAATTGATTAGTACAATTCTGTTTCATGTAAACACACACTGGAAAGATGTGTTTGCTCACATTTAATGTTTCTTTGGCACATTTCCTTCAGTGGGTCTCCTGGAGCCTCGTAACCTGCGCGTTTCAGACGAGTGGTACACTCGTTTCCGTGTGTCCTGGGATCCTGCGCCTGCACGGGTCAACGGTTATAAGCTGGTCTATACACCAGCTGGTAAGACAGTTTTAGACCATTTTACTATGTAATTATTATCTAGACATAATATTGTATTGGCATCTAGACATCATGTTGTTGGTCAAACTGACACATTCTGGTAAGTTCTGTGTTTTGCGTGTTGCTCCAGGCACGGATAACACCATGGAAGTGTTTGTTGGAGATGTTACTACACACAACCTGCCCAACCTCCAGCCTGGCACAACATACGACCTGAAGGTTTATGCTCAGTATGACTCAGGCATGAGTGGAGCTCTGGTCGGACAGGGAACCACCTGTACGTGCTTGTTCCTTCAACTGAGAACTTATACGGACATGTTACCAGATTGTTTTGAAATGCCTGTTTAAACTGTGGAATGCTGTTTACCGTTGCAGTGTATCTCAATGTGACCGACCTCAACACGTACAACGTTGGCTATGACTCATTCTGCATCAGATGGACTCCTCATCGGGCGGCAACCTCTTACAGGCTGAAAGTCAATCCTTTCAATCGTAAGGACAAATTCACTAAACATAAATGCTGCATTTTGTTCACATTCCACCTACTGTTATACGGTTTCAACAGTCCATATTAGACATTCTACTAATTACATCTATAAGTAACTTTGGAAATACATCAACTACCTCTTGTTAATTTGCAACAACATGTCAACTAACTCTCATTAGAGTATTAGTAGACTGTTAGGTTCGGGTTAGTAGAATAAGTTGACATGTAGTTGCAAAGTTTCTTACATTCAGTAGAATGTCTGTCGGGGAGCATAAAAATAAAGAGTTAGCAGATATTAAACAGACCGTCTAGTAATACTATAATGACTGCTAGTTGACATGTAGCTGTGCGATTAATCGTAATTGATTTTTGCTTCCAACGATTATGAAAACAGGATGGAGAGTATTCACATATACCCAGTCGGTTATGTCTTAAGTAAACGTACACAGTTGAGAAAGAAAACGTGTGTGTAACAGTATATTGAATCCGTGTATTAGCTCTTAAAGTGACAGCAGCCTAATAAACCTGCTGGAAAATCACTCACTGATCTTGACTGAATAACTTTAATAGCTTTAATAAGGATTAATCTATATTTAGTGTATACAGTAAGACTATGTAGTGTTACATTACATTTGATTATTACATTTTTTGATGTAGGCTGAATACCACTGTTAGTACATCTTCCTGAAAAACTTAAAACACTGTTTATTTCATTTGTATTTTTGTTCGTTTTTGTTTGTAATTAGTTTCTAGTATTGCTGACTGTTTACTTGTCTTATGTAATTACTTTCATTAGTTCACTTAGTATTAAGCTTTGCCGAAGTATCGATAATTGTGAAATTTCACTGATATTTAAAATGACTCAAATCGTGAAATAATACTGATCATATTGACCAAAAATAATCGTGATTATGATTTTTGCCATAATTGAGCAGACCTAGTTGCACTGTTACATCTTGTTTAAAATGCACTATTGAAATAAAGTGTAACCTCACATTGCTCCTCCTCTGTCACCATTAGCGGCTAACCGTGGAGCTCAGGAGGTCACCATCACCGCTACCGAGAGCCAGTACTGCTTTGACGGGCTGACCCCAGACGCGCTGTACAACGCCACAGTCTACACACAGACCCCCAACCAGGAGGGGCCAGGAGTCAGTGTCAAAGAGCGCACATGTAAGTCATGACGCCTTCAGAGGAGTTCAGTCCCACGGCTCTGTTCTCTGTGTCCTCATGGTGTCCGCTTTCTCCTCTCTGTAGTGGTGAAGCCCACCGTAGCCCCAACACTGCCCCCGACTCCTCCACCACCACCCTCCATCCCGGGAGCACTCGAGGGTACAAACATGATTACCTTTTTATCTTTTTTCATCTGATGATCTCACGGTTGGAATATGTTGTGTATTTTATTCACTGCCGTTCAAAATGTTGGTGTCAGTAAGATTTTTTTTTTTTTTTAAGAAGAAATTACTACTTTTATTCAGCAAGGATGTGGTAAATTGGTCAAAAGATGCAGTGAAGACATTTATAATGTTAGATTTATATTTCAAAGAAATGCTGTTCTTTTTTGTACTTTTATTCATCTAATAATCCTAAAAAAATATAATGGTTTCCACAAATAATATTAAGAGGCACAACTGTTTTCAACATTGATAATAATGCGAAAAGTTTCAATATTACTGTTTTTACTGTACTTTTAAAATAAAATAAATGCAGTCTTGGTGAGCATAAGAGACTTCTTAGATAGATAGATAGATAGATAGATAGATAGATAGATAGATAGATAGATAGATAGATAGATAGATAGATAGATAGATAGATAGATAGATAGATAGATAGATAGATAGATAGATAGATAGATAGATACATAGATAAAACAATATATAGATAATGATAGATAAAACAATAGATAGATAGATAGATAGATAGATAGATAGATAGATAGATAGATAGATAGATGATAGATAAAACAATAGATAGATAGATAGATAGATAGATAGATGATAGATAGATAGATAGATAGATAGATAGATAGATAGATAGATAGATAGATAGATAGATAGATGATAGATTGATAGATAGATAGATAGATAGATAGATAGATAGATAGATAGATAGATGATAGATTGAAAGATAAATAGATAGATGATAGATTGAAAGATAGATAGATAGATGATAGATTGATAGATTGATAGATAGATAAAACAATAGATAGATAGATACATTAGAAAGATAGATAGATAGATAGATAGATAGATAGATAGATAGATAGATAGATAGATAGATAGATAGATAGATAGATAGATAGATAGATAGATAGATAGATGATAGATTGAAAGATTGATAGATGATAGATTGATAGATTGATAGATAGATAAAACAATAGATAGATAGATACATTAGAAAGATAGATAGATAGATAGATAGATAGATAGATAGATAGATAGATAGATAGATAGATAGATAGATAGATAGATAGATAGATAGATAGATAGATAGATAAAACAATATATAGATAATGATAGATAAAACAATAGATAGATAGATAGATAGATAGATAGATAGATAGATAGATAGATAGATAGATAGATAGATGATAGATAAAACAATAGATAGATAGATAGATAGATAGATAGATGATAGATAGATAGATAGATAGATAGATAGATAGATAGATAGATAGATGATAGATTGATAGATAGATAGATAGATAGATAGATAGATAGATAGATAGATAGATAGATAGATAGATAGATAGATGATAGATTGAAAGATAATAGATAGATGATAGATTGAAAGATAGATAGATAGATGATAGATTGATAGATTGATAGATAGATAAAACAATAGATAGATAGATACATTAGAAAGATAGATAGATAGATAGATAGATAGATAGATAGATAGATAGATAGATAGATAGATAGATAGATAGATAGATAGATAGATAGATAGATAGATGATAGATTGAAAGATTGATAGATGATAGATTGATAGATTGATAGATAGATAAAACAATAGATAGATAGATACATTAGAAAGATAGATAGATAGATAGATAGATAGATAGATAGATAGATAGATAGATAGATAGATAGATAGATAGATAGATAGACAGACTTCATCACAGCTAAAAGTACATTCAGCAGGGTTGATATGATTTATTACTATTCCTCATTCAATCTTGTTCTGTAATGCCAGTGTGCAAAGGTGCCAAGGCTGATCTGGTGTTCCTGATCGACGGCTCGTGGAGCATCGGAGACGAGAGCTTCGCTAAAGTCCGCCAGTTTGTCTTCAGCATGATTGGGGCCTTCGATGTCATCAGCCATGAGGGCATGCAGGTACTGACCCGTCAACAGTCACGTGACTGACCGCATGCGCACGACTCCCTGACCGAGCGGTGATTCAGTGGGTCTTTTTCTCATTCTGTGAAAACAGGTGTCTTTTGTGCAGTACAGCGATGATGCTAAAACCGAGTTCAAACTGAACACCTACCACGACAAGGGAATGGTTCTGTCCGCCCTTCAGATGGTCATTTACAGAGGAGGAAACACCAAAACAGGTTCGTGATACGTTGAGAACGTGTACGTACACATCAATACGCTGACAAGTCCCAAAAATCAGCTTTTTCAATTAACTCATTGTCCGTTTTTACATGCTAACCCAATACACCGGCAACTCACGCAAAACGCGTTTGCAGTTATTCCCCAGTAGTGACATAAAAAGCTAATCATTCATTAATCTGATGCCAAGTAGCCTATTCAGTCTGCAACGTGAGATGTGATGTTAAATAAATAAGCAGTATTTTGACTGTACCACTTCTGCTTCAGCGGCACAAGATGAGAACACATTTCTTGGGCCATAAAAAAGTGTCAGAGTTTGCAGAATGAGCTTAAATCTGCAGTAAGGGCTCTTTCCTGGAGCATATCACATGCACATTGCAATAAGTCGACAGAATGCAGGTTACTGTGTTTACATGCCGCGGGAAATAGGTTTTATCGAGCTGTTTTGATTGGTTTATGCTTAAACCGTGTTCATGTCTTTACTCTGACAAAGGAAAACGGGTTAACATGTTTACATGACCACAAGCACTGTTAGCGTATTGAGCATAATCGGGTTAAGAACGTGCATGTAAGCGCACTCTATTGTCTTTGTTCTTAGGTGTCCGTTTTCAGATGTTTTTTACCCTACCTGAATGCTGGTGTCAGTTCCACATTTGGGGCCACATTTACTAAACCGCGGTAGACCGCAATCCCATAAAAGCACCGGAGTGCAAAGCTCTGCAGGTGAATCTACTGACAATGTTGAAATTAGAGAACACAGAGCAAGCCTGGGGTGTGTTTCCCGTACAACGATGTAACACTGCTTAACTACCACAGTACGATGCATTGTTGGAGAAATCAACTAGTCACGACTGTTTCCCGAAACCATATTGTCGCAAATTGGTCGTTCAACCACGTTGGTTAATGATGTCAAGCTGGTGGTGGACTAATAACTCTTAATGAATCTGTTTGAGATCGAGTCAATGCTAGATGTTTTGCTATAAATTACAGACATGATATCTGAGGAATATTCCTCATTTTTCTCAGTTATTTCGCTTTATTTCCAGATTCAATCATAGGCTCGTTCAAACAAACTAGAGCACGTTCGCACATGCGCACTCTTCAAAAACGACGCTTTAAATCTCTTGAAAACTAAAAGACATAAATTACATTTGTATGTATTCTAAATAAAAGACACAGGTTGTCCTGAATGTCAGCTTGCTTATTTTGCTCAAAATAAGGATTTATTGAGTCCACATGTCATGCAAACAAGAAACTCTGCTTCTAACCACAGGGCTGTCGTTCCAAACACACAACTTTGCGACGATGTTTGCGAATGTTCGTTGGAACGATGGTTTCGGGAAGCAAAACTCGTTGAACTGCTGATAACGACGAAACTTGCGACCCAGAACATTTCCATTATATCCAACACAAATTAGCGTAGGGTTGCACACAAGCAGAGCCGATGATATTCAAGTGTGGGTAATATACTAACAACACAGGCACAGCTAATTAAAAATAAACTGGGAAAAACTGAGGCTTGGGAAACTTTACGTTTGAATAACATCTTCCTCTAGCATTCCCAATAAATTAACACGAGTGGAGAAAATGCTCTACCTTCTACCTTCTGTTCTCTGCGTGTTAAGACATGCTTGTTTTTAACCATAAAAGTGACTAGCACAAACCTTAGTAAATCACATTGCATGATACTCTCTGCCAATAAATTTGGCGTTTTAAAGGGAATCTCCTTCAAATGCAAATGAAATAAGGTAAGGTGCAAGAATAACCCTGTCCACTCCTTTTCAGCGCGCGTCTTTAGTAAATCTGGCCCTAAGTGTTTGAATGCTGTTTGGCAGAACACATTTCTTGCACTGTTTTAATGTGTGTGAATGCATTAGGTGCTGCGCTGAAGCATGTTGGAGATAAGGTGTTCATCTCAGACAGCGGTATGAGGAGAACCGTTCCCAAGGTCCTGGTTGTGGTAACCGATGGACGTTCTCAAGATGATGTGAAGAAGAGTGCTGCTAAACTACAGCACGCAGGTATCACAGATCTCAATGATCATGGCCTCCTTTTCTTTATGCAACACATAACTGCTTGTTTTTGGGTGAAATTTGGGCAAGTTCTTGACAGGCGATGTATTTCCCTAAAGCCTCGGTGTTGTCTTGTCCACAGGCTTCAGTGTGTTTGTGGTGGGTGTCGCAGACGTAGACACTGCCGAACTGAAGAACATTGGAAGCAAGCCAAGCGACAGACACGTCTTTATCGTTGATGACTTTGATGCATTTGCTAAGATCCAAGACAACCTCATTACGTTCATCTGTGAAACGGCAACATCCAGTAGGAAGTCATTCTTTTAGTCTGCATTGTTCACTTTAACTCTAACATGAAAGACAAGAGTAAAATAACTTCCTGATTTTCTTTTTTCACAGCGTGTCCTTTGATTTACCTCGATGGATTCACGTCACCAGGTCAGAACTTGACTCTCGAGTCCATATTCGATGACTCCCTATCATCACACTCTTGTTTTCCTCTATCATCACACACTGTTATGCATCTCTTGATTGCTGTTTTGATGAAAACGCATAGGTTTCAGGATGCTGGAGGCTTTTAACATCACTGACAAGACGTTTGCTGGCATGAGCGGCGTCTCAATGGAAACCGGCTCCTTCAACAGTTACATTGCATACAGACTCCATAAGGACGCATTCATTTCCCAGCCCACAAAGTAGGTCGGATTGCAGTGCATGTGTGTTTTCATTACAGACTGTAATGGTATTCAGGCAATCACAATTATTTTAACCATCTTTAGAGGGCTTGCAGTCTATGGTCTCTCCTGCTTTTTTCCCAGAAGAAGCATTTCTCCTTGTTTGTTGTAGTAGCTTGTGAGAATGTCAGATTTTACAGAAATTTTCAGTGTGAACTCATAAAAAAACATTCTCATGATTGACCTTCTCAAACAGGGGAAGATTCAATGCATCCTCTGCTACTTTTGAGGAGAAAATCATATTTGAAAGAGTTTTATGTGGCTTGACTGAAGTGCAAAAGACAAGTTCAAGCAGAAGTTGTAGAAATTTAGAAAAAAGTTTTTCTATTTAGTTGTTGCAATAGTGTATTGAACTATTAAAGGTGCAGTGTGTATTTTTTAGCGACATCTAGCGGTTCGGTTGCGAGTTGCACTAAGGGCTCAGCCCACTGCTCACCCCTCCCTTTAGAAGAAGCTACGGTGGCTAAAACGGGACAAACATATCGTCGTCTGAGACAGCAGAGAATAGCCAGAGTAAGCCAAGAGTGTGTAACATTGTCACTGTTTCTGTACCACAGTCCATTATAAACCACATCATGGATAAAGTTTACAAAGCCATAGTCAGGTGAGGATCAAGAGTCTTAATATATAATATAATAATAGTAATCAGCTGATTGTCTCACAAACGTAACCAGCACATTTCTCCCCACATAGCAAACCCATAATACAGCGAGGGAGAAGAACCACATGAAACTATGCAACCATATATTTTTTCTAACGGTAGTAAAAGTTTAGCTGGCTAATATGAGCTGTTACTGTGGCTGAGCTGGTTAAAGCGTAAAGCCTTGTTTAAACTCGACGCGTCCGCATGAGCCCAAAGGTGCGCGCGGCAAAAATTACGTGATTGTAACAGCGCGCGCGCCTCCGCATCCCCTAGACACCATTTACTACACACAATAGGCTTTTTTTCTCTGATTTTGAAAACTCTTCGCGATCGACTTAAAATGCTTCCAAGATCGACTTGTCGACTGCGATCGACGGGTTGGTGATTCCTGTAACTGTTTTACGGTCAATGACAAGAGTATAATCAGCTGTCTCACGAACGTAACCAGCACATTTATCCCCACATAGCAAACCTATAACACAGCAAGGGAGAAGAACTAAGTTACATGAAACAATCCAACTACATATTTTACACCACTGACAAGGGAAAAGTCACTACTCACGGTGTTTATGGCTAGCTTCTAGCTTTCTGCTGCTTCTCTTTCAAGGTAGTGACGAAACGCGCTCTGTAGCGCTGTGTGTTCGCGTTCGGCTACGGTAGAAACATGACGTCACAATATGGCGACCTTCATAGAAGGGGGTGCCCGTGGTTATGGAGATATAAATGTCTCATTCTAAGGTAATAAAAACATTACGGTTTATTAAGTAAGTTCTTTATACACCACTGAAAACATAGTTATGGATGTCATATTGAATTTCTGTTAATAGATACTCAAAATTTTTACACATTGCACCTTTAAACAATAGTACAGAAACTCTGTATTCTGACACCAGCATCAGAGAGTCAGGTTTATTATCGTTAATTAAAAATTATTAAAATCAAATTATTAAAAAACATTTGTATTAATTGAAATACAGCTTAAAATTGTTTAATTTAAATATTAGATAAAAAAATCATAAAATTAAAATTAAAACTGAACTAAAACTAAAACTCAAAATAATAAAAAAAGAATAAGTAAATTAATAAATAATATAAATAATAAATTAAATAGTAATATTTAAAAATATATATACTAAAAATGACAAAAGCACATAACAAAATTACTAAAAAATAAAACAAATTCAAATGAAAACTGAAAATATAAAAATGTTTTGAAAAAAATGTGAAAGCTAATTCAAAATATAAGAAAAACTATAATATACATAATACTAAAATTTAAGTTAATTAAAGTTAATTTATTTACTATTAACTATTTAATTATTTTAAGTACAAATTAATACACAAAAACCCTAGAGCGACTGATGTTTCGGTTTTGGACTGATGTTAAGCTTTCAAATGTCATCTCATATTAGTGCATCCATTGAAAGCAGGTATTTATAAACTGTGCCAGGTTTGTGTGGCTTTCTTTTTCGGTGGTTTAATGGTGCCGTTCTCCAATATGCTACAGTGAGTGCATATATGCTATTAGTTCAAGAAGTGTAGCTCAGTTTGTCCTGAGCTCGCTGAAGATCTGGTCTGAAGGCACGCTTGATTAACTTATATTTAATGGTGTGTATTTGCACGTTGGCAAGCTGATGTTCAAATGGAAACACTCTGAGGAGGGAAAATACTTTCAGTGTGTTGCGATTTCTCAAGGCTGCACGTCTGTTTGTGTTTTTCTCTGAGGACAGTATGTGAATCTGTTCTGCACTTTTTGATTTATGTCTGGTTTCACTGCACAACAAATGAATCTGCGTAAAGCCTTTCATTTTTTTCTGTTGTCATCAGACACATGCAACCACCCAACAACCTCGCATAATGACACGAGTTTATGAAAATTAAGGCTGATAAAAGTTTTTGGGTGTTGATAAATGAGCTGTATTTTTCTTTCAAGGGAAATCCATCCAGATGGTCTTCCTCCCTCCTACACGCTGATTCTCCTCTTCCGTCTCCTTCCCGACACCGGCAAGGATGCGTTTGATATATGGCAGATATCAGATAAGAACAACAACCCTGAGGTCGGCCTCACCGTTGACCGTAAGCACCATTTTTTATCTTCCGTGTCTCATGTGTGTGTTCATGCCGTCAGCCTTGTGGTGTCTGCTGAACCTTATTTAGAAACCCAGACCCTCTAAATGGGTTCCAGATTTTAGGGTTGCAGTGATTTATAGCAGTAATTGCTCAGAAATGCATAATCAACCTAGCCTGGGTTTCCGCATACTACCTTGCCGCAGCGCGATTTTATTCACGGTCCTAGGCGGTCTGGATACCATGGACCAAATTTTCGCCTCAGCGAGGGGACCAATCACAGAACGGGGAGGGAGCAGCAAGACGATGACGACGTCTATGCGACACACCGAAGCAGTTTGTTTATACCTATGGATCCAACATGGCAGCAGACGCGAAGTTCCCTTTCGATGCAGCCTTACGGCCGTTTCACACATAGGTTTCACACCGTGAGCGGCACTTGAGCAGCGCGTCAGCGTAACTACATCGCGAGAGTTTCCACACTGGAAGCGTTTGTACAGGGTCACAGCAGCGGCTCCAAAGCTACATATATAAGCGAGCAATTCTTTACAAAGACAACTATACATTTGTTTTTAGAAGTTGGTCATTTATAACATTGATAGTCTTGAAAGTTTGTAATGGGGAGGTGTACGACATTCGCATATAAATGTTAAACAACAAAACAACCCAGAAAATGGCTCCAATCTATTAGTTTCACTCATACTTTCGATATGTTTAAAAGACTGCAACTCCGCGGATAAAAAACAAAACACACAAATAAACCACACACTCGGGTTTGATTTGGGTTGTGCTAGCCTATGCTGTCTGTGTGTGACATAAACTAAAAGAACGTTTATATATAATAATTTCTGGCTATTTACTTTAGTTTTTTATTTATTTATATAATACACAACTTTCACCCAAACTGAATAATTAAAAACAAGTTGGTAACACTTTTCAATACGGGTGCACTAATAAGCATTAATTCATGCTTAACTAATGCACAGATAATACTGAATTAATGTGTAACTAATGATTATCTAAGCTATTCATTAATGATTACCACATTAGGAACTAATTAAGAGTCTGTATGGTTAATGTATTAGTTCATACATGAATTGTTATTAATTAAATATGTAAATGTGAATTAATTCCCTAATAACTCATTTTTTTAACTAATAGTGTTAATTAATATGTTAATTACCAGAATGAGCCAAAGCCTTGTATTTCAACTTCCAGATAATACAGGTATATGCATTAATACATGATTAATTACTTCATTGTTAGTGCAAATTCATGTGTAAATTACTACAATTACTAAATGACTAGTTAATAATGATGTGCCTCAACAAGTAAAGTCATAACATACCTTTGCAAATCATTAGCTAATGATTAATTAAAGCAGACAACTGGAAGTTGAAGTGCATAGCTTTGACTAATTGTGGTAATTAACACATTAATTTACACTATTAGTTAATAAAATATGTTATTAAGGAATTAATACACAATGACACATTGAATTAATACCAATTCATGTATTACTTAATCTATTAATCATATAGACTATTTATTAGTTGCTGATGCAGTAATCATTAAATAATGGTTTAGTTCTTAATTAATCATACGTTAACTCATGATTATCTGTGCATTAGTTAAACATGAATTAATGCATATTAGTGCACCCGTACTGTAAAGTGTTACCAACAAGTTTTTACTGGGTAGCCTAAATCTTCTATAAATATTTTTGAGTCTTTATTTTCTTTTATTTGCCTACTCAAGTTCTTGTTAAAACTCACTAGACATGCTTATTCTGTGCATTTTGGGCACTTTTTGTGTGAAATCATATTTATTTTTGTCCATCAAAAGTGTGCTTTCACTTTAATTGAGCGTGAGCAGAGCAGCAAAAACAGATTGGACGCCGAAACCGCTTCACTGCTGCTCACGCGCTCCTCCTGCTCCCGGTGTGAACGCACTCATTGATTAACATGAGCCGAAAAAAATAAGCGCCGCTCACGCATGCGGTGTGAAACGGCCGTTAGATACTCGCCATCGTGTACACATAAATCTCTGACCCATCGTCTTCTTCCTCGTCTAATTTCTGTCGCTCTACATACGCCATCTGGTATAATTGAAACGATTGGCTATGAGCCGTACAGGCGCATTTGATAGACATTCGTAGCACCCAATAAACGGCTCTGGGCATTCGTAAACCACGCCTCAAATACGAGAAAATGAACATGTGGTTCCCAGACCCAAGTCTCAATGAGACGTGGTCTGACGTTAGCCAGGCTATAATCAACCCATTTAGTGCATCAAGCTCATATTAGCATGGAGATTCTTTGTGTTGTTGTTGTTGTTTTTGCCTCATATTTGCCTGGGCACTCAGTGTAAGTGTGTGTTTTGTTCTCAGCCTCCAGTAGAGTCATCTCATTCTACAATAAGGACTCCAGAGGGGAAATTCAGAAAGTCTCCTTTGATAACGACCTCGTGAAGAAAGTTTTCCATGGCAGTTTCCACAAGGTAGAATGATTTTACTTACTTTGGTTGACTACTTGGCCATTTAAAGTGGTCCTTTTATGCTTTTTACAACTTTCATAAGTGTGTAATGTTGCTGCTTTAAAAAGCTCTGCAAAGTTACAAAGTCACTCCAAAGACAGATATTCTCTATATCAGTGTCAGTGTTTCTGAACTCCCTGAAACGCCTCCATCGTAGTCTTGAGTTTTCTTCCGGCAACGAATTATATTCCTTATTTATATAATTCCTGCTAAGAATAAAGGGGCGGGGCCTGGTTGAGTTAGTTAGTAGTGCGTTGAAACTCGCGGTTATAGTAAAGTACGGGCATTTCCCAAACACGCTTGAAGCGCTTGACCAATCACAACACACTGCTCCAGCTGACCAATCAGAGCACCAGTGTGCTTTTGAGAAGGAGGAGCTTCATAGAGACAGGAACTAAACGGAGCGTTACTGAAGGAGGAGCTGGAATAATGGAAAATATGGGAAAAATAAGGTTTTTTGAACATTCAAGCATGAAAACCCAAACCAAATAAAGATGTTAAAAAGAGGGCATAATAGCTCCCCTTAAAAATCGTCAGCAATGACACACATTAAAATGATAAAAGTGCATAGGTAGCTTTAATAAAAAGCCAGGGTGACTTCTGAAGACCTGAACCGGTTCTTTTAGATGTCCGTCATTTGAATTATATCTTCTTTATCTGGAACGGATGTCTTGAATGTGAACGTGCATATGAATCAGGAGATGGATTTGAACTTGCAGTCTCCTTTTTTAAATACTTCCAGATAGAGCACATTAAGAAAGTGGTGGAATTTCTCTGGAAGAATATTAGTCCCTGCAAAGCACTAAAGATTGTTTGGTACAGTATAACAATTTTGGAAGCGATGGCTTGTGTTATAACTCTTGGCTGATAAATTCAGAACAAGTTTCCCACTGAAGACACGGTTTTACTTCTTGGAGCCCAATGAAAGATTTGTCAATGTTGCTTTTGCCTTTCGCTTTAAATTGCGATGTTTATGGGCCATATGGTGAGCGCTCATAGCTGCAGGTTTGTGCTAGAGCAGTTTCCAGTTTTGTGGTTCATGAGAGCTAAAAATCATCAATCATTACTATTGAATATGTTGTAAAAGTGGACGTTAATGATGTTATTTTTTAAATAAAGGGTTTTGCCTCCTCAGAGGTTATTCTAGGCCCAGTGCACATGCTGAGTCTCTTTTAAGCTGAACATGTCATCATTTTGTCATGTTTGTCCCAAGTGACTGCTGGCATAGTTTAATTGCTAATGTAAAAAACGTCTTAACAACCAGGAGACTGTAATTTATACCAGCGTCTTGGCAAATCAGATTTCAAGATGTGCTAATTTTACATCCACACATGAAATATTTTCCCAGTCTATGTGGGAAATTTGTAAGCACAGCTTGAGCAATCGAGGTGAATCTCAAGAAGCCTGTAAAGACCACCGGAAGGTCGAAGAACATGAAGACTGTTTCCCATTGATGTAATACAAAAAAAATAAGTACTATTTAAAATATAAAGCATTTAAACATCATTATAGTATTTTTGTATACAGCATTGTATTTGAGTGTAAAAAGCTGTGCTGTATTATAGTAATGTGGCATAGTATAATTAGAATAATCTGTAATGAGAATGAGGATTTACAAACAAAAACCAGACCTAAAATAGACTTTTATTTGAATTTCTTTTGGTTGTTTGCATGAGATTCACCCATGGACATCATTACAATGACTTCATTGACAAAGTGATGTCATACAGTGTGCATTTTGGCTTATCTAAGGGACAATTTGTGGTCCAGGGTTCGTGCAGAAACGCATTGGTTTGCAGCTGTAGTCTACTGTATGTTCAGCAACCACTGGCATTACTAGAGACTTGAACACAGAACAACGATTCTGAGCTAAGGTTGTGATTAGCTGACCACTTTGGTTACAAGATTACAGACTGGTTACATGCAAAGGAAAACCTCTCAGTTCCAGCAAACCCATCAAACCCCAGCAAACATTGGAAAGTTGAGAAGGTTCTTTAAAGTTAAAGGTTTGTTTGTGCTTACTAAAGGCCAGTTCACAACAAGGATGATTACTATACAGTTTTATTATTCGTTGAGAATAGAGACATCCACACCACAATTATAATGATATAACGACAGAGGAACGATATTGTTGGAATCATTTGCAGAAAAATCTTTCCCAGCTGATGAATGTTAAAACCATTGACAGCCAATCAGAATCGATTTGACTTTAAGGAGCTTTTAAAGTGGCAGGCGACAAAACTGTAGTGCGTGCTTATAAGAAAAATAACGTTATCGTGCATTGGACAGTAATAAATTAGTGTTAATTGCAAATTGTTTGAACAACCCTATACATATTAGACTACACTGCATAGATCATCATGTGCCATTTGCAATAACAGACATGAATGATACTTCAAATTATGCAGTTTGTTGAAAATAGGCGTGCTATTACTTTTCTAAGTAACTGGCCCAACCTTTATTTTTATTTTTGATAGACTGACAATAAAATGGACACACAAAAAAAAAGACGAAGCAAAACCCCAGCATGTTGTGGATAGTTTTGCATTGGCAATGTCATGGGATGAATCTCATGGAGCCTGTCAAGATCATCAGAAAGTCAACAAAAATGATGTTGCTTAAAGAATGTGAAGCCTAAATGAATCCTTATTCATCTTAAATTCATCTTATCCACTGCCGAACCACATGAACATGCATCCTTCAGACGAAAACGATTACGAATTTGCAACAGTTAATTTCTTTGTAATAGTTAATAACAACCTACAAGCCTTTATTATCGGAATTAAGATATGAGTGTCCACAAACGTGTGTACACTGTGCCGGTATAGTGTTTAACAAGAGTGCTTAGAAAGCCATAGGAAATGAAAACAGCTATTAAAGGGATTCTATGGTCAACCACACAATACCACACAGAACACTGGCCCCTTCTCAATGCCATTGCCTTCCTTTTATAAAATCCCTCTGATTATGAATTTAGTAGCTAAATTAATCCATGAATAAATGCTTTCCGAGTTAGATTTGAAGTTCATGTCATGTGAACGGTTTGGAAGCACTCCTCACATGAAGCACAGATTAGATTCATAATGGCTTTTTAGTGTCAATGTTCGATCATATTTACCATTTAACATTTTGTTAACAAAATTCAGAAATTTTTATAGTAATCTGCTCAATCAGGTGTTCTACATAGATTTTGGTCATGCAAATTCGCCGCATTGACCAGTGTTAAGTTGCGGTCACATTTACCGTTACTCTGTGAAATTTTGCGAGCAAAATCCAGTCCTTTCAATAGGAATCCATGCAATCGAGAGTTTTGCGTGGCGGCAAAAAAAAAGTTCCCTACTTACATTTCACGCATGTTGCAGTTGGTCACACAAATTCACCGCATTGACCAGTGTTAAAGGTGCGGTCATATGTACAATTGCTTGGCGAAATTTCAACTCAGTTGAAAAGGAATCCACACATTTGGGAGTTTCGTGTGACAGTGATAAGTTCCCCACTCATATTTATCTTGTGTTCAAGTTCACGCGAATCGCCACGTTGACCAACATAAAGCTGCTTGATTTTATAAGTTTCTACATTCAGCCCAACTCTATACGCTGATTTCACGCAGCCGCCATTTTGAAATGGCTCCGGTGGGAAGAAAACCGGAAGTGTCGCCTTTAATCATAGGAGAGTCGCGAATGCGATGGCGTATTGTTGTGTTTAATGTAGAAATTAGTTATTCTAAAAATGTACATACATTTCTTTCATACTTTAGACTATATACAGTGAAATTAATTTATAAATAAAATTATTTTTTATATACTTCAGAACGTAAAAAAAGAAGCAGGAACGCACTATAGACATATTGTCACGGGTCTGTCACGGATGATGGTGTAGGATGAAGGAGAGGCTGACACAAAGACTCCAATTCAAACATTTACTTATATAATCAAAACTCAGATACAGAATGACGGTCTTACGGAAACACTCAAGCTTTACACCATGTAACATAGACGAGAACCGACAAAGACAGACTGAACACAGGCAAACTAAATACAAGTCCAAATGAACACTAACGAGGTGAAGACAGGTGACACAGATGATTAAGACGATGAACAGGTGGATGATTGAGGGAGTGAATACAGGTGTGGAGACAAGAAGGATTCTGGGAAGTGTAGTGAAGATGACTAAGACAGACAGGTGCAGACGAAGACTGTGACAGAATGCCCCCCTTCAACAAGGCGCGACCTCGCGCCGTAGAACATCAATGGGGTGGGGGGGCGGGCGCCCTGAAGGCTGGCCAGGGCGTGGCCAAACTGGGACGGGAAGCCTCCAGGGCGGATCAGGAAGTGCAGGCGGCCATGGCGGAGCAGGACGTGGGCGTGGCCAGGGCGGAGCAGGACGTGGGCGTGGCCAGGGCGGTGCGGACCCTTCGGGCGGCCATGGCGGTGCGGACCCTTCGGGCGGCCATGGCGGTGAGGACCCTTCGGGCGGCCATAGCGAGGGCCTATGGCCCCCCCCCCAAAAATTAATGGGGAGAGTGACAGAGTCATTACAAGTCTCTGGGCTGGACGGAACCAGCGGTGAAGGGGTCTCTGGGCTGGACGGGACCAGCGGTGAAGGGGTCTCTGGGCTGGACGGGACCAGCGGTGAAGGGGTCTCTGGGCTGGACGGGACCAGCGGTGAAGGGGTCTCTGGGCTGGACGGGACCAGCGGTGAAGGGGTCTCTGGGCTGGACGGGACCAGCGGCGAAGGGGTCTCTGGGCTGGACGGGACCAACGGTGAAGGGGTCTCTGGGCTGGACGGGACCAGCGGCGAAGGGGTCTCTGGGCTGGACGGGACCAGCGGCGAAGGGGTCTCTGGGCTGGACGGGACCAGCGGCGAAGGGGTCTCTGGGCTGGACGGGACCAGCGGCGAAGGGGTCTCTGGGCTGGACGGGACCAGTGGCGAAGGGGTTTCTGGGCTGGACTGGACCAGCGGCGAAGGAAGCTCAGGGCTGGACGGGACCAGCGGCGAAGGGGTCTCTGGGCTGGACGGGACCAGCGGCGAAGGAAGCTCAGGGCTGGACGGGACCAGCGGCGAAGGAAGCTCAGGGCTGGACGGGACCAGCGGCGAAGGGGTCTCTGGGCTGGACGGGACCAGCGGCGAATGCTTGATGCAGGACGGATCTGTCTCAGGCTGGGCAGGCATGACGTGAACCGTCTCTGGCTGGGCAGGCTGGACGCGAATCATCTCTGGCTGGGCAGGCTGGACGTGAATCATCTCTGGCTGGGCAGGATGGACGTGAATCGTCTCTGGCGCAGGATCAGCGGGCTCTGGCGCAGGATCAGCGGGCTCTGGCGCAGGATCAGCGGGCTCTGGCGCAGGATCAGCGGGCGCTGCTGGATCCTGGGTGAGGATGGACGGCGTGGCGAAGATGGCTGGAGGCATCACTTGGGTGACGGTGATGCGGATACCTCTCTCCATCAGGATCCTGATGAGGTATTCCGTCAGGTCACGGCTAGCCAAGTCCATATTTTGTTTGGTCGGTTCTTCTGTCACGGGTCTGTCACGGATGATGGTGTAGGATGAAGGAGAGGCTGACACAAAGACTCCAATTCAAACATTTACTTATATAATCAAAACTCAGATACAGAATGACGGTCTTACGGAAACACTCAAGCTTTACACCATGTAACATAGACGAGAACCGACAAAGACAGACTGAACACAGGCAAACTAAATACAAGTCCAAATGAACACTAACGAGGTGAAGACAGGTGACACAGATGATTAAGACGATGAACAGGTGGATGATTGAGGGAGTGAATACAGGTGTGGAGACAAGAAGGATTCTGGGAAGTGTAGTGAAGATGACTAAGACAGACAGGTGCAGACGAAGACTGTGACACATATCTTATATTGGATATTAACATCCAATAGTGTAAATCGCGGCAGCAGCTTCAGGTTGGTAGTCCAAGGCATTGTTGTCTATCTGTACTTCCGGGGTTCTTCCCACCGGAGCCTCGCTTTCAATTTCAAAATGGCGGCTGCGTGAAATCAGCGTATCGACAATGAACAGGGGAACTTTTTTTTGCCTGTGAAATTTCGCTGAAATGTTCTAATGTGAAAGCACAGTTAGCATGTTGCTAAGCTAACAACGTGATATAATGTATATAAATGATAAAATGACACACAAATACTGCTAAAATAATACTTTCCGTGTATAATGCATTGTAAGTAAAGACACACTGGAAAGAATAGTCAAGGGTTTCATGCACCTCAAATGAAAATGCTATTTGTTTAGAACGTGTACTTACATTTCACTTTGCTGTCCACAGTAAGTATCAATGCGGCGCTTAAGATTTTGGAAAGTAACATTTTAAAATTATAGTTTGAAACCACTTCCTGTCTAAAATGTGAATTTACTCATTGAATTCATAGAAATAGGAAATGGTGGGAGAAGATGGCCAGCCAAAGGTGCAACTATGAAATGGAGGCTGATAGATATAATGAAAGTCTGACAGGAGTCAGGACTGAGTGAAAGACTAGAGCAGAGCAAAATTAAACCACATGGTGAGCATTTTCAGACACCCACTGTAGCCAGAATGGGAGGAGGACTGGAGAAAGTGTGAATGCAAAGTACATGGTACAAACGAATGAGACTGTAGCACTGTTATTTGGCCCTGACCGTTACGACACACTTTCCACCTTAGCAATAATGGTCTCTCAGCTTATAGTTTTTGAATGGATGGCTACAGTATTGTATTCTCAGCTTCACAAAAGCTTTTGAACCTACTATTTGGATAAGCTTCTGAAGCTTTCTATCCAAAGCCTTAACTTCAGACCCCTTCTGCTTGTGGGAAGCCAAATCGGCGTTGCCAAAGATGTTGACGGTATTGTGGCAAGAAATACGACCTTGCTTTTGGACTGCTGATGTACAAAGTATGAATATCAGATGAATGAGACGGTCTGACTTTTTGACTGAAAAAAGGGGGAACGAGCACATTAGACGGTCAGCCGCAGAATGACATAATAGCAACATGTGGTGACGCTACATAAAGAAAACGTTGTATTCCCCCTAAAAAAAAAGGACGGAAAAAGCAGTTCAGTGGTTGCATCCGCATGTAGGATCTCATAGTGTATTCAAAGGGGAAATTACAGTTGGTAAACCAGTTAATATTATCTGCTGACATGAAAATTCGTATTTGTGTTCGACAATTGGCATGTCTTTACATAATGAACTAATTAAACCCATTATAGTTAGACAGAAACTGTTATTGGAAGAACTGAGAGCGTAACTCTAAACATAGTTTACAGGCCGTAGGGTTAATGTTGTCATGGGAGAATGGATGAAAAAGGATGACTTTGGAGAATTTTTTTGTCAATCAGGCAGTTTTGTGAATCTCTTTTATAAAGATTTATGAACCAACCCGAGATGTCTAGAGTACTGAGTAATGGTTGGATTGCACTGCTGAAGTATTTGCACTAATGTCTTTTTATTTTTGCAGCTTCACATTTCTATTTCACCGAAAAATGTCAAACTCAACATCGACTGCCAAGAGGTGGCTGAGAAAGAGATCAAAGCAGCCAACAACATATCCACAGATGGCTATGAAGTCCTCGGAAAAATGGCAAAGTCTGGTGGTTCAAAGAAGCAGTCAGCCACAGTAAGATTGCTCATTCCCTTCGATACAGCCAACACGCACTAAACTACTAATCCTATGAATATACCCTGCCCTTTCCTTTGTCCCCTCATACTCAATCAATTGCATGTCCTCCCACCCATTCATGCCTGAACGGATTCGATTCTATGTGTATTCCTTTTCAACACACACTGTTGTGTGGATGTTTTATTTTTTCTTATTCTCAACTCCCGGCGCTCAATGCGAGCCATCTGTAACATCCGTTTGTGTTCCCATTTTTCTCTCCTGCAGTTCCAACTCCAGATGTTTGATATTGTCTGCAGTTTGGGCTGGACAAGTCGAGACAAATGTTGTGATATTCCAGCAATGGTAAGTAGGGATTGTGTATAGATTGTCATCTTGAGGGGTGGGCTTTTGTCTACTGTTTGGTCAGTATGCTGATGGCTTTTAGTGAAAGAACACTTAATAGTAGTAACTGAGTAAAGGTCATTGAGTTTTTCAGACTTCACTAGATGTTCCCCTTAACACAGCTGTCAAGCTTCTGGCGGTGTTTCGATATGACTTCCTTTTTCACGCTGATTGCCCTTCTCCATAATGTATCTTTGCACAGTCCCCTTGAAGCAATATGTCATTCACTGTAAGCAGTGTAAGGGCTCTCAGTTCATAGGTTAATCTTCCTTAAAATCAAGCATTGAGAACTGTAACACATTGACGCATATTTCACTTTAAAGGGATACTCCACTTTTTTTGGAAATAGGCTTATTTTACAACTCCCCCAGAGTTAAACTGTTGAGTTTTACCGTTTTTGAATCTATTCAGCCGATCTCCGGTTCTGGCGGTACCACTTTTAGCATAGCTTAGCATACATCATTGGAGTGGACAAGACCATTAGCATTTCTCAAAAAAAAATGACCAAAGAGTTTAGATATTTTTCCTATTTAAAACTTGACTCTTCTGTAGTTACATCGTGCACTAAGACCGACGGAAAATGTAAAGTTGCGATTTTCTAGGCTGATATGGCTAGGAACTATACTCTCATTCCTGCGTAGTAATCAAGAAACTTTACTGCCGTACCATGAGTGCAGCAGGCGTAATGATATGACACAGCGCCTGAAAATAGTTCCGTTGTGTTGACCTCTATGGTGTTGACGGAAGGTAACCTATTTTCAGGCGCTGCGTCAATAGTTTTAAATAGGAAAAATATCTAAACACTTTGGTCATTTTTTTTTGAGAAATGCTAATGGTCTTGTCCACTTCAATGATGTATGCTAAGCTATGCTAAAAGTGGTACCGCCAGAACCGGAGATCGGCTGAATGGATTCAAAAACGGTAAAACTCAACAGTTTAACTCTGGGGGAGTTGTAAAATGAGCCTATTTCCAAAAAAAGTGGAGTATCCCTTTAAGTTAGTGATGAGTAAAGTGATGCTCATCAGACTATGCATTCTATTTACATTGATTGCATATACAATTGAATTTCCACACAATTGGTGAATTTAAATGAACTTTACACAGTATTTACTCCAAGGTCTAAAAAAGGGCACTTGACCATAACGAAAATAGCATTAAAGGGATAGTTCACCCAAAATGGAAACTTCTGTCATCTTTTACTCCACCCTCATGTCTTTCCAAACCTGTAAGGCTTTCTGTCTTCCATGGAGCACGTGGATTTTTGTTGTTGGGTGAACCGTTCCTTTAACATTTGTCTTTACGGGAATTAAAGGGCTTAGCCAAACCCGTTCATTAGAAGGGAGTGTGCACATACTTTTGTCCATGGAGTGTAGTTGAAGGGCAGGTAGATGTACACCATTGAAGCCAGTATTTACAGTAGCAAAACAGCAAATGTAGTGGGCAGACCATAAAAATACGTTAGCAACTTAAATTTATGGTAAATAAAAAAAGGAGTATATTTCAATAACTGAAGTAAAATCAGTTTTTTTTTTACCAGTTTTGCAAAAAATTATCTCATCGTCCAGCTCAGTTCAGTTTTCATACAGTCAGATCAATATTATTGTTGAATATTAAGTATATTTAAGAATATTAAATTAATATTACGTTATACCAGCTGTCTTTATATTTACAGTTCTTTTGCTTTTTTTAACAAACTGTTTCGTGTTTAGTGTTTTCAGCAGTGTTTGATTTATATCTCCATCTCTGTAGCGAGATGAAGCCAAATGTCCCGCTCTTCCTCACTCCTGCACATGTGCTCAGGACAGCATCGGTCCTCCAGGCCCAGCGGGCCCTCCGGTAAGATCATTAGAGTCCCCTGACGTCTCTCCTGTCTCTGAAGTCATCATGCTACCGCTGCAAATCTCACTTCTGATGATGAGGACGAAAAGGTCCAGAGTTCAGGGATGGTGGGATATTTTCCCCAAAGCCTCAGCGCTGTAATTTCAGCCCTGCTCTTTACATTAAGCTCAGGAATATGATTATGGGGCCTCTTCTCTCTACACCATTATGCATGGATTGAACATCTGGGATTACCGATGGTTAACAGCACAGCGTGAGCTAATGACTAGTGACTTACTCATGGATTCGCTTATAGGTCAGAGACCACTGGGTAGGCCTTGGACGTGTGCACTTAGAAACGTCACTGTCTTTAGAGCCGTTTTCAAATAATGAATCCTTTGAAATCCACTGCCACTGAGATTCTAAGCGTCCCTCTTTTTTTTTTTTTTTTTCAGGGTGGTCCTGGTACAAAAGGCCCACGAGGTGAGAGAGGAGAGTCTGGCCCCACGGTAAGCTCATCCTTCTTCTGAAATGGCCTGCTGATTAAATGCCAAATGATCAGATACTTGAACAGGTTCCTCCATCAATACCTTAGAGAAGCAGTTTCTCTCTTAGCACTTCTTCCTAGAGTGTTTAACTGGATAAATGAACGGCATTTTTTTAACCCATTCATTTCAGGGTTCAATGGGCCCACGTGGGGAGCAGGGTGTACCAGGTCAGATGGGACCTCCAGGCCCACAGGGCCCTAATGGATTGTCTATTCCTGGTGAACCAGTAAGTAAAACACAAATCTTTGCATTGTGAAATATGGTATCACCCCTCATTCAACCTAACTATTAACCCTTTCCGCACCAGTGTTTTTGAAAAAAGTTGACAGCCATCGCCAGCATTTTTGATCATTTTCACTAAAATTTCAATATTTTTGTTATGAGGTTGAGGACAGATGAACCCAATCGCAGACAGTACGCACTTAACGTGGATTTATTTAGACAAAACAAGGAAAACAAAACCCACGATGGGGCAAAACAGAGACAATACAAACGAGGGATAACTAAACTAGAAAACACTTGACAAGACTAGACTATTAACTAACAGCAAATACAAGATCAAGACGTTCTTCTTAAACAAGGTGAATCACTCAATGAGAAACACACAATGAGAAACAATGAACCGGCACAGGACAGCAAACACAAGGGGATTAAATAGGGGAACACAAATGACGAGGACAGGTGAAACTGACTAGACAATAATGACAAGACGAGGGTAACAAGGGGGCGGAGTTACATAACGAGACAACACAAGCACATGGTCCAAACAATTGGCCATGCGCTTATACCAGGGTTTCCGTTGTCCGGTAATTACCGGACATTGGCCGGGAGAAAAAATGAAATGTCCTACAAAATTAAATCTCTCCGGTCAAATTGTCCGATTAAAATTGCGTAATAATCCCGCCCCCCTAACATAATATGAATTTGAGAATAAGCCTAAAATGTATAAAGCAAAAATACACCGACCTTTGGCTATGTTATAAAGGAACAGCCTCTACCGTTTGAAAGTTATTAAACAACATCGCATGCTGCATTTCAAATAAAGCGCAAGCCTAGAACGGCTGTAATATAGACCTAAACAACGAACGATTGAGTGAGACATTTCAAATATGGCCAGGTCCATTGATATTATTGATAAAGTGATAAAGTTGACGATGCAGACTCGCCATCTTTGCAGTAGTGAACGCGCCTATAGAGAGAAGTGTGCACGCGCCGACGCCTCCGTGTCCTGATTAGCCTATATTGTCCACTATATTTGCTTCTTATTTAATAATCGAGGCAAATTTGTTGATGAAACATTGATTAAAAGTAATATACAATTTATACAAAACGAAATTTTCAAGCAAAAATAATATTCGAAGATCGCTGGGTTGATTATTATTCGAAAATCGCACCCCTCCACCACATGCACGCACACATGCATTAGGCTACACACCAGAGCATGTGAGCAAAGCGGAGCGGTGTGACGCTTATTATAAGTTAAAAAACTTAAATATACGTTTCATTTTTATAAATAATATAATGTTATTATTTTTTTATTTCATCTATGTTGATTAGGCTATATGAAAAGGGAACCGCATGAGATGAGTAAGATAGGATCATAAGATGACCAATAGGCCTATATATCGGAAAACATTTGGAATTGGTCAGACATGATTTTGACCACTTATTTAGTTTTATTTTGTAGAAAGCCTTTCTTTAAAGTTTATTTCGTTTTGTATAAATTGTATCTTCATTTTAATCAATGTTTCATCAACAAATTTCCCTGGATTAAAAAATAAGAATTTATTCATATGAAGTGTGCATTTCTCTCTCTAGGCGCGTTCACTACTGCGAAGATGGCGAGCATCGTCAACTTTATCAATTTATCAACAATTTAAATGTTTCATGCATAATCATACATTTGATATCTCTGCGCCCAAGTAGGCCTAGCAGTGCTTCCCTGTGTAGAGTCTCCGCAACCGCGATAGATTGAAACTCGCGTCCGAGTGAAGATTGCGCAACTCGCGCAGCACGTCGTTGCCATGCAACTGATAGCAGCGGACACGAGCGCTCAGCTTGATTTAAAAAACAACTGATTTTAGCGCTAGATCTCTTATTTAATGGCGAACTAAATGAATGATCTGCTAGTTAACTGGAGATGTTAACTAGTTAGCTAGTTATTTATTTGTATTAGGTACATCCGTGCCTCAATGTTTCAAAAAGTGAGGGCTGTAGTCAACCAAAGAAATCCTTAGTCGACCAAAGTCTTGTCCTGCGCAACGATTAGTCGACAAGAAAAAAAGAAAAAAGAAAAAGACGCGATGTTTTGATTGAACATTTTTTAACAATTGTCATAGATCATTTATAAAACAAAAACGAAAAAACATCAAAAATACATATAACTATAATAATAATACAATTCTTTGAAAATTAAGTGATTTTTTTTTAACTGCAAAAAGTGAGGAGCTCTGTCCTAGGTCTATAGTAAGTCACAATCGCGCACCTGACCACACCACACGCTACACAAAATATAACTGCTATCTGCCACAATGAAAAATCCTAACAAACGCACTCGTTTATACAGGCTGTATATTCTTCTTTACTTTCAAAGCTATGGGTTAACTTTTGTCCAGCCGATCTAGGAGTTTTAAAACAAACACAGACAAAAACCCAAAGAGCCTAAAAACAATCCTAATAATAATAGGCTGTATTGTAGGACCGCATAGGTTTATTTTCGTTTTGTTACATTATTTAGGCTATTTTCAAATGGTCAAGTGTACAAATAAAAATAAAAACATATCAAGAAAACACAATCTATTGAGTCAGCATGATAAAGCCCTTAAAGGGACTGCTCACGTCTTTTGCGCGCTCAAGATCGATTTCAAATGTAGGCGCGCGATGTGCGCGCTCATGATGGACGCAACGCGACGCGCTCTTTTTTTTCCAAGTGCGTCCACGCCACATCGAGATAAAAACATATAGTGTATAAAAACATAAAAACCGAAACAAGTAGCGTTCTAACTGAATGAATACAGCTAAACTAGCTATATCCCTTACTGAGCGCGAAGCAGCAGCGCAGCCACAGGGGCGAACCGAGTGTTCTGTGTGTGTGCGCTAAACTGTGGCGCTGTTACAAAATAGCCTAAATTAAAGCATTTAAAGTTGGGGATAAACCATAGGCTAATTATATTTAGAATACAGTAATATATAACTGCTTATAAAGGAATAAATATCAAGGAGTAAATCATTGAAAATTTCTTTCTATAAAAAAAAAAAAAAAAAAAAAAATGCAACTGGTCGACCAATAAACGACTAAAGTTGACAGCCCTAGTGTGTGAAACCATAGTAAAAAACAATTTGTGTTAATTGACGCCAATCGGACATTCAATCGGACGTTCATGTTTTGAAAGTTAGGCTAATAATAACATGTTGCATTCTATACGGCCTGATTATGTCATTTTTTAAGTTACATAGCCTGCCTCCAGTTTTCCTCAACTTGACTAATTAAGAGGCGATATTTGACCGGCGTATCATCAAAATGTCCGTTAAACAAAACCTCTGCCGGTCACTTTGACCGGCACCATTTTTTTCTAGCGGAAACTCTGGCTTATACACAAAACATGATTCCGTCATGATCCTGCCTTACGACCAGGGAAAATCAAGGACACTAAGGCAGACTCATGACAATTTTGTTGTATGAATATCTGAACATGCAATATATCAAAATAAAGAACAGACCCTCTGCTTTAAAAAAAACACCTTAATGCATTCTTTTTTTAATCAGCATTTGAATGTGGGCAAGTTTCATTTAAAAAAAAAAGCAAAAATCTGAGAAAAACACATTTTTGTTGAACACTACATCCATATCGGATTCATACCGATGATCAAAACATACAGTAGATGAAGTAGATCGAGTCCATCAACACCCGCAAAGCTTCACAGTCTTATAGTTCGTCTTGGTTCGACATTTCAGTCAGTAACATTAGGCGGTTTTGATTTATATGCTGTTTAATGTTGGTGATTGCGTTATTTTACATGTGCGTCTGCTTACATATGCTATCGCTAGTTTCTGCTTCTTCTTCTCCTGTGTTTTGATCGGTAGATTCAGTACTCTTTCAGAAGATGCGTAATAGCGCCCCCTACCGTATAACAGTGAAAACACGGAAATCCAGAAAATGAGGTCAATGGAAAGAGTTCCTAGGATCTTTCTTAAGCCTGAAACAGTGTTATTGTTACCTTTGAGAAAATGTTTCTAAAATAAAAATAAGCCAATAACTTATTTTTATACATTGATTTGAATTAAGAGGAAGATGCAGGTTAATTTGTTTAAAACTAGCTAATTTTTATGCATCACATTTACATTCTGTTTTTATGTTATGTCATACTTCTGCTTAAGCGACACCAATTTCTACTCTATTCATGGAAAGTGTTTTCTGTTTCTCTTCCTTGTGACCTTAAAACCTGTCTGGCTACAGTACTGTATAGCACGAGTCTAATTTATGACTAAAGGCTTCGGACCCATTTATTAAACTGCTCACTCTGTCATCCACATACAGCCGAGTTGTAAATTCCTTTCAATGTCATGTAACAGAGGAATGAATGAGTGTGAACTCTTGCTTCATTTCTTCTGTTTTCAGGGCCGGCCCGGACCTAAGGGAGACGCCGGTGACTCCGGTTTACCTGGACAGCGAGTAAGTGCTTTTTACTTTGAGCTGTTTTTAAGCGGCTTGTGAAATCTAGTAAATTGTGGTGTTCTTCAAAGGTTTCATTTGATAAATCAGATAAATGGCTTTATGATTGGATCAATGCTTAAGCTCAGATAATTATACCACACTTAACTTTACCTATTAAAGCACTGAACCATTGGCAGGCACAACGCAAGTGCTCTTAAAGCACATCGCTTAACGAAACAGAGCGGAACGATTGCGAACACCTTCATCATAACGTCATTTTATTTTTGACTTCCAAAAGAAATACACAGACAGAAACACAAACGTCTGTTCTTATTCCTGTACAGGATGAAGGCATTACTTTGCAAGAAGTTTATTTGTACATACCTTCCTTCTCTTCCATGGAAAGGTTGAGTTTAGTCATATCCTGACAATATTTGAAATTGCTCAGGTTTGATCCGCGAACAGCTCCATCGTTGTTTGAAACAACCACTGTATGATGAATGACACTAAGTGTTTTTCCTTCTTCCAAGGGCCCCGTTGGCGCTCCAGGTCCACTCGGCCCTGTTGGACCTTCTGGTGCAAGGGTAGGAAGTTTTTGGCGTGCACCTTGAACTGGTTTGAAAGTGCATGTTTTCAGTCTCGTTCTCTTGTCGGACCGAGTTAGTCGGTTGTGTTAGGCCCATCTCAGGGGTGTGTTTAAACCTCTCCCAGAGGTAAATCATCTCCAAGATTGAACAAATCTTTGCTGATTCTATTAGCTCTGCATCTTGTACAGTTCATGATGACATGTGTTTTTGTTCAGGGTCCGCCAGGAAATGAAGGCCCATCTGGACCAAGAGGTCCATCGGGACCAATGGTATGTAATGTGGAAGCTTTTGAATATCTGAAGATTGAGAGACTGTCATGTAGCCTGAGAAGTCAGCTGAAGTATCTGCCATACAGCGCATGCATCGAATGACCCGTTCTTCCTTTTGTGAACTTCAATACTGTGATCTACAAGGACAGTGTATGAATTCCAATGTAGCACAAAACAAATTGAACCGTTTATTGGTCATCATTAAAATAAGAAATTTTGTAATATAATGCAAAGACATTTACACTTTTAATATGGCTTAAATGTCCAACTACACTGGAGATGGAAATTTGGTGTAGAAACAATTTTCACTCAGAAATTGTTAGGAAATTTCACAAAAAATGACAAGGAAACAGCAAGTAACAATGAATTAAATGTGAAGTATTGAAGTGGAAAGACTGAAGTAGTATTTTCTTGTAAAATGTTCTCCAATAATCTTTGTTTTATTCACAAAAATATTTTTTTTTACGCTAATATTTTAAGGTGACATTGGGGACATTACATTTTATATTCAACAATAATATCGATCTGTCTGCATTGACACCATTACATGAGAACTGAACTGAGCTGGGCGATGACATCCCGGTTTACTCCAGAGTGGCTACACTGTATATATATATATATATATATATATATATATATATATATATATATATATATATATATATATATATATATAAAAATTAACTAAATTAATAACTTTTTTACAACAAAAATTAAACATCACTGAACTTACTTAAGCTGGACTGTGACGCTATTTTCTTCTGGAAACAAACTTTGTTGCATTATTTTCCTGTTATCTCTGTAAAGCTGCTTTGAAACAATCTGTATTGTAAAAAGCGCTATATAAATAAACGTGACTTGACTTGACATAGTTGCATGTCTTACTGTAGTAATAACAGTACATTTTGCATAATTACAATCAATTGACACTTAACCTTAACCCCGTACATGTAGTTTATATATTAATATTATGTTATTACATTATAACAATGTCATCTTAAAATAAAGTGTCCGTTTTGGAGCCACTTTCCCAGATCTCATGTCTAAGTCATGCACACGGTTTATTTAAGGTCAACTTGATGCTGGTTCTCTGTGTTAGTGATTGTGAATCTAACATTAGTTGGTATTGTGAGTTCAGGCTGTTTATCAGAAACTGAGTCATTCTTACTGACTGAGATCCATTTTTTTAGGGACAACCGGGATCACCTGGAATGCCAGGAATCACAGGAAAATCCGGAAAATCTGGAGACACTGGCCTCCCTGTATGTACATGTTCAAATGACACATATTAATTCTCATTTACTTGTTTTAAAGTTATTTATATCAATTCAATAATCAAAATATAACATATATGATGAATATATGTGCCAGGGAATATAACCAAACCTATGGTCACTAGCTACAGATCTGATCTGAGTGATTTCTGACTCATCTTTTCTCATCTGTCAATCACAGGGAGCTGTTGGCATGAAAGGAGAGAAGGGTGAAAGGGTAGGTCTCACTTTAACACACTTCATCACACGAGTGCCTTTTAAGTACATTTAAAATATACTAACTCTAAGTGCAATACTGAATAACACACTAAAATTACATTTATAATCAAGTGCTTTAATATGTTACACACTAAAAAATGCTGGGTTGTTTCAACCCAAATTTGGGTCAAATATGGACAAACCCAAATGTTGGGTTAAAAATGTAATTAAAAGATTTACTGTTGAAAGTGAAAGTTGAAGTTGGGTTAAAATTTTAAATTACATTTTTAACCCAACATTTGGGTTTGTCCATATTTGACCCAAATTTGGGTTAAAACAACCCAGCATCGTTTAGAGTGTTCACACTTGTGGTTCGGTTCACTTGGTTCCTTTGATCCGGACCAAAAACAACAACAACAACAACAACATTTAGTCCTGGTCTGCTTAGTGTTCACATTGGTATTTTTAACACTGAACCTAAAGATACCAAACCTAAAGTCACAGGGATATGTTCACAACCTGATTAGTCAGCTTTTTATGTATATTTCGCATCTGAAGTCACCGAACATCCAAAACAATGCTGTGTTCAGGGCTAAATTGTATGTGCGTAGCCACTTATAATGATATTTTGACCAGCTGAGAACTCGTATAAAATGACCAGCTTATAAAATGTGTAAAGGAGTCAAAACAGCGGCAGGAATCCTTCCGTCACACACACACACACACACAGATCTGCTGCGAGGAGACGCGGTTATACTGCCTGTACCGAGCTATGATGGGCAACTATGACAAGAAAAAACAGCTATGCTTGAGCATTCTGTCCTTTTTAGGGTCACATCTTTACAGCGTCTCGTTCCCGCTCGTTCTCGCCACCAGGGTTCAGATGGCAGCCTTCACACTTATGCAAAAGAACCACACTAACAGAGCAATCGCACCAGGGTTTATTTTATTCGAACCTAACATGCCAAGTTTGAACACACCCTTAGGTGTAATGTTATATTATCTGCAAATACAGTTTATTAAAAATCTACTTTTTAAGATTTGAAGTACACCACAAATGCACATGTAAGACGCTTCTTTTTCGCAAACGAGGGAACTCATTAACGTTGCCGCCGGAAAAATGCTTTTGCATGAGCAAACACACCTCACATTTTCTTCCGAAAATGTAAAAATCACGTTTGCTCTGTTTTCTGTTTTCCAGGGAGATACTGCGTCACAGAATATGATGCGCTCAGTAGCAAGACAAGTTTGCGAACAACTAGTCAGCAGTAAGCCGCCTCTGCCTCTGCCTCTGCCTCTGCCATGAGTTTGCCAATGGGTTTGTTCGTGTTAAAAATGAAAATGTTTGATTTGCTTATAGGACAAATGAGCAGAATTGATAATATGCTGAACCAGATCCCCAGTAACTACAGGAGCAATAGCCCCGGTCCTTCCGGTCCTCCAGGCCCACCTGGCAACCAGGGAGCCCGTGGAGAGCCAGGGCAGTCCGGACCCAACGGGTTCCCAGGAAACCAAGGTCTTCCAGGGTCTCCAGGAGAAAGAGGTATGCACACACTTGATGACAAAGTAAAGCATTCAGACTTTGGCTTGGTGGATAAAACATTGACTTGCACTGAAAGAGACCAGACTATCATAGAGACTTAAAGCTGGGAAGCCACAAACCTCTTTACACCACCCTAGCATTGTGGTGCCAAGGTTTGCACACGGTTGACATTATCTCCAAAAGTGTTAATAGTTTTGTTGTGCAAAGTAGATCATTGAATTGTAATCATTTTTCCCCACCTAAAATTAGCCAAAAAAATCTGTGATGCACATGATTGTAATAGATTGTCTACCATTTTTCCTGAAAATCATCCAGATGTATAGACTTGGTGATTGACGTTACTGCCAATCAGTCACATATGGTATACATTTTTTTAATGCGTTTACCCATAACATCCTAGGATTGCCGGGAGAGAAGGGCGAACGAGGAAGTCCAGGCATTGGCACTCGAGGACAGAGAGGATTACCTGGACCTCCTGGTATGTCTTCGTGCAACCTAACGCCACCTCACTTTAACCGCTCCATTTCACTGCTAATCATATCCAGAGTTTGTGCACACACTTGTCTTTTTCAAGGCTTTCAGCCTATCCAAAACCTCCTGATTAATGGAACCAATTCTAATGATCGTTAACATGTATTTAACAACTGTGATTTTCTACGTTGGGTAATTTCCATATCACAATGTTTATCGTTCTGAGAGTATTTAGGCATGACAGATGAACTTGATGATGAATCATTACCAAATGAATGGTCTGTTACGCAACTGATGGTATTAGTTTTTCCAGACGATCAAGAACAACTTTTTTCCTCTGGATTGTTTGGATAGGTTGGCTCAAAAGTGTGTGCTAACCCCTCATCAAACTGTGTTGTGGCAGTTGGGATTAAGAGAACCGTAAGAGTTTGAAAAGGAAGTCAGCAGAAGTGTTTGCCTCAATAGGCCTGTAGCAACATTCAGACAAATCATTTTTGAGTCTCAGATATAAAAATAATTTGGGTATTTCTCTGTCCTGTGCTGTTGATGTGTGCCTCTTTAAGGATTATAGGTAGAATTGAGAATCAGGGGCTGGATTCAAGTGGAGAAATTTCTTAGGAACATTCTTACAAACTTCGAACTGTCATTGGTCCCTGGCGATGATGTAATAGGTGGGTGTGGCTCTGAGGCTCCGCCTTCTTTGACATGGAATTGTTCTCCGGTTAATTTCTTCTGTTCGGTCCATCAAGGTCAGATGTCTGTGAGTAAAAACATGACAACACTGGAGAACCGCTTTATAGTAGAAATTGAAGAAGTAAAAGAGACTTTTTTTCATGTTCAATTCTGTAAAGCTGCTTACTTTTAAACAATTTATTGTATAAAGTGCTATATAAATAGACGTGACTTGACTGGAATGCTGAATTGCAGAGCTGCTGCAAACACATCACTATGATCAGATGCTTTCTTTACTGCTGTTTTCACACCGCTGTTATTTTTATATTGTGTTTACTGTGTTATTGAGAGGAAAACTGCAGCTCATATTTACATATTCATCTGAAGGATGTTTTCCGCAAACATCTTTTTACCCCCAAGCGAAGAACGAAGTATATCGGGGCATTAAGAAGTTTTTTTTTGTTAACAAGAAAACAACATTTTAGTGTTATCTGATTGTTTGGTGGTTCTTGCTGAAGACTTGCGCTTTGTGTATTTGAAATAGTTAATTTTAAAGTCAGCATGAAACAGAAGTTGTGATAGTGTTTTCTTCCCTATTATGACGTATATCCATGTGAAACGGCTTCTGGAACAAGAACAAATGTAGGGCGGGACTTGATTTTGTCCATGGGGAATTGATGGGATGGTGGTGGTTTGCTATTGGTGGATCTCATGTGAGTGACAGGTAGCTTCGTCCTCTGCACATGAATTAAAAAAGCGATAATGACGTGTACGTAAATATCATTTACAATAAATTCAGCAATATTACATAAAAATAAGAATTGTCAATTTTTATTTTAAGCAGCCTGTCTTAAGTCTATTGGCAAGAATGTTATTCTTAAGAATGTTTTGTGAAGTTCTCTTTCCATTTAAACAAATACAAAATACCTTGTGACATTCGGATCCATTAACAGTTCTGGAACATCTGTGTTCCTCACGCGATGTGGACAAAACACTGCATTAAATGCAAATTAAAGCACCAGAGCCGCTGTCATGGCAATCTGCACGCTTATTTCCCGTTAGCTTATTTTTGTGAATCAATAGTCAAAATGATTCGTAATTACTAAATAATCTCATAATCTGACTGGTAGTGAATTCAATAAGAATTGTTGTCTAAACACTGGCCATTCTTTCTTGCTCAAAATGACTTAAAGAAGGGTTAACAGAACCATTAAGTGAAATCAGAATCGGGTACATCCTCTTATGATTAGCATTCCTAGATCCCACAGCGTGGCCCGATTTACAGTGCCATGTCTTTTCTTCTGAAGTTTATTTCTTTATACAATACAGATTTTTTCAAAGCAGCCTCACCAAAATAAAGAGGAAAATAACAAGTGTCAATGTTGCAAAAGTTCATCAATTGTGAAACAAATTCAATGTAGCTATAAGCATCTCTACAGAAGAAAATAGTGTCATTAATCAGCTCAATTTAGTTCAATGTTGATTTTATATAGTTTGGTAACAGTGTAAATGTTGCAAAGATCAGTCAGGAAACCACTTCAAAAGCTGCTCTACAAAGACAATAGTGTCGTTGGTTACACTTTATTTCAGTGGTCCACTTTATACATTCTACGGTAACACTTTACAATAAGGTTAATGTATTAACTAACATGAACTAACAATGAGTAACACATTACAGTATTTGTTAATCACTTTGTTAATGTTAGTTAATACAAATCCAGCTGTTCATTGTTAGTTCACGGTGCATTAACTACTGTTAACAACTTTTGATTTTAATAACATTAGTTAATGTTGAAATTAATATGAACTAAGATTAACAAATGCTGAAGAAGTATTGTTCATTCTTAGTTCATGTTAACTAAGGCAGTTAACTAATGTTAACTAATGAACCTTATCAGGGCTGTAGTACTCGGACTCGAGACCGTTTTTCTATGGTCTCGGACTTGTCTCGGACTCAGAGGTATTCGGACTCACAGGTATTCGGACTCGGTCTTGACTCGGACTCAAACCTTTTTGGAATCGCTCTTGTCTTGGACTCTAACCTCTTTGGACTTGGTCTTGACTTGGACTCGACTAGTCCTGGTCTTGGACTCGACAAAGGTGGTCTTGACTACAGCCCTAAACCTTATTGTAAAGTGTTACCTATTCTAATAACTATAGGTCATTTTGCAACTACATGCCACTTAACTCATTCATTTGCAACTACATGTCAACCAGGTCTTATTAGAGTATTAGACTGTTAGGTTCGGGTTAGTAGAATAAGTTGACATGTACATGATATTAAACAGACAGTCTATTAATACTCTAGTTGACATGTTGGTGCAAACTTACTTATAGTTAGTAGAACGTCCAAAGTGGGCTATCAAAATAACTCGTTATCCAGTTTAATGCGTTCTCATCCGATAGTGTCATTGAACTCAAATTGATAATATTTCTGAATATTACAGAATATTAATTGTCTTTTAAAGGCCTTGACTGTTACGGGCCCATGCAGAAGTTGTCTCAGAAGTTATAACAATAATAATCAGCAACCTAATAAACACGAAAGCCTGGAAATAATTCTATTTTCAGTAAACAAGGCGCTTCCGTTAACATACGAAGCAAAGTTGGCCAAAATGGTAGTTTCCATGCTGAGCTACGATCAGAAGAGCACAGTAATCCAGTTATTAATAGAGGGAATTTGTACAGACAAGTTTTGAGCTCAGTCACTCTCGATACAGTCATCCCAGCGCAACACAAAGGGCCTGAATGAATTATCGGCTCCATGGTAACTCCAACAACACTCTGTTCAACAACTTTCTCCAGGGGGGACACGTCCAATTGCTATCCAGCATTCGCAAGAGCGAGCCTCTCGCAGAAAACTGTAAAGAAGTGGAAACAATGCCAAGAGCTCTCTGTGAATGAAATACACAGCCGTCATATACGTACAGTAGGAGGAAGCTTGCGGTGACTCACTGTTTGTAGTTTGACTTGTGTTTTCTGTGGAGGCTTTATTGGCAACACATGTGCTGACATCAGAGTGCACAAGAGCGAGAGTCGAGGGACAGCATTCCAGTTCGGTTTATACCGTCTAGACAGAAAAGGGTTTGAGGGGGGGACCTTGCCCCTTCTTCCTTTTAATTAAGCAGTCAAAATATTTAAATTACAGTGCTTGAAATCAGTTTTCCCCTCCCACATCCAGAGAAAACCTAAAGGCGAAAACTAAAGGACGCTTTCTTACACCTCCTCTGCCTGTTTTCTTTTTTTTCCAGGGCCACCAGGGCAGTCTCAGACCGGGCCCCCTGGTCCCTCAGGCTCAGCTGGGCCCCGTGGCCCACCGGGGCGGCAGGGTGGGTCTGGAGTCAGAGGACCGCCTGGACCTCCAGGATACTGCGACTCCTCCCAGTGTGTCGGCATGCCTTACAACGGACAAGGTTACCCAGGTACGGTTACAGGACGGTTGATTGAAAAGCTCTGTTCCCAAACCTAGTGAGCTCTCGACAAAGGGTTTACCTTCTAAAGCCACATCTGAATGAACATCTGAACCAACACTCTTCATAGGCAACGACACAAATAGCAATGCTTCCATTGAAATTTAGAATTAGCACGTGGCAACACTGTGACACTCTAATTAATAAGCATTATAATTAAGGTTTATAAATTTACTTTTTTACACCGGCCAATTTGGCTACTACATTTTTAAGTTACCGGTCATTCAGAACTTCTACAAGCCAAAAAAAGAAAGAAATTTCAGATTAACAACTACGTCACAGTTTATATTATAAAATTTGGATTTCATACATTCATTTCGTATTCAAACAAAATACTGTAATCTAACCATCTCCTCACTTCCTCTTTCATCCTCTTCACCAAAAATATGTTTTAGGTGGACAGATCGATACAGTTCACAGAACTAAATTTAGGATGTTGGAATTTAACAATGTCTTTTCTGTTAACCAAGTGCTTTTTACAAGCGTGCCGTTATTTGTTGCGCAGTGATGTGTGTGTGTTCAAGTAAGCCAGATATGAGCAGATTCTGCACAATACGCTGTAGTTTATATATCATGATGACTCACGAGTTGAGTATTTGCGCTAAATCTGCACAGATTTGGCTTACATGAACTTCCTCAGCAAAGTGAGTATTAAACATAATAAGTAACCTAACACGCCAAATTTGCTAGTCATTTGACAGCGTTAGCCGCCACAGTTGATTTTTACCCGCATTTGGCGAGTTGATTTCAAACCCTGATTATAATACAAAGCACACGCAAATATTTGGGCAAAACAGTAAACACAAACCAATTTTTTTTTTGTTAGAATTACTTTTCATTTTGCTGAAATATAGGGTAAGATGGGAGATATCGCCCTTACGAACAATGTGCAAACTGTAATATATTTAGATATAATTAAACGTCACCGCTTCAGTCGATGATTTTGAAATTACTTTTAAAGAATAGCGAAGATGTCTGAAATGTACGTCTAACTCATGGAATTATTGAACATAACCCCATGAATTACAATAATTGAAAAATAATAACACTAGTAACAACATGCCACTTCTGTCCCATCTTACCCCAAGGGTCTACTTTTATCTTTTCACTTAAAAAAACAACAATATTTTTGACCTCACAAATCTAAAATCACGAATGTGTCCACAAACAGACACAAAAAACATTGTTGTTCAACATAATCCATTGTCACAGATTGCCATTTTGTTGATGTTCATATTCAGATGAAATGACACAATTAATAAGAGCATTAGATGTCCTTTACAATGCTGTCTATCTAGGCAGCTCACTGTGGTTTGGAACAGAGCGACTAATGATATGATTGCCGTGTGTTTGCTTAACAATATAGCTGATCTATCAAGAACGGCATGTTTACACTTGAAGGTAGTCGTTGTGCCACTGAACTAACCCAATCTTTAACCCGTTTCAGGTTTTGCGTAGTATGCTATCTAGACTGCCTGATCCCTTACCTGACGTTAGCACTCGCTCGTGAGCTAATAAGGATAACCACCATGGATATGATTGCTGAATATTTGCTGGCCAACTATAAAACAAACACAAAAACAAACAATCAAACCAAAGAAAGGACTGGACTGCCACTAACACCAGCTGAGCGCTACTATATGATACTGGAGCCAGTGATGGTTACGTACCCGTGGCCTGTTTGCATCTAGAGCAGCAAGAAACAGCTTGGTTTTGCTGAGGACGCATGTGAAACTACTAACATTGAGCGTTTATGTTAACAGTGTTCAACAGTGGTTGCTCTTTATGAGGGGGAAATGACTGTAAATAAACTCATTGTGCCTTGTAAATGTTAAATCGATGACACAGTGGGTTAACAGCAGTCATCAAGCTTGCACCTGATAACTTGCTTCTCGCTGATCGCTGACGTTTCATTTTTCCACCTTCCATGATACGTGTAGGCAACGCTCCGTGTGTGCCGTTAGCGTATGCAACCATGAAGTTTTCGGTATCGGGTTTTTTTGTATTGTGATTTATAGAAATTTGTGCGATACCTCAACAGAGATCAGCAACTTTTTACACAAATGCATTCTTTTTATACATGTATGTTTGAGTAGTTCTAGTTCTAGTCTAGGAGGAAAAATCCAACGCAAAGTTGTGGACGACTGCCGAATGGATTTAGTATTTGGTTCAAATTTGTATCGTTATTATTATTAACACTATGTATAAATGAAGAGTTGAAATGACATGTTGGAACCCAAAAGCACATGCTCAGCTGGCCAAATAATATTTCCAAGCAGGCCCCTACCAGCCAGACCCTGAAACCTACGTAGTCCCCATTCCAGCCCAGCCGTCGGAAGATATCGACACACAGTCGCCAGGTTTACGAAACCAGCGTGGAAAAAGATCGCTATCAAGACAGGAAGCTGAAAGAATAGAAACATAAAGGGAAAGTGTGTCTTCTGTACTGTCAAAAACTGCATTTCAACCCTGATCATTTAACACAGTCAAGTGGAGAGGCGGATATTCAACTCTCATTTCCTCGTGTGCTTGCCGACGGTTCCACAATGTGTCTTTGCTTGTAACATAACTGCATTTTGTATTTGTTCAGTAATATGTCCTATAAACACTATGAACTGATTCCTTGCACATTTGAAAGTTTGCGAAGTGTATACGTGCAGTGCAATCTGTTGTTGTTCTCTCTCTCTCTCTCTCTCTCTCTCTCTCTCTCTCTCTCTCTCTCTCTCTCTCTCTCTCTCTCTCTCTCTCTCTTCTCTCTCTCTCTCTCTCTCTCTCTCTCTCTCTCTCTCTCTCTCTCTCTCTCTCTCTCTCTCTCTCTCTCTCTCTCTCTCTCTCTCTCTCTCTCTCTCTCTCTCTCTCTCTCTCTCTCAAGGTTCAACATCCCCTTGATTCTTAGACCTGGCTTTTGTTTTGTTATCCTAAACCGAATATTTATCTGTTGTATACCAACTCGCTCCAAAAGAGGAATTGCATGCCTGTGTTGTATATTTAGTAAGGACGTTTACAATCAGAGTATAGTTGTTTTTCCCAGTGATATCAGTTGAAATGCAGTTGGAATTTGTTGCAAGTCTCTGGACATAGAATAGCTTTTATCATGTCTGAATTGCACATTGTGAATTCCACAGCCTTATTTTCTTATTTATTTCTGAATCAGAAGAGGCATTTTTCAATAAAACTACTGAAAATGTTTAATTGCTGTTGTGATCTGTTTCTTTCGTATTTAGTTTACATTTACAATGACATTCAGTTCCTGAGTTTGAATTGAGGTAGAAAGTAGGATTGTGATAGAAATGCAAAGAAACTTTTTAATTAGGGATGCACAGATGAGAACATTTTGGCTGATACCGATAACCGATAATTCTTAATATTCGAAAGCCGATAACCGATATATTGGCCGATAAATCTGAATCCAAATTTTTATATAATTTTTGAGAGCCTGATTTAAAAAAATTAAAAGCCATGTCCCAAACACACACTTATAATGTTCTCATTATAATTTGATGTAGCTTATATGACATACTTTTTGAAGTGATTTCAATCATATTTTAAGCGATTCAAAACCATCATAGCAAACAGTGCGCACCTGAAGAAAATATGATCAGCCATTATTTATCAGACAAATTTTATTATTGGGCCGATAACGATAACATCGGCCGATACCGATATGGTGACCGATATATCGTGCATCCCTACTTTTAATAATCCAATTCATTTTCTTACGTATGAAATATACATTCATTTGAAATACCTTTGCTGAGTCAATATGATGTTTACAATTTCAATTAATTTTGCCATGTACATAATCATAGTCAGTTGTGTTTTCTGATGCATATTAATGATGGATATTCATGTCCAAGATCAGAAGGTCTGTGTTCATGTATAACGGGGATGTCATGGTATCCTCTTAAAAATAAAGCATCTATGGTGTCATGAAGAAACTTTAATATCCATGGAATTAAATGAGGTAATTTAAGTATGATTACATCAACAACAACAACAAAAACTAAGTACAATGTTCTTCTTGCAAAACACTTTTGGTGCCTCTGAGGTGGGTAAGGTTAGAGACAGGTTTGATGGTATAGGTTAAAGGGTTAAGTTGTCAATGTGTAACAATATATATATATATATATATATGTAAATACAATGTAAAAACTTGTATGTAAACAATAAGTGCATGGTATAAAATGAATGAAAATTTTTGTATATAGTAGTTCATATAAAATTGGACCATAGGTTCTTTATAGTGGAAAAAGGTTCTTCAGATTATTAAAATGGTTTTGAAGTTTTATGGGGAACCAAAATACATTCATTTATAAGGACAAAACATTTTGTCTGGGGTTACATCAGGAAGAAGTAGCTCTTTCAGGCGACCTCCATAAAGCAGTGGAACTTGTATTTCCAAAGAAAACAATAATGTGGAGGAGTACAGCTTGTAAATGCCAAAGACGTTCATTAAGATACGTTTTGTTCTGCTTCATTAAGACTGCAGGTAATCACGGTAAGAAATCACTGTTTGTGCTCTGAGATTGATCTGACACATTAAAGGCTCATTGTCACGACATTTCTGAACAGCTCGTCTTAAAACAGTCCATCAAAGGAACATTGAGGAGATCTGAATAAAAGAAAAAAGGAGCAACTTGCCAAAAGTCTGGAACGCTGAATTATATAACTCTCCGTTTCCAATACCATCCTTGCTTTGACACTGTACATGTAAAAGCTTACATTTCAGTGTTTTTCCATCAGATTTGAACTCTCTGATGCTGTTGTCAACTACAGGGGCAAATATTTCCAAGCCATTTTGATCCATGTAGGCTAAAACCTTACATCCAAACCACCACGGGTGACCCATTTATTTGTATTTCTGACAACATAAATTCAACATGAAAGTGGTGTTGAGTAACACTAACAGCAGCCATAAGTCGTTGAAAAGACTTTCTCTTGAGACTTTTATCACCAGGCAATCCATCTTATTATTCACATAAGAGCCATTTGTAAATTGAATGTGTCTGGCTTCCGGTGGCATTCGCTTCTGGTTATTTTCAACTGTACAAAACAGTTCATTATGCTGCTTGATATTGCAAACTGGTATTTCTTAACATATTATTTGAATGTATTGTAATTATAAACACACTGGTTTGTAGCGTGAACAGTTTTACGGTTTAAGACACTTTCTTCTCATTTCCCTATAATAAGGAGTCTGACACATTCACAGAAAGTGGTTTACTACCGCATTGAAACATAATGTGGTTTACAAAGCAACAGGAATAAATAGGAAGGCCTAAAAAAAATCGATCTTTTCCTGAGAATTAAACCACATGTCCTTCACAATGAAAATGTATTCATCAAATTTTCAGCCGAAATAGCTACACCCTCAGTTTGTTGCTTGTTCTAAAGTCCCCCAGGGGTCTCCTGTTTTAATGGTGTTTCCTTGAATACATGTGCTCTCAATTAGAGCTGATTGTTTTATGTGGGCTGTTTTTCTCCATCTAAACGAGAAAAAAAAAATCCTTTAAATGCGTTAGCCACAGACGCTCTATACCTCTTTGCACTTCCTCAACTCTTTCATCTGTCCCGAAGGAAAGTGGAGATCTTTGATTGTTTCACCTCCTACTTTTATTTTTTTGTTCTGTCTAACTCAAAAAAGAAACCGAGTACCACATTGGTGTGTAATTACAGTACTTCCGAAGCCTAGATAGGAAATGTTTAGTCGCTCTGGAGGTTATGTCATAGAAAATGATTATCAAATCAGTTTACTGCACCACAGTTTATGCATCCACACTATAGACCCCATAATTGTGGTAATTGCAGGTTTTTGTGTTCAAATACAGAACAAGAAGCCTGTGTAGCATGCCTTTAGGTTAAATATCTAGTGTGTTTAGCAGGCTGATAGGTCCTTTACATGCAATCTGCTAGAAAGCACATAATTGCCCACATCTGCACAAGCTGACTGCTGTTTCGCAGGTCGTATGGCTTTCTCTCACAGTGTGTGTGACGGTGTGTCTGGGTCAACGCTTGAGAGGGTGTGTCTGAAGCTTGGTGCTGATGCGACCGTCAAACGCCCTGTTTACACCTGGTGGTGTTAAGATGCGTTTTGGTCGATCGGATCACAAGTAAACAAGGGAAACACATTCCCGTTCACACCTGGTGTTTTAATCAGTCTCTTTTGTTCACTTTCAACCATTTCTGTCCTGATTTCTTCGAGGGGAGGGTCTATAAAAAACTAAATAAGCTCACGCAATTTACATATGAACGCAACCGGAGACGACAGAAAAGCATACAGAGAGCAGCAGCTTTCGTTTCTGCTCTGACAGATGCAAGATCAGCCTAACACTGAAAGTGTGTTAGAAATCAGGAATGATGAAAGAACATTGTGCTTGGTCTCCAGCCAAAGACACCCTTGCCTCATTTAGTATGTGCGGTGCTATGAATATGTAAATGAGCCCCGCCTCCACTCACTCACACAGCTCAGAGATCCACTCGTTGACGATCACACACGTTGATCTGATTGGTTAAAAGGTAGTTTGTGACGTCAGAAACACCAGCGATTTCAAACCGTGTTTTTGAGACTGCAGTCTTTGGTTCACTGCAGTTTAAGCAGAAAATACTCAGCAATGCTGTCGACTTATGAATTTGCACATGGTTTGTCTTAAAGCATATTAAAAACACCACAGAGACACATAAACAACATTAAAAGCTGAATTTTTATCACGGGGGGACTTTAATAATTCTGACAGGGACTGTGTTAATGTGAAAATTGCCAATGCATAAAGAAAAGTGCCAATAAATAAACTATAATGAGTGAAAACACCACTAGAAGTACTAGAAGGCATGACTCATTTCAGTTCCCTAGAGATCTCATTCACTGATGGGTATGTGTGCTCAGTGAAAGTGCTTTACATATAGCATATTGATTAAGTGATCCAATATTCCAGAACAAAGCTAAACCATTTGATCAGGGGTTCATTTGCCAGAACATTGATGTCAGTTCTGATTAACATCTTTCTCGTGGTTCCAATATCAGATCACATCAAACACGTCTCATCCCTGATCTCATGTACATCAGCAGCCAGAGAGAGCAATGGCAGTCCTGGTTTCTTTGTTTGCTGTGGCTAGAGGCTGTTTTTCTGAATTCTTGATGCAAACCAGAGAGTTTTATAGAAGACATGATGTTTTAAAGCATAGCTGAGATCAAAGCATTATAAGCCTTCATAACCCATTTCAGAGGAACAAATAATGACTTGCCGGGACAAGCATCGTTATTGCCATTGTTCATATACACAGGGTTATGATTTGAACAAGTCTTTTCCTCACAATTTGTGCTACAGACATTTCTGTGACTTGTTGAGGACAATGTGCTATTACTTTTCTTAAAATAGGCTAGACTTATGATTTTCATTTGGCAGACAATAAAACAAGTTTTTTTTTAAAACCCACATTTATAACATTTATATTAACCAGATATAGAAAATCATAGAGGCTTAACCAACACAGATGCAAACACCGCTCACTCAATTTCTTCAGAAAATATACAAATCTATTGGTATTACAACAACCTCTCGATGTTCAGTAGACATGACAGATATACTTTCCTTTTCACGTCACATTTCACGCAGCTTTTCGCTGCAGAACCTTTAAACTATAGGGATAAAATAGAAACTCTGTGATCATGCCACGGCCAATTTGACCCAGCTGGCAG